GTCAAAGGTAACGTCACGAGAGTGGAGGAAGCGGTGAGACGGCGGGTGATAGAAAAGCCAGTCAGACGAGTCCAGGGGGAAATCGAGGAAGACACAGGGGACAGTGCGGGCAGTGAGCTTGTCCGTGCCAGAGGCACGAACGTGAGCAAGGCAGCCCCAGACGTGGAACGCAGACGCGTCACCAGGGGACCCGGTCCAAAGAAGGGTCGGCAAAACCTGCGGCCGCTGGGAGCGTGGCCACAGGTTAAGCTGGTGAGCAGCGTAGCAAACAGCGAACGGCCACAGAAAATGGGGGGCATCGGCATGGATCATGGAGGTGCGGGCGACCTCCATGACCAAGCCGATGCGGTGCTCAGCAACCCCATTCTGCCATGGCGAGTCCGGCAAGGTGTACGACTGGGTGATGCCCTCCGCACGACAGAACTGTCCAAGCCGACCAGAGGCGAACTCGCCGCCACGGTCGGAGTGGAGACACAACACGGGGAGACCGCGGTGGAGACGCGCAGCTACAACCCACGGGAGAAGAACGTCGGGCACGTTGGCCTTCCGATCCAGGGGAAACACCGTGGTGTAGCGCGTGTAGTCGTCGACGAGCACAAGGAAGTAGCGCTCACCGCACGGTCCGGGGACGGGGGCAGGGCCCCAAACGTCCAGGTGCAGGGTCTGAAGGGGGGCAGTAGCCGGGCGCAGCGAGGAGGAGTGAGGGGCACGGCGGAGCCGGCCCTCGACGCAAGGCGTGCACGGTGGCGCAGTCGAGGGAGGAAGGGCGGGGAGCGATACAGGGAGACCTAAAACAAGGCCGTGCTGGGACATGTGACGCAGACGAGGGAGAGCAGGGTGACCTAAGCGGTGGTGCCAGAGAAGGGACGGGTGAGTGAGGGAACGACACGAGCAAGCTGCAGCAACCTGGGAGGACGCACCAACCGGAGGGGAAGCGGTGTCTAGGGTAAACAAACCGGACACCGGGTCCCGGGGGAACGTCGCAAGGGGGGAACCTGAGACAGCCTCAGAACAGACAGCGAACCGCTCGTGCCCGGGGAACGTGGTGGTGACGCCGAGGTCCTGGAGACAGCCGACACCAAACAGGTTCCTCGAGAACGAGGGAACGTGGAGGCCTGTAAGGGAGCCCGAGGGAACTGCTGGACAGGGAAGGGACGTAGAACTGCGAGCGACGACAGGACCCACAGAGGGGTCGGCGAGAGAGATGACAGCTGGCGTAGCAAGCGGCGTAAGTGCGGAACGGTCGCGGAAGAAGCAGGCAGAAGCACCGGAGTCGAGAGTGAAGGACAGCGCAGCAGCGGCAGGGGCGGGGAACGGAGCCGGTGCGGAGACGAGGCTAGACAAACTAGGCAGTCCTACGCCTGACGCAGCAGGGGAGGCTAGGCTACACAACGGTGCAACACCTAAACTAGAGAACACAGGATAATAAGATCCAGCAACACTAGCAGCGTCAGAATACATGGCATGCAAAGCAGCACCTATATGATCCATGCCTAACTCAAAGATCGGCACGCCCTGGCGGAGCAGGCTGTGCCAGTCGGGGAGGTCCGGAGCCGAGCCAAAGCGACGACGAAACAGATCGTCGAGGCGGCGGAAACAGCGGGCAGTTGGGTGCGGGCGGCGGCATAGAGTGCCGCGAAGGGGCCCGGTCTGAAGCTGGTACTGACAGGTGACAGCACCGGAGCCGCTGGTAGACGCCAAGCTGCGCGGGCCGCCACCACTGCCACCACCCCCTGAGGAGCCGGGCCAACCAGGCGGGAGGCGAGCCCACTGCTGCGGGGGCTGCGGCTGGGACGGCGGCTACTGCTGGGACGGTGGCTGCGGCGCGGGCTGCTCCTGACCACCAATGCTAGTCCCCCCAGACGGACTACTCTCACGACCACCAGCACCACTACCTGCACCACCACCCCTACCACCCTGGCGACCATGGCCACCGCGGCGTGAGCGCTGCTGCGGGTGGACCGCAGCAGCCGTCTCGGTGAGAGGGGTCGCCGTGGCGACCGCAGCCGAAACGTCAATGAACGTGCACTGGGAGGGGGCACAGCCGTGAAAGATAGAGACTGCCGGCGCACCGCTCGACTGAGCGATAGTGCGCTGGTGAGTCTCGATCTCGGTGAGGGTTTCGACAAAGGCAGTGCGAGTGAGGTCAGCCGGGTGCAGGCTAAGGAAGGGATCGCGAGCACTAGCGAGGCGGTCTGGCAGGCGCATGGCGATAAAATAGAGCGTCATGCAGAAAGGGGGGGGGAGCGCAGTGAGCTGGGCAGCAGTGCTGGCAGTGCGATAGCGGGTCTCTAGAGCACGCAGGTGAGTGGCAAAGTCTGCAACGGTAGGAAAAGCTGCAAGGTCTGGGAAAAGCATAGGGAAGAGCAGGCGACCAGCAGAAGCAGACGTGGGTGTGGAATAGCGGGCAATAACAGCGTCTAAGTAAGCTTTGGCCGTCTCAATAGTAGCAAAACGCGAGCGCTCAGAGACAGGGAGGGCATGGCTAATGGCTACCTGAGCGACTGCATCGCGGGAGTTCCAGACCGCACGGGTAAGCGCAGCAGTAGAGAAGGTCTCACGGTCATCAGAGGAGGGATCAGCAGGGAGGGGGGCAGGTACAGGGGGGCGGGGGAGCAAGCCGTCAACATGGACAACCAAAGAGTGGCCATCCTGACGCTGACCTGTAAGGTGTCGGCGGAGGTCGGAGAGCCAGGCGGCGAAGTCAACCGCCTGGCCCTCGGCGTCCAGTCGGAGCACAAAGTCTGCCATCGTGCAGGGTCAGCGGCACAGCTCCATAGGAACACAGCTACAGCCCCCTCCAGCACAGTGGCCACGAAGCGCCTCAGCACGGGCGAGCGGAGGAGACGGAGCCCGAGGCGGCACAGCACGACGAGCCGGGGCGAAAGGGCCAGGCAGGTACGGCGGGGCCAGGCAGGCGCGGCGGGCCAGTCAGGGGCGGCGGGGCCAGGAGGCACGGCGGGGCCAGAAGGCGCGGCGGGGCCAGGCAGGTGCGGCGGGGCCAGGTAGGCGCGGCAGGGCCAGGCAGGCGCGGCGGGCCAGTCAGGGGCGGCGGGGCCAGGAGGCACGGCGGGGCCAGGCAGGCGCAGCGGGGCCAGGCAGATGCGGCGGGGCCAGGTAGGCGTGGCAGGGCCTGGCAGGCGCGGCGGGCCAGTCAGGGGCGGCGGGGCCAGGAGGCGCGGTAGGGCCAGGCAGGCGCGGCGGGGCCAGGCAGTGCGGCGGGGCCAGGCAGGCGTGGCGGGGCCAGTCAGGTGCGGCGGGGCCAGGTAGGCGCGGCAGGGCCAGGCAGGCGCGGCGGGCCAGTCAGGGGCGGCGGGGCCAGGAGGCGCGGCAGGGCCAGGCAGGCGCGGCAGGGCGAGGCAGTGCGGCGGGGCCAGGCAGGCGCGGCGGGGCGTGAAGGTGCGGCGCGGCCAGACAGGTGCGGCGCGGCCAGGCAGGCGCGGCAGGACCAGGTAGGCGCGGCGGGCCAGTCAGGGGCGGCGGAGCTTTGAGGCGCGACAGGGCCGGGCAGGCGCGGCGGGGCCAGGCAGGCGCGACGGGGCCAGGCAGGCGCGACGGGTGCTAGGAGGCACGAGGGGCCCAGGAGGGGCGCGACGGGCTAGGAGGCGCGCCAGGGGCCCAGGAGGGGCGCGATTGGGCTAGGGGGCGCGACGGGGCCCGGGAGGGGCGCGACGGGGCTAGGGGGTCGCGACGGGGCCCAGAAGGGGCGCGACTGGGCTAGGGGGGGCGCGACGGGGCCCAGGAGGGGCGAGATGGGGCTAGGGGGGCGCGACGGGGCCAGGAGGCGCGACGGGGCCCAGGAGGGGCGCGACGGGGCCCAGGAGGGGCGCGACGGGGCTGGGGGGGGGCGCGACGGGGCTAGGAGGCGCGGCAGGGCCCAGGAGGGGCGCGACGGGGCCTAGCTAGGGTACGGGTGGAAGCGGTAGGTGGGGGATCCTAACCTATGCGTGATACCATGTTAGAGTGAGAACTGAATGATTGAATAGAGGGAGTGAAGAAGGGTATATACCTAAGAGTGTTGTACCCTCTAAGAGGTGACCCTATACAGTCTATACAAATATGAGTTATACAAATATTTGACAGCCACGGCTGAGTGTCGAGGTCGCCATGGCAGCGCGGCGAGGGACGGCGCCGGCACTAAAAGGACGGTAGAAAAGCGCGGCGGAAGCGTGAGGAGCAGGCCCGCTAGAAGCGAACCGCTCTGATACCATGTTATGAAGTGATGTAGCAAGAAAGGAGAAGGCCGCCATTTCATGGCGGCCGAGGTTTAGCTAGGAAGATTGACGAGAGAGAAGAGGAGCGATTAGGAAGAGAGAGGAGTACAATGAGGGGTTTGTACCCTCTACAGAAAGGTTCAGTAACAACCTACCAAGCCTATATTAAATTATAACTTATATAATTTTAACACTATATAGGTTTGTGCCTTAGAGGGTACAATACACTAGTCTATATTGCACTTTCTCCTCCTATTCTAGTCATTCTCTTATTCTAATATGTATTACTCATTAATTTTATCCTTGTCGTTTCTGACATTTCCAATACAAGGTGTAAAGTCTTCCGTTGACTTTTACTCGTGGTTCCACCAAATCTATATCCTGGCCAGGCCACCCTAAACACGTGGTTCACTTTTACAGGACCCAACCTCAAATGTGTTTCTGCAATTTTTCACCTTTCTATTTGAAGAAAGAGTACAAAGAAAATGTTTCCAAGTACGGGAATTCCACCTTTACATACTTTGCTTGCATTAATCTCATGTACGTTTCATAGAGGAGAAACACAGGGAAATAGAATCAAGGAAAACACTTCTATATGACATATATTATGTTGCCAAATTCCATGAGTCCTACCTGCATACACTCAAAACAACAGGAAACCGCACTATAACTCAGCCTTTACAGCCCACGAGCTGAAGTCAGATTTCCTTTTCTATCCCGTCTAAGTCATTGTGAATGGATTTTTGAAAGCTTACTGCGAACAAAGCAGAGAACAAGCAGGAGAATCAAAACCAGCACCACTGGCTGATCTCGGCAAATTCCAGGGACCTCATCTTATGTTTCTGCCGACCCTGCCTGATCCCCTCTCTCAGCAGATCTAGCCTGGCATTACCACTTGACTTCACAGTAGTAACGTCGTTCCGAGCTCCGCCAGCCGTGTCGATTCTTCCTAATCAGATCATTTTGAATTAGAAGCTTCTCACGCTCTGCTGTTCTGGTTCGATTCCAGCGCGTGCCTACGTGCTTGGTGAGGATTGAGCGTGCGATGATCACGATGGCGACGACGACCAGGCGATAATCGTGGCGACGATAAACAGGCGAGGTGTCGATCAGGCGATAATCGTGGCGACGATAGTCTGGCGAGCCACTGATCAGGCGATAATGACGTCGACATAATCAGGCAATAGCGACGGCGCGAGGCGCTCTGTGTTTCGCAGTGAGCGATTGATCCATCTTAAGAAAGCCCCCTGCTGTGCTCTATCCTCGCTATAGTCGACTCGATAGTAGCCAATCAGTTCCAGCCAGGTGTTGTTCTGGCGGGTGTTTTTCAAGCAGGCGTTATCCCGCCAGGTGCTATCCAGGCAGGGGACTGACATGGCTAGCTGTGTTGGCACTACCCAAACGCCAGCTGTAGCTAACCGCCTTGCGAATGGTTTTGCGAACAGCGTGGCGAACGGTTTCGCGAACGGCTCTCCCGCTCTCCGTCTGCCTGTACAAAGGACCCGGGTGCTAGGACGAATGGCTTTGGCGTCGACAATTCAAATCTCGAGGCTGCCGAATCAAATCTCGAGGCAGCGGGGATCTTTGGTCGTTAAGATGGGGATGGGGGGACGAGCCATGGGGGGACGAGCCATGGGGGGGCGAGCCATGGGGGGGCGAGCCATGGGGGGACGTGCCATGGGGGGACGAGCCATGGGGGGACGTGCCATGGGGGGACGTGCCATGGGGGGGCGAGCGATGGGGGGAAACGGGGAAGAAGAGGAGCTGGGGAGAGGTAGCGCGGAATCGAGAGCGGGGAGTGGGAAGCAGGGGAAGGAGGCGGGGGGAGGGATGGCGGAGGGTGGAAAAGAGGAGCTGGTGGGGGAAGAGACGGGGAGAGAGGCGGGGAAGGAGCAGAGGGGAGGGGGGAGATTAAGAGTGGCCGTGATTTGCGGCGGGCCGTCTGGCGAGCGCGGCATATCTCTTAACTCCGCGCGATCCGTGGTGGACCACCTGGAAGCTGCTGACGTGGAGATTAAGACGTACTATGTGGACCCGTCTCTAAGAGTCTTCGCCATACCGACCACTCAGGTATTTAATTCTTAAGGCGACTAAATAATAAGACGTACTATGTGGACCCGGTCCTACGAGTCTTCGCCATACCGACAACCCAGGTATCCAGAGATTAAGTCGTAGTATTTGGACCCGTTCTTAGAGTCTCCACCAAACCAACCATCCAGATGCTTTCCGCTGCTTTGAAACGACAAGCTTCTGTTGCTCTCATTGGTCTCACTGCAATTGTCCTCCCCCTCCCTCCCCCCCCGCCCCCCTTCCTCCCGCCTCCCCCTTTTTCCCCACGTTCAAATATACTGTACGGTGCAACTTCAGCAACTTTCCCCCCTCGACCCATTGCCACTGCCGTCAGCAATACAGATGTGCTCCAATCCAACACATGGCCGACTCTGATGTCAGGCGCCTCATCCCCTCCCCACCCCACACCCCTTTTCGCTCTCGCACTTCCTCTTCCTTTTGAGTCGACTCATAAGTCAAACTCCTCTTCCTTTTGAGTCGACTCAAAAGTCAAACTCCTCTTCCTTTTGAGTCGACTCAAAAGTCAAACTTCCTCTTCCTTTTGAGTCGACTCAAAAGTCAAACTTCCTCTTCCTTTTGAGTCGACTCAAAAGTCAAACTTCCTCTTCCTTTTGAGTCGACTCAAAAGTCAAACTCCTCTTCCTTTTGAGTCGACTCAAAAGTCAAACTCCTCTTCCTTTTGAGTCGACTCAAAAGTCAAACTCCTCTTCCTTTTGAGTCGACTCAAAAGTCAAACTTCCTCTTCCTTTTGAGTCGACTCAAAAGTCAAACTTCCTCTTCCTTTTGAGTCGACTCAAAAGTCACCTTCCTCTTCCTTTTGAGTCGACTCAAAAGTCAAACTTCCTCTTCCTTTTGAGTCGACTCAAAAGTCAAACTTCCTCTTCCTTTTGAGTCGACTCAAAAGTCAAACTTCCTCTTCCTTTTGAGTCGACTCAAAAGTCAAACTTCCTCTTCCTTTTGAGTCGACTCAAAAGTCACCTTCCTCTTCCTTTTGAGTCGACTCAAAAGTCAAACTTCCTCTTCCTTTTGAGTCGACTCAAAAGTCAAACTTCCTCTTCCTTTTGAGTCGACTCAAAAGTCAAACTCCTCTTCCTTTTGAGTCGACTCAAAAGTCAAACTCCTCTTCCTTTTGAGTCGACTCAAAAGTCAAACTCCTCTTCCTTTTGAGTCGACTCAAAAGTCAAACTTCCTCTTCCTTTTGAGTCGACTCAAAAGTCAAACTTCCTCTTCCTTTTGAGTCGACTCAAAAGTCAAACTTCCTCTTCCTTTTGAGTCGACTCAAAAGTCAAACTCCTCTTCCTTTTGAGTCGACTCAAAAGTCAAACTCCTCTTCCTTTTGAGTCGACTCAAAAGTCAAACTCCTCTTCCTTTTGAGTCGACTCAAAAGTCAAACTTCCTCTTCCTTTTGAGTCGACTCAAAAGTCAAACTTCCTCTTCCTTTTGAGTCGACTCAAAAGTCAAACTCCTCTTCCTTTTGAGTCGACTCAAAAGTCAAACTTCCTCTTCCTTTTGAGTCGACTCAAAAGTCAAACTTCCTCTTCCTTTTGAGTCGACTCAAAAGTCAAACTTCCTCTTCCTTTTGAGTCGACTCAAAAGTCAAACTTCCTCTTCCTTTTGAGTCGACTCAAAAGTCACCTTCCTCTTCCTTTTGAGTCGACTCAAAAGTCAAACTTCCTCTTCCTTTTGAGTCGACTCAAAAGTCAAACTTCGTCTTCCTTTTGAGTCGACTCAAAAGTCAAACTTCCTCTTCCTTTTGAGTCGACTCAAAAGTCAAACTTCCTCTTCCTTTTGAGTCGACTCAAAAGTCACCTTCCTCTTCCTTTTGAGTCGACTCAAAAGTCAAACTTCCTCTTCCTTTTGAGTCGACTCAAAAGTCAAACTTCCTCTTCCTTTTGAGTCGACTCAAAAGTCAAACTCCTCTTCCTTTTGAGTCGACTCAAAAGTCAAACTCCTCTTCCTTTTGAGTCGACTCAAAAGTCAAACTCCTCTTCCTTTTGAGTCGACTCAAAAGTCAAACTTCCTCTTCCTTTTGAGTCGACTCAAAAGTCAAACTTCCTCTTCCTTTTGAGTCGACTCAAAAGTCAAACTTCCTCTTCCTTTTGAGTCGACTCAAAAGTCAAACTCCTCTTCCTTTTGAGTCGACTCAAAAGTCAAACTCCTCTTCCTTTTGAGTCGACTCAAAAGTCAAACTCCTCTTCCTTTTGAGTCGACTCAAAAGTCAAACTTCCTCTTCCTTTTGAGTCGACTCAAAAGTCAAACTTCCTCTTCCTTTTGAGTCGACTCAAAAGTCACCTTCCTCTTCCTTTTGAGTCGACTCAAAAGTCAAACTTCCTCTTCCTTTTGAGTCGACTCAAAAGTCAAACTTCCTCTTCCTTTTGAGTCGACTCAAAAGTCAAACTTCCTCTTCCTTTTGAGTCGACTCAAAAGTCAAACTTCCTCTTCCTTTTGAGTCGACTCAAAAGTCACCTTCCTCTTCCTTTTGAGTCGACTCAAAAGTCAAACTTCCTCTTCCTTTTGAGTCGACTCAAAAGTCAAACTTCCTCTTCCTTTTGAGTCGACTCAAAAGTCAAACTTCCTCTTTCTTCTGAGTCGACTCAAAAGTCAAAATTCCTCTTCCTTTTGAGTGGACTCAAAACCCACCCCACCCCCCCTTTTCGCTCATGCACTTCCTTCCTCTTCCTTCTCTCACTCTTCTCCTCTTGCCCCTTGCCATCACCGTCCCCCATTCAGATGTATTCCAATACGCCTGCAGACTTCGATTTCAAGCTACGCAGGTATTTATTCTTTGAGGCGCCTCAAAAACCGTTCAAGCTGCCTAGTTACCGCTCTTTTCGTAAAAGCAGTTCTTAACGCGCCATTTTTGTTGTATCAACAACCTTTTCCGACTTCCAGCCTGAATTACTCTGTTAACGTTGCATCCCTCTCCCCCCCCACCCCACCTCCCCCTCCCCCCCTCCCCCTTTCCCCCCCCCTCTCTCCCCCCTTTCGTATCGTACATCCCTTTTTTCCTTGCAGCATGGCTGCGCCCTTTCCTTCCCTCACTGCCTTCGCCTCACATCTGTCAACCGCAGCTGACATTGTTTTCCCTGTCATTCACGGGAAGTTTGGCGAGGATGGGGGCATCCAGGTGAGCCTGCTTCTGCCGCTAACTGTCACGTTACCCCGTCATGCGCAGCAGCGCACATCTGTCAACTGCAGCTGACGTTGTTTTCCCTGTTATTCACGGGAAGTTTGGCGAGGATGGGGGCATCCAGGTGAGCAACGTTGGGTGGGGTGGGATGGGATGGGGTGGGCTGGGTTGCGCCCCGGTGGGGTGAGGTGGGAGGGTAAGGGAGGAGGTGAGGTACAGGCAGGCATTTTACCATCTGTCAACTGCAGCTGACATTGTTTCCCTGTTATTCACGGGAAGTTTGGCGAGGGTGGGGGCATCTAGGCGAGCAGCGTTGCGTGGGGTGGGGTGGGGTGGGGTGGGATGGGCCAGGGAGGAGGTGAGGGACAGGCAGGCATTTTACCATCTGCCCGCAGCGGCTGACATAGTATTCCCCGTGATCCATGGGAAGGTTGGCGAGGGTAGAGGCATACAAGTGAGCAACGGGTTCTTTGGGTAGGGTGGGGTGGGATGGGGTGGGCCCTGGTGGGGTGGGTTGGGAGGGTAAAGGAGGAGGTGAGGGACAGGCAGGCATTTTACCATCTGTCCGCATCAGCTGACACAGTATTATTCCACATGATTGACGGGAAGTTTGTCGAGGATGGAGGCAATGATAAAGTGATGGGGGGTGGGAGGGGAAGGAAGGAGGTGAGGAAACTTTTGAGTCGACTCAAAAGTCATCTCGTTGCAATGATACAGTGATGGGGGGTGTGATGGGAAGGAAGGAGGTGAGGAAAGGTAGGTGCAACAGCAGCGGCCATTGTGTTCCCCCCGTGTGTGACTGTGTGGCTTGTTCTGTCCCGTCTGCTTTGTTCTTACTATCCACAAACGTCCTCTGTCTCTCACTAGAACCGCCTCCTGCCCTCCTTCTGCCTCCACCCACCCCTCCCATGCCTTCCTGTAGTCCTTCCGTCCTGCCATGCCCCTGCCATGCCTTCCTCTGCTGGAGAAACACGGTATTCCGTTTGTCGGCACGGCATCCCTTTAGTCGGCACAGCATCCCGTTTGTCGGCACCTCAGCCGCTGCTGCATGCAGTGCCTACAGTTTCTACCCTAGAGGGGCAAGGCATTCCATCCATCCCCTCAGTCCCCTTGGTGTCTCCAACTGCCTCCTGCCTTCCCACATGGCTCCCTCCCTCTCTCCCCTGTCAGGCTCTGCTGGAGGAGCACGGTATTCCGTTTGTCGGCACCTCAGCTGCTGCGGCACGCAACGCTTTTGACAAGGTGAGTGAGGGAGCCACGCAACGGACAGGGGGGGGTGAGGGTGCTTACACAGCTGCTGTGCAGCTGGTTTCACTCCTGTGTCTGGGTGGGGGTCCAAGGCTCTGCTGGAGGAGTATGGTATTTAGTTTGTCGGCACCTCAGCTGCTGCGGCACGCAACGCTTTAAGCAAGGTGGGTGAGGGAGCTTATAAAGTGGCTAGTTTCACACATACAGGGCACTGCTGGAGGAGCATGTCATTCCCTTCGTCGGCACCTCAGCTGCTGCGGCACGCAATGCCTTTGTCAAGGTGGGTGCGGGAGTCATGCAGTTGACAAAGGGAGTGAGGGAGAAAGCAGCGAAAAAGTGGTGGTGGGGGGGGGGGGGGAGGAGAAAGTTGGACGAGGGAGACTTGAAAAGCGGCGATTTTGATGAAGATATGAGTGATTTTACAAGGAGACTTTCCGTAGAGGCTCTATCCAGCTCACAATCGCCATTTGCACTGGTAAGAAGGCAGGAGTGATTTTTTAAGCTCCCCTCCCTTCCCCTCCCCTCCCCTCCCCTCCCGTCCTCCGACATCCCCCTCCCCCCTCCCCTCCCCCCCCCTCTTCCCCTTCTTCGTTTGGCAGTACGAGTGTGCTGAGCACATGAGGGGCTGTGGCTTGCCTACCCTTCCGTCCTTTCTCATCCAGGTGCGCCAATCACACTTAACTAAGAGTAGCTTTCATTGCTGAACTTTGCCTACCCTTCAGTCCTTTCTCATCCAGGTGCGCCACTTTGCTAAGCGTAGCTTCTAATACTGGCCATTAATGAACCAAGCATCAGAATGAATCAGAATCAATCTAGTCTGGTAGTCTTCTAAGCACCACAAGTTAGATTCCATGTTTGTTTGGTTGGTAGTCTCCGGCTTTTTTCTTACCCAACACCTCACCCGGCCTCCATCTTTCCCTTCCCTCCTAGTCTCTCCTTCCTTCACGCCTAGACCTGAAAAACGATAAACGAATCCGAATTCGAATGCCTAAACCGAATATTGTGCCGAATAGCGACATGGTTCGAATTCGCTGAGTAATGCGCTCAAAAGCGAATACGAATACGAACCGATTACCGGGTAATAGGGTCATATTCGAATCGTTACCATATTTGTCCTATTCGTGGTAATCTGAGTATTTGTCGTTTGAGGGTCCTACTCGAATGCGTTGATGCGAAGCTGACAGGAAACAATCTACCCGTGTCGTGTCTTGGTTGGTGGGCTAGCCGTTCAACCCCCCTCCCCCCCCCCCCCCCCCCCCCCCCCCCCGGGTCGCCCCTCCCGCTGCAATGACGGGAAATCGATAGGTACACAGCTTCAAAAAACAGGGGAGGAGCTAACCTCCGAACTCAAGTTGATCAGAGGCTGGATTTCGCTGGGGTGTTTCACTGGTGACCTTTTCCTGCACACTCGCGACAGGTGGAAATAAGCCACGTTGCGCAGCTTGATTCCGATTCCTCCGTCGCAACCGTTAGATTCGGTTGCGGGAGCAGGTTTCGGGATGTTCGGTTTTCCTTTGGGTTTGGGTTGGATGGATCCAGATCTAGATGTGTTACCGCGCGACGAATATTATTCGTGAATAGACGAATATGGCGAATACGAATACGCGTTAACGAGTACATGGGATCCGAGACCGCCGAATACTAAGGCCCCATTCGATTCGATTCGGATTCGAAATTCGAATATGAATACGAATAATATTCGGATTTTGAATAATCGTTTTCAGGTCTATTCACGCCCCTGTGTGATGCTTCAGTCTGAGCGTGAGGAGTCTATTCTTGAGGCGCCTAAAAAATAGATGCTTCAGTCTGGGGTAAACGACAGCAATCATGACGTGGTGGCACTATTTTTAAGGTGCCTAAAAAATAGACTCCTCACACGCGGATTTCATATAGAGAGAATTTTTTCTGCTTGAACATGTGGGTGTAGCTTATTAAATTCAAGCGATTGGTGCGCGCGCGGGTTCCGAAGCTCCCTACTGGCGAGGTTTCGAGCCCAACTACCGTTCAATTCAAGACACCCTCGAGGTTTGAAGACCCAGCCTCTATCTTTCTGTTCTCTCCTTCTCTCTCCTTCCTCCACGCCCCTGTCCTGTGTGATGCTTCAGTCTGGGGTAAACGACAACGATCATGACGTGGCACTCGCTGACTGGTTCACCCGCAATGGCGTGTCACCAGAGGACGGTTCTGTGGTTGTAAGTGCTTGCTCAGTCCGCTTCGCTTTTCTCTGTCTCTTCCCTGCCCTCTTCTTCCTAAGTGCTAGCTCAGTCCGACCAACTGTAGTCCTTTCCTGTACAACATAACAGCACCCCCCTACCTGTATTATCGCCCACTGAAGTCACCACTGACCCAAGTCCCACTCCTGTGGCCCAGGGCTGCAGGCGAAGCCAGCTGGGGCGGGGTCAAGTGCCAACTGCCTACAGTGCTGCTAGGGTTTAGAGAGATAGTAGTTTTTGCTAGTATCATTCACTTACCCAAGTCCCACTCCTGTGGTCCAGGGCTGCAGGTGAAGCCAGCACGAGTGGGGTCAAGTGCCAAGTGCTAACATCACCTACTCTAACTTAGTTAAGCATCACTATGGCTCATCGTCTAACCATGTCGCCACTCCTGTGGTCCAGGGCTGCAGGTGAAGCCAGCACGAGCGGGGTCAAGCGTTGGCGTTTCTGTGTGCTCTGGCATGGAAGAAGCTTCCCAGAAGGCCCGCGAGCTGATATCTGAGGTGGGTTGATTGATCATCTCTGAGGTGAGCTTATTCGATCCGGATATGGATTCCGTTGAGGCTCCTCCCTAAACTCGTAAAAAACGCATGCTTTCAAAAGGGAGCCTAAAAAAAAGCATGCAGACTGATATTTGAGGTGAGTTGATTCCACCCAGATATGGATTCCGAGGCCCTTCTCTAGACTCGTCAAACTCATGTTTTATTGGGGTAAGGTGCTATTCTAGACCCTCATTTATGTTTTTCCATAACAGAAGACTGCTCCCAATAGACCACCAAATTGGTGCCATTATGTCAATACGTGGCATTACAGAACACTGCTCCCGATCTCTCTCCATCCTCTCCTTCCCCCCCCCCTGCACACCCCTCCCTCCCTTGTCCCCTTTCCATGCATCTCGTCCAGGGCATCCACAGCCGCGTGGTGCTGGAGCTGTTTGCAGCAGGCGGAAAGGAGTTCAGCAGCTGTCTGGCAATCACTCACTCTCCTCCCTTCCCCGCGCCTTCATACCTCTTCCCTCCCTCCCCTGTGACCCCACCCACCCTCCTCTCTCTTCCAGGGTATTGACAGCCGCGTGGTGGTGGAGCTGTTTGCATCAGGGGGACAGGAATTCACCGCTATTGTGCTCCAGTCGGCAAGTAGCACGGGAGGGCAGACACAGGAGGGTCTTGGACGGCCTGTGTGCCTGATTCCCACTCAGGTGCGCTGCGCAATTTTCGAGTCAATTTTTGAATCAATCGAAGAGTCTATTTTTGAGGCGCCTAAAAAATAGACTCCTCCTCATGCATGGATTTTGAGGCGCCTAAAAAATAGCTTGGACGGCCAGTGTGACTGCTTGACCCCCTCTCAGGTGCGCTGAATGATCAAGGAAAGGTCCTTTCCTTCTTTTTTCAAAAGAGGTTGCGCGAGTATTACTGTATTACCCTTGTGTCGCCACATCCCTCTCATTCTGTCGTTCCTTGTGACTAACCTGCCCTGCCCCCCCCCTCCCTGTCTTCCCCCCGCTCATCCCACCCACCCCCCTTCCCATATCATCGCCACAACGGGCCTCGTCCTCTTTGTCTCAACACCCTCCTCTTTCCCTACCCTACCCCCCTCCCCTACCCCCCCCCCCCCCCCTCTCCCCCCCCCTTTCCTTCTCTTATCAGGTTGAACTAATTAAGAGCGGCGTCTCTAGGAGTAATCCCGTTGTTGCTGACTCACCTGCCACGTCAGCTGCGGAAGGTGCTGATGCTGCAGGTGGCGGTGAGGAGGGTGACATTGGCGTAGATATTTTTGACTATCGACGGAAATATCTTCCGACGCAACAGGTAGCGTCCCAAAATCGTTTAATCACTCTTCCCAGTTCCACGTTATAAGAGTCTGGTTTTGAGGCACCTCAAAACTACTGACAGAAATATTCCTCACAACAGGCAGGCAGCATCTCATCTCAATCCCAGCAGTCAATCGCTGCTTCAATTGAAGAACCAGAGCCTTCAGTTGTCCCTACCTCCCATGCTGCCATCTTCTCTTCCTGCATTCGTCTCGTCGTCCACCCTCTCCCGCTCCTCCCTTCCCTCCCCTCCTGTTTCCTTCCCTCCAGTGTTCCCTTGACAGTGGAGTCATTTTTTAGAATTCTAAAAGGTCCCACTACTTTCGTCCGCCATTCTCTCCTGCCACTCTTAGTTGGCCGATTCCCTTTTGGTTCTCTACTCCACGCCTCCTCGCTTCCCCCCCGCCATCCTCTCCTCCCTCCGCTCCTCTGCTTCCCGCCCCTTCTCCTCCCTCTCCCTCCGCGACTGTGGGAGGACAGACAGATGGTTTCCCTACTGCAGCTTTCCCCCCCAACTTCCCATTGCATCCCCCCTTTCCCCTCATGCCCAGTTCTGGTGTCCCTCACCCCCCCCTGTTCCCCCTTCTTTTTCTCCCCCCCCCCCTCCCCCCCCCTTTCTCCCCCCCTCACTCACCCCACAGGTTCTCTACTCCACGCCTCCTCGCTTCCCCCCCGCCATCCTCTCCTCCCTCCGCTCCTCTGTGTCCCGCCTCTTCTCCTCCCTCTCCCTCCGGGACTGTGCGCGGATCGACGGATGGTTCCTGCCACCTTCCTCCCCGGCTTACACCCGCGTGCTTGCTGGGCAAAGAGCCAGCCGTAATGAGGGAGGTAAAGGGGCGGCTAATAACGAGGATGGATTGGAGGCGGAGGAGGAGGAGTATAAGGAGGGGATTGTAGTGTTTTCGGATGTGAATATCGTCAGTGGCATGGAGCAGACCTCGTTTCTCTTCCAACAGGCAGCGCTGGTGAGTGGTATGTTAATAACGAGGATGAATATGGGGAGGAGGAGTATCAGGAGGGGGTGGTACTGTGGTACTGTTTTCGAGTGTGAATGCATCAGTGGCATGGAGCAGCAGGCCTCGTTTCTCTTCCAACAGGCTGCGTTGGTGAGTGGTTCTAACTTCTAACAAAGGGCGTATTTTAATAACGAGTAGAGTGTTTCCGGATGTGACCATTGTCAGTGGCATGGAGCAGCAGACCTCGTTTCTTTACCAGCAGGCTGTTTTGGTGAGTGGACGTTTACAAGCAGCTTCGTGTGGGTGACTGAAGCTCAGTGTGTGCTGGTGTGGGTCATACATACCGTAGTAACGAGGTATGTTAACAAGCAGCTTTATTTAGTGCTCTTTGTGTCTTAGCTCTCTCCCCCACTTCCCCTTCCTCTTCTTTTCCTACCTGCTCTCTTACCCTTCTGCCAGGTGGGCCTCTCCCATTCGCTCATACTGCGTTGGATCCTCGCCTCTGCCTGCTCCAGATACAGCCTACCCCTCCCCCTCCACCCTCCTCCGGCTTCTCCTGGCGTTGTTCCCAGCCCCACAGAGAGGGAGGAGAGAGAGAATGGAGAAGGGGGAGAGGCGGATGAAGCTGGGAGGAGGCGGCAGCCGGTGTGGGTGTTATTTGGGGGCAGCACGGCTGAGCGCCAGGTGTCTCTTATCAGCGGAACCAATGTGTGGCTCAAGCTGAGGGCATGTCCCCAGGTATGCCCCGCCCTGCTTCCTCTCAGGTACGCCCTGCCCTGCTTGCCCGCCCTGCCCTCCTTGCCCCTAGGTACACCCTGCCCTGCGTGCTCCCAGGTACGCCCTGATGTCACCCAGGTCTGGCTCAAGCTGAGGGCGTGTCCCCAGGTAAGTTCTTCTTGCTCCCAGGCCCGCCCTTCCCCTGCTTGCTCCCTCACTCGCGGATCCCCATAGCCATGGCTGCTTGCTATCGGGGCAGCACAGCTGAGCGCCAGGTGTTTCTCCTCAGCAGAACCAGCATTTGGCTCCGCCGTTTCTTGCCTACAATCCTAAGGTTCGTCCTTTACTGTTCCCTATCCCGGTGACATCCCACTTGTTGCAGTTCGACGTGAAGCCGTTTCTTCTGTCTCCGTCCCACGACAGCAGCAGCACAGCCAGCAACGACAGCGGCAACAGCAGCAGCAGTGGATCGGTCTCGTTGAGCGAAAGAGCATCATGGGCTGCTGAGGTGGACACAGTCTGGTCCCTCCCGTAAGGCCCCCCCCAACCCCACCCCCACCCCCCCCCCCCACCTTCCGTTTTTTTCCTCGAAGTGCAATTTTTTGGCGAGTTTGCAAGCTACCATTTCAGCATCAGCGTTGGTGGGCCCATCTTTTTGCGTAAACCCCAAACCTTGGGACCTTACGCCCTGATCGAAGCACTGAAAGAAGGGTCTCGAGAAGGGGCTGAAGGGGGATCTTCTCTCACCCTAACTGCCTGTAATGTTTGCTGTTTCCAGGTACCCCGTAATCCTGCGGCACACAGTGGAGGAAGTTGAGGCTGCTTGTATCGAAGCATCAAGAGAAGCAGCAAGGATAACAGAAGCAGCAGCGGAAGCAGCAGCCGCAGCAGAAGCAGCAGCAGCAACAGGCAGCACCAGTAGCAGTGCCTCCTCCTCCTCTCCTACATCCTCTCTCCTGGCGTCTCTCCAGCAATCCATTGCTCAAGAGCTCATGGAGAACCCAAGCTCTGACGAGTCAAGCAATGGCAAGGCAGCGGTGTCCCAAACCATGGCAGGGGAGCCGAGTCTGAGTCCCCTGGGAGATGTGGACCTCCTTTCGCCCCCAAGACAGCTGTCGCTCCATGATTGGGTGGCAGCTGCGAAAGTCGAAGGAGCAGTTGTCTTCGTAGCAGGTATGCTACTACGGCTTTGTTTGAGTGTCTTGTGCGTTCTCCTCACCCTGAGTAAGGCTTTGAGAATTCTAAAAAACCTGTCGCTCCGTGATTGGGTGACTGCTGCGAAAGCCCAAGGCGCAGTTGTCTTCGTAGCAGGTATGCTACTACGGCTTTGGTTGTGTGTCTTGTGCGTTCTCCTCACCCTCAGGCTCCCCAGCCTGTCTTGTGCCACTCATTCACCTGCAGGCCCCCACTCGTGTTCTTTCCACTCTCGCCCATTGCTTTCTTTCTTGCCTTCAAATGCTCTTGAACTGGCTTTTGAGTCGACTCAAAAGTCAGCTCTTTCTTGCCTCCACATGCTCTTGCCTCCTCCGGACAGAGGCAGGGGCGATTGTAGGCAATGAAAGCATTTCCTGGGCAGCCTGGGCAGGCAGGGCAGGCAGGGCAGGCAGGGCACTACAGCGCTTTTGAGTTGGCTCAATAGCAGCCCCTCTCCCTCCAGGGTAGGGCACTACGGCGCTTGTTGAAACACCACAACAGGTCATTGATCCCCTCTCGTTCCTCTTTCTCCCCTTTCTCTCTGTCTTCTTTTCCCCTCCCACCTTTCCTCCCTTCAGTGCACGGGGGCATAGGGGAGGATGGCACGCTGCAGCACTTGCTGGAGCATGAGAGTGTGCCTTTCACAGGTGAGGCTTATAGTGCCCATGCTTGAGGGGAATCGCAGGTTGGCTCCAGTGCTTGTTGCACGGGGGCATAGGGGAGGATGGCACGCTGCAGCACTTGCTGGAGCATGAGAGTGTGCCTTTCACAGGTGAGGCTTATAGTGCCCATGCTTGAGGGGAATCGCAGGTTGGCTCCAGTGCTTGTTGCACGGGGGCATAGGGGAGGATGGCACGCTGCAGCACTTGCTGGAGCATGAGAGTGTGCCTTTCACAGGTGAGGCTTATAGTGCCCATGCTTGAGGGGAATCGCAGGTTGGCTCCAGTGCTTGTTGCACGGGGGCATAGGGGAGGATGGCACGCTGCAGCACTTGCTGGAGCATGAGAGTGTGCCTTTCACAGGTGAGGCTTATAGTGCCCATGCTTGAGGGGAATCGCAGGTTGGCTCCAGTGCTTGTTGCACGGGGGCATAGGGGAGGATGGCACGCTGCAGCACTTGCTGGAGCATGAGGGTGTGCCTTTCACAGGTGAGGCATGTGAATCCCACTTACACAGGATATTTTTCCAAGGATGTTCCAAGGCGACTCAGAAGCTGAGTCCCGCTTGCACCGGATGCATTCCTGTGGATTTTCGAGTTTTAAAACAAACGCTTAACTAAGTGTTTGCCCTGCAGGTTCCGGGTCTGAAGCCTCCCAGCTGTGCATGGACAAAGTGGCTACTGGGCAGGCTATTGCCCATGTAAGTCTCGGGTGTGAGTGAGTGAGAGCGAGTGGGTGAGAGCGAGTGGGTGAGAGCGAGTGGGTGAGAGTGAGTGAGTGAGAGCGAGTGGGTGAGAGCGAGTGGGTGAGAGCGAGTGGGTGAGAGCGAGTGGGTGAGAGCGAGTGCGTGTGTAGCGAGGAAAAGGAGGGTCTGTAGCCTCCCAGCTGTGCATGGACAAAGGGGCTACGGGCCTGGCTATTGCTCATGTAAGAGGAGTCTATTTTTGAGGCGCCTCAAAAATAGACTCCTCAAGCCAGGCTATGTAAGTGGCTGTGGTAGCTGCAGAGTGAGAGTGAGTGAATGGGTGGTTTAGTCAGAGTGAGTGCATGTGTGTGTGTTCGTTTGTCTCTCAGCTGTGCATGGACCAGGATGCTACCGGCCAGGCTATTGCTGGTGTGAGTTCGTGCTGGTTGTTTCGTCAGAGTGCGTTATCGCATGGGTGTTTCGTGATCGCATGGGTGTTTCGTGATCGCATGGGTGTTTCGTGATCGCATGGGGGTTTCGTGATCGCATGGGGGTTTCGTGATCGCATGGGGGTTTCGTGATCGCATGGGTGTTTCGTGATCGCATACGTGGCCTCTTATGTGAGGTTGTAGACCAAAACGGAGGATGGGCAAACAGGGGATTTGCCGCTGCTTCTCCGTCAATCCACCACTTCCCATTCCCCATGGCATAGCCACCTTCCTGTAGTGCATATCGCACCCCAATTTACCTGTTCATCTTTCATTCCTCCACCTCCCCACTCCACCGCCCCACTCCACCTCCCCACTCTACCTCCCCACTCTACCCTGCTTCCAGCTGGCCTCTGAGGGCGTTTTTTCTGCCAGGAAGCTGCTTCTACCGCTAGATCTGCTGCTGCCCTGTGCTGCTCCTGTCGCTGCCACCCTCTCCACACCTGCTCCCACCACTCACTCCACTTCAACAGCAGCAGCAGCAGCAGCAGTAGCAGCAGCTGGTGCTGCTGATGCCGTGTGGCAGCGGCTGGTAGGGGAGCTTCAGGCGGGCTCGTTCTGTGTGAAGCCGGCAACAGACGGGTGCTCGGCTGGCGTGGCCAGACTAGCGTGAGTTTAGGGCTACCTCTTTTCTAGACTTGTGCTTGGTCTTCTGGTCGCCTGTGCTTTGGTTGGTGGAATGTCGAGGTTTCGGAATGTCGTGGTTTCGGAATGTCGTGGTTTCGGAATGTCGTGGTTTCGGAAGGTCCTCGTTTAGGAACGTCCTGGTATCGGACGAGTGCTCCTTCTCCTCCTCTCTCCTCCCGTTGCCTCCCCCCCAGCACCCCATCTGACCTCGCTGCCTACACCACAGCAGCCAGGGACGCGGGTCCTCGTCTGCTCGTTTTCTCTCCACTTAAACATTCCTCCCCATTCCTCTGCTCTTCGCTCCTCCCGTTTCCACCCCCCCCAGCACCCCATCTGACCTCGCTGCCTACACCGCAGCAGTCAGAGATGCGGCTCCTCGGCCACTCTTACCCGGCCAGATCCTCATTCTTCCCCATTCCTCTCCTGTTCGTTTGCCTCTTTACTCTTCTTTCCACCCCCCCCAGCACCCCATCTGACCTCGCTGCCTACACCGCAGCAGTCAGAGATGCGGCTCCTCGGCCACTCTTACCCGGCCAGATCCTCATTCTTCCCCATTCCTCTCCTGTTCGTTTGCCTCTTTACTCTTCTTTCCACCCCCCCCAGCACCCCATCTGACCTCGCTGCCTACACCGCAGCAGTCAGAGATGCGGCTCCTCGGCCACTCTTACCCGGCCAGATCCTCATTCTTCCCCATTCCTCTCCTGTTCGTTTGCCTCTTTACTCTTCTTTCCACCCCCCCCAGCACCCCATCTGACCTCGCTGCCTACACCGCAGCAGTCAGAGATGCAGCTCCTCGGCTGCTGCCTGGCCAGCTGTCGACGGTGAGTGAGTGCCTGGGCTCGTACCTACTTCACTTCACTGCTTGAACTTTTCTTCCTAGCTGCAGCTTGCCCAGCTCCTTGGCTGCTACCCGGCCAGCTGTCCACGGTGAGTGAGTGCATGGGCTCATACCGCTATGTGCAATTCATGTTGGAGGGGACTTTCGAGTCGGAGGGGACTTTCGAGTCGGAGGGGACTTTTGAGTCGGAGGGGACTTTCGAGTCTACTCAAACGTCGATGGTGAGTGAGTACCGCTATGTGCGATCGTGGAAATGCCTGTCGGCTCCCCTACTTCACCACTCAGCCGTTCTGCTCGCCCACCTTGAGGAGTCTATTTTTGAGGCGTTCTGCTCAGCCGTTCTGCCCAGCCGTTCTGCTCAGCCGTTCTTCACCACCTCAAAAATAGACTCCTCAGCCGTTCTGCTCGCCCACCGTTCTGCTCGCCCACCTTTCTTGAGAATTCTCAAAATCCAACTTCACCACCAAGCCGTTCTTCTGTTCTCACCGTTCACCTCTCCTTCTCCCTAACCCGTCGCTCTCGCACAGCTGTGTGCTTTTGTTGAGATGCCTATTCGTCCCCAACCACCTGACCTTATTGTTCAACCTCACTCCTCCCTTTTCCATCCCCCTCTCCCTCCCCCCCCCCCCTCTTCCCCAATCCCCCAAGCTCTGCGGGGATGCCTGTTCGCCCCCCGACCTGTTTCCTGTTGTAGCGCTTCATCGAAACAGATGCCATCCGATCCAGGCAGCGTGATAGAAGTCTGGTTTTGAGGCGCCTCAAATCCAGGCGGCCAACCCCACTCCCCACTAAACCAGCACTTCTTGACCCTCCCTTTGCCCCCTCCCTTCCACGCAGCTCTGCGCAATAGTGGAGATGCCTGTTCGCCCCCCGACCCATCTCCTGTTCGAGCCTTTCATTGAGACAGACCCCATCCGACCGCTGCCGGCACCACCTCTTCCCACTGATTCAGCTCTTCCTGCTGACACTAGCAGAAGTGACATTAACGAAGAACAGCTGCAGGAAGGGGAGGGTGGTGCAAGCAGAAGTGACAATAACGAGGGGCTGGTTTGGGAGGGGAAGCGGCGGTGGGTGGAGGTGACTGTAGGGGTGGTGGGGCACAGGGGAAGGATGAGGGCTCTGGCTCCAAGTGTGACTGTAAAGGAGTCTGGAGACGTGCTGACACTAGAGGAGAAATTCCAAGGTGAGTGTGACTGTAGAGTGTTTTGACCGTTGTATTTCCAGTTAAGGGTTGACGGGTAATCTGGTTTTAGTAGGTGGCGAAGCCACACCACTGCATAAGCAGCATCGTAGGTGGCATGGGAATACTAATCCCACGTACCGTAAAAGCGTTGAATACTGATCCATGGCTGCCTGTCATCGCCCCCTCCTCCCCCCCCCCCTCCCCCCTCCCTCCCTCCGTTTCACTCGTAGGTGGCACAGGCATCAACCTCACTCCTCCTCCAACATCCATCATCAGGTATCACCCTCTGGCCTTAGCATCCTGCTCCCCCCCGTTGCCTTCTCATGAACTCATCAACAGCGACACCCTTTGCTGAGATATATACACAATTGTTTTCCCCGCAGTGAGTCTGCCCAGGAGGCGGGTCGGAGGCGCATTGAGACGGTGGCCAGTGCTCTCAACATCGATGGCTTCGCACGGATTGATGCCTTCATGCACGCGGATACCGGCGAGGTGAGGCATGGCCCCAATCTTGCGTCACTCATTTATGTTACCATATTGTTGGTCCTTGCTCTTACTTTGAAGCCTGTGTGCTCATGCTTGCTCGTGCTTCCATTGTTTCTTAAGCAGGTGATAGTTATCGAAGCTAATACAGTCCCGGGAATGACTCCTTCGACTGTGCTTATGCATCAGGTGAGCTTGGAGTGGAAACCATGCTGCCTTTAATCGCCATGTCGTCAAAACCATTAGAGCTCTTTTTCCACTCACATCTGCTTTCCTTATTTTGCAGGCCTTGGCTGAGTCCCCGCCGATTCGACCGCGTGATTTCTTCGCCATGGCAGTTGAGCATGCTGTTGAAAGGCACAAGAACACGTGATGGATCATCATAAGTGTAGTTGTATTGGATTACCCCATACATGCGGCTATTTGGGTTTGCATTGGGCTGGTTTGTTGACGAGCTTGTAACGAATACACGAGGGAGGGGATTTTTCAGGTGTGATGTGAAGCCCCCCTGCCTGCTGAACGTGGTCCAACAGTATCAGCCAATCAAATTGAAGCATGTGATCGATGTCAAGGAGCCTGTGAGCCAACGGATGAGATTGTCAGATTTGGCGATTCTGCGAAATACCAACGTGTTCTGCGATCCTTTGGGCCAGGAATTTCTCAAGCTCGCCTGCGCCTTGTCATCAATCGGAACTATCACGAGCCTCGCTATTACATATTTGGATCTTTGTACCAGGAAATCGGACGACAGTAGCAGGCTTGGAGTCTGGTCCGGGCTTGCTCGCCTTGATAACGGTTTCGCATTTGCCTGTGCGACCATCGTTTTTTCGTCAGCGCGATTTCGCATGCCGTAGAGCAGGACTTCGCATTCGCTCGGTGTGCTGCCCTCTCAGTTGCTTGTTGGCGACAGCTGTGCGACTGTCATCATCCGCTTGTCTGCTCCTTCTGTGCGACGGTTGAAAGTCTTGAGAATCTCGTGGATTTCGTTACGAGCCTCCGTCTTCTCCATCGCTCTCTTGGAATGGGATTCAGCCACTGACGATGTTGTTACTGCATGCCAGCTTGAGGTGTTGAACAGCCAGCAGGAAAGCTGAATGTATTTCCCAATCAGGGGTTTGGTTTCTCTCAGGTCTAAGGTCTAGGATATTTCGCTGAGAAAAAGGCTCAAATTCTTTTCGTGGGAGCTTAGCTACCCGTTTTTGTCGCGAATAACAGCCCTTTTTTGGGGGACTGATTCTGAATAATCAAGGCATTTGTTTAGGGCACTCCACGCCATTTTTTACACCGAGAGCTGACATTTTAGGCTCGAGATTCACCTCGTAGCATTTTTTTCCAGAAATACTTGGATAACGGAGTTTGCACTGGCGCTTTCCACATGTTCTGACGGTTTTATTAATCCCGACGCCCTTTCCGGTCGTAAAATGGCTGCTGCTGGAAGAAGCGGGCGGAAAGACAAATCTGCATCAGGCCGGTCCTCCGCACAGAAGCAGAGAAAACGAGGCTCGGATTCAAAAGTCCAGAAAATCGAGGATCAGACGAGCGACGAATCTCCGCTGTTGACGTCCTCAGTAACAGAACAACGCACGTTGGTTCATAGCACGGAAACTAGGGAGGACGAAAAGCCAGAAAAGATTCCTCAGATTCGAGCTGTCATTCCCGGTCCCACGCCTGGATCTCGTGTGACTATAGCGGTGGGAAGTAGTGTCCAAGAGATCTGCCTCGTGCCGTTGCTGCAGATTAGATGGATAAGGCCGCAGAAGGTCGGACCTGGCTTGCGAAATTTGGGTAACACATGTTACCTGAACAGCGTGTTACAGTGCTTGACGTACACGCCGCCGCTGGCGAATTTCTGCCTGCAGCAGCAGCACACCAAGATATGTGAGTTCCTGGATGTAACTTAAGCTGATGAGGTATTGTTAACTGAGATGATTTTTAGGCGCCTCATAATTAGTTCCGGCCTGCAGCAGCAGCAGCAGCAGCACACCAAGATATGTGAGTTCCTGGGTGTAGCGTAAGATGATCAAGTATTGTTCCCGATGTCCGTATCACTACTTCCTTGATTAGCTCGATATAGGACGCTTCGGTATCTTTCTGCAGCAACAGCAACCCATCACGATTTGTTAGTGCAATTCCTGACACACGAGGTCAATCAGCCGAGTTTAGAATCGTTCTAGTTGAGCCGTGTTCGATTGGCGTGGTTTTGGGTCAACCAAATGAGCATCAGCCAGGTTCAGATTTGCCTCAGTCAGTTCGGAGTTGCATCAGTCAGTCAAGATTCACATCACTCAGAAAGCAAGCAGGCAGCAGTGGCATCTGGCAGGTAGTAATCACTAGCACCAGCAAGTAAAGATGAGCATATTTCCGTTCATAGTATCAGTCAAATGATTACCAGACAGTGTGACTAGCGTGAGTCCTCGTGATAGGAGTCTAGTTTTGAGGCGCCTCAAAACTATTTCCGTTCATAGTATCAGTCAAATGATCACCAGACAGTCAGACTAGCGTGAGTCCTTTTCAGTTTAGCATCAGTCCGTTCAGATTAGCATCAGTCCGTTCAGTTTAGCGTCAGTCCGTTCAGATTAGCGTTCCGTTCAGATTAGCGTTCCGTTCAGATTAGCATCAGTCCGTTCAGATTAGCGTCAGTCCGTTCAGCTTAGCACCAGTCAGTCGAGATTAGGATCAGACAGTCCGGATTAGCATCAGTCACTTCAAGTTGGCATCAGGTAGTCTATTTAGCGTAGTCCGTTGTTACTGTATTTCACGATCCGATCTGGCGTTAATGAAGTGGATCTGACGTGTTATCCAGTCCGGAACTTCCACAACAGTGCCGTCTGTTGATTACCCAAGCTGGGCTCCAAGTTGACTTTTCACTTCGTGTATTATTTTCACTTCTAAACTGTCACTTCCTTCATTGCCACTGTCGTTCTCTTGGATGGCTATGCTTACCTGTCAGCAACCTTCATTCCCTTCCGAACTCCCCCCTCTCACTCCCTCCCTCCTCCCTCCCCTTCGGTGCACTGCTGAACCCCGGGGGAACGGCGTCCTGCCCCTTCTGCATTCTCGAGCGCCGTATAGTGCGCTTATTGACTCTCGAGGCAGCCCGGGACACGCCTACAATCGTAGTCTATCTTTGAGGCTTCGAAGAAAACCAACCTTCCTTTCACTCCCTCTCACCCACTCCCGCCCTCCCCCCCTTCAGGTGCACTGCTGAACCCTGGGGGAACAGCGTCCTGCCCCTTCTGCATTCTCGAGCGCCGTATAGCCCGCTCTTTGACCCTCGAGGCAGCCCGGGACACGCCCAGAGTCGTGGTCAACCGGTTGAAGCTCATTGCCAAGAGCTTCAGCCACGGGCGGCAGGAGGACGCGCATGAGCTGCTTCGATACGCGATAGAAGCTTGCAACAGAGCGTGTGTAGCCCTGCACAAGAAGGCCGCCGCTGCTGCTGCTGCTGCTGTTGGGGCTGGTTCTGCGGCTGCTGCTGCTGGGGCTGGTTCTACTGCCGGTGATGCTCGTGGGGAAAATGTTAGTTCGGATGTGACTAAATCGGGGCCTGTGAGAGCCTTGAACCAGCTTGTGGAAGGGATGTCTTTAAACGAGGATGCCAGCACTCCGAAGATGCACACGAGGAGAAGCTCCAGACTATCCTTGGACCGAGCGAACAGCAGTAGAGGATCAGCAACCGAGGGAGGTTCACCCGAGGGAGGTTCATTCTTCCAGCAATTTGGCCCTGACCAGCAGCAGCAGCAGTTGTCAGTTGGTCAGCCCTCATTAGTGCCTCGGCTAGGCGATCCAGTGGTAGTAGACACAGAGATGGATCTAGACGTAGCAGAAGTGCCTGAATTGTCTGCTGCTTCTACTACGGGATCAGCAGCAGCAGCAGCAGCAGCTGAGGTAGCTGGGACTGTGGCTGGTAGCAGCAGCGGCGGCGGCGGTGGCGGCAGCGTGCCTAGGAGACGGATGAGCCTGAGAAGACGGGGGTTTGCTACAGACGAGGAGGAAGAGGAGGACAGGGATGGGGGGATTGGGGCCACAGGGTCGGGGACAAGAACGGGGGCGGGGGCGGGGAGAGGAGTGGGCGGAGGAAGGGCGCGGAAGGGAAGGGGAGTTTCACTGCGGGTGGGGGTGCACGTCTTGCCGGGAAGGGGGAAAGGGCGGGGGGCAGGGGGAGCGGGGGCGGCAGGGGCGGTAGCAGATCAGATTGGCTCACCTGGGAAATCTCCTGGTAGAGGCAAGGGGAGCCCCAGGGGAGGGGTAGGGGGATTAGGCGGAGGGGGGGGAGGGGGAGCAGCAGGGGAGGGAGGTGCCAGTGGTTGCTCAGGGGGACAGGATGAGCCGCACACTATAGTGAAAGAGATCTTTGGCGGGATACTGCAGAGCCAAATCCGGTGCTTACAGTGTGACGGGGAGTCTAATAAGAGGGATGCGATTCTGGACCTGAGTCTAGACGTGCACAGGCTTGGGTCGTTAAGAGACGCGCTTAACAGGTTCACTAAGCCAGAGGTGCTGGATGGGGAGAATAAGTACCGGTGTGACAAGTGCAACCGGCTGTCTGCCGCAAGAAAGGCTCTGACCATCTTCCATGCGCCCAACGTTCTTGTCATTCAGTTCAAGGTGCGGACTGGATAGGTTTTAGCATGTGTTAATATTTTGGCAAAGTAGGTTGGGTTGCGCCCGCCATTCGTTTCCTGCCTGCCTGCCTGCCTGCTCTTCCTGTGAGGAAGGCGCTGACCATCTTCCAGGCGCCCAGCATCCTCGTTATTCAGCTCAAGGTGCGAATCAGCTCAAGGTGCGAATCAGCTCAAGGTGCGAATCAGCTCAAGGCGCGAATCAGCTCAAGGCGCGAATCAGCTCAAGGTGCGAATCAGCTCAAGGCGCGAATCAGCTCAAGGCGCGAATCAGCTCAAGGTGCGAATCAGCTCAAGGTGCGACTTGGGAAAACCGCGTGATAGGAGTCTAGTTTTGAGGCGCCTCAAAACTAGACTCCTATCACGCGGATTCAGTTCAAGGTGCGACTTGGGAAATCCAGTTCTTTTGGGTTTGTGATGTTGCCGTGCCCGCCTTCCCCCCCTTCCGTCCTCTTCCCCTCTCTGTCTCCTGTTTTCTGCATCCCGCACTCCATCCCTCCCTCCCCCCTTCACCCACCCTTTCTCCTCTCACTCCCTCCCCCCCTCCCCCTTCCCCCCCCTTTTTTTCGCCCCCCTGCATCCCCGACACCCTTTGTACCAAGCAGCGGTTTGAGAACGTGTTTGGAGGGAAGATCGACCGCCATATCCGATTTGAAGAACACGTCTCTCTGAAAGGCCACATGAGCGACTGTAGCAAGGTGGGCTGTAGCAAGGTGGGTTGTAGCAAGGTGGGCTGTAGCAAGGTGGGCTGTAGCAAGGTGGGTTGTAGCAAGGTGGGCTGTAGCAAGGTGGGTTGTAGCAAGGTGGGCTGTAGCAAGGCAGGCCATAGAAGGGAGGGACTCATCCGGATCACCCGTTATTTTCCCTATGTTTCCATCCGATCTGAGCATACTCTCCTTCCCCTTCTGACCGCCCTTTGTTTTTTAAGAGCACTCTTTCTGGAGTGCGCTGGCTTGTGGTTGCTTTTCCCCTGCTCTCACCTCCCTCCCTGCCACCTGCCACCTGCTCCCTGCTGCTCTACCCTCCCAGGATTCCCAGCCGGAGCACACTCTCTTTGCCGTGCATATCTTCTTCCCGGCTGTTCGCCCGCTGCCTCTTCCCTTCTCCCTTTTCCTCTCCCTTTTCCTGCTCCCTTAGGTCCCCTCTGTCCCCTGTTCTCAGGATTCCCAGCCAGAGTACACTCTCTTCGGCATGCATTTATACTTCCTTGCTGCTCACACCTACCTGCTCCCTTCTCCTGCTCCGCTCCCTGCTGCCTGCTCGCCTCTGTCCTGTGCTCCCAGGATTCCGAGCCAGAGTACACGCTCTTCGGCGTGGTGGTCCATGCGGGGTCGTCCCAAGACTCGGGCCATTACTATGCTTATGTCAAGGTACACTTCTATCCGTGTGTGTGTGAATGTACACTACTAATCGTGTGTGAAGCTAAAGTACCCATGCACATGTGATTTTACACTGCTATGCATGTGTCAAGGTACACTGCTATGCGTTCCAATCATGTATGCTCATGTGAGAACGGTAATTGCTGGCGTCTGCTGCTCTCCACCCTCGCGTTCGTATGTGGGCGGGCGTGCTGTGACGACTGCTCCGTCTCCCCAGTGTACCTACCAGATGTCCTAGCAGACAGGGCGAACAGCACTATTTCGCTTTTAAACCCCCTCCCCCCCTTCTTCACCTGTCCCCCCCCCCCCTTGTTCCCACTGTTCCAGGACTCCTCTGGCAAGTGGGCATGCTGTGACGACTGCTCCGTGTCCCCAGTCTCCCTCCCAGACGTGCTAGCAGGCCTATATGCGCTTCTATCTCCTCCTCTCTACATCCTCCCCCACCCTTTCCCCCTGTGTTCTCCCTTTCGTCCCCCCTACCAGGACTCAACTGGCAAGTGGGCATGCTGTGACGACTGCTCCGTGTCCCCAGTCGCCCTCCCAGACGTGCTAGCAGACAAGGCCTACATGCTCTTCTACCTCCGCACCTCCCCCCGCCCTCCCGGCTCCACCTCCCTCTCCTCCCCCACCTCCCCTCGCCTCTCCCCCCGGTTGCCCGCCCTCCTGTCCACTCCTGCTGCTGTTAAGTCTCCTCTTTCTCCGACTCGCAGTGGGAAGCTTGGTAGCTGCCGTCTATTTGCTGATTTGCAGGCTTCAACAGCCGCAGCTGTTGGCGCTGCTGCTGCTGCTGGTGTTGCTGGTGCTGCTGGCGCTGCTGCCGATGTTGCTGCTGCAGCTGCTACAGCTGCTACAGCTGGTAAAGGTGCTGCAGATCCCTCAACTGGTCGCGTTACCCCTGCTCCTGCTTCCTCTATAGGCGCTACTGCAGCAGATGCTAAGCCAGAGCCAGCAGCAGACTCAGCAGTTCCTGGACCACTCTCAGAAGCGGGTTACATGGTTACAGATGAGCCATCACCAGGCCTTCTAGAGCTACCAGCAGCGGCAGATCAAGCAGAGGCACGGGCAGAAGCACGGGCAGAGGCAGGATTAGCAGCAGCAGAACCAGTAGGGCCAGGTGGAGCAGCTGGCGGGGCGTTTCCTACTTTACCTAAAGCAGTATCTGCACTTGCAGCGCTGGGACTAGTGAGAAGGTTTTCCGCTGCTGCTGCAGCTGCTCCTCCTGCGGCTCCTGCTGCCCCAGCTGCTGTTGCTGCCACTGCTGACACTCCTGCTGCTGCTGCCGCTGCCGCTCCTGCTGCTGCTGCCGCCCCCGCTGCTGCTGTCGCCACTGCTGCTGCTCCTGCTGCCACTCCTGCTACTGCTGCTCCCCCTGTGGCTGCTACAGCTGGCACTGCTGCTACAGACGGTGATAGCAGGCGGAGGAGAGAGAGCAGCAGCAGGGGAAAAGGCAGTGAGAGGCATGGGGCGGGTTCAGGGGCTAAGCGAATTGCCCTGGTGAAAAAGATCGCAGATCTGGCAGCAGACGATTCAACTGCTGCTGCGCCCCACTTTCTCCCAGTGCCCCCTGATGCTGCTGATGCTTCTACTGCTGCTGCGCCTCATTTTGAGTCGACTCAAAAGCATACTTTGGTGAAAAAGATAGCTGATCTGGCAGCAGATGCTTCTACTGCTGCTGCGCCTCATTTTGAGTCGACTCAAAAGCATACTTTGGTGAAAAAGATTGCAGATCTGGCAGCAGATGCTTCTACTGCTGCTGCGCCGCACTACTTCCCTGGGCCTCCTGCTGCTGCTACAGCTTCGCCTCCTGCTGCTGCTACAGCTTCGCCTCCTGCTGCTGCTACAGCTTCGCCTCCGGCTGCTGCTGTTGCTATTATTGCTCCTGTTGCTCCTGCTCCCGCTCCTGCTGCTCCTGCGTCCTCTTCACCTGGTGCTGATGCGGCTCCTGCTTCACCTGCTCCTTCCCCTGAGTTTTCTTCCCCTGCTGCTACTGCCACCTCTGCTCCCTTGTGCGGGGATAGCAGGGGGTTTAGAGGCGTTGCAGCAGGGTGTGCAAGAACAGCAGCAGCTGTTAGCAGCAAGAGATTTCCAGCAGCAGCAGCATCGGCACCAACAGCAGCAGCAGTACTAGCAGAGGAAGTAGTTTTAGGAGCAACAGGTATCGACCCGGCAACAGAGGAAGAGGTACCGCCAGGGGTAGCAGCTACTGCTGCTGTCACCGCTGCTGCAGCAGACACTGCAGCTTGGACATGCACAGGTGCAGCAGCGGATGCTGCAGCAGGTGCGTTAATGAGCGCCGTGGGATTCGAACCGGCGACCTCTCATGTCACGGTGAGTGGAAGCCAAGCTGCAGAGCCGGTTTCAAGGGAAGACACGTCAGGGGCGTCCGTGCCCCACGAGATTGGTGCTGAGGTTCCTCTCTGCAATGAGGGGATGCAGAGGGATGTGGGGGTATTGCGGGTTAAGGGGTTAGAGGGGAATGCGTCATTGAGGGGTGAGGGGCGGGAGGAATGGAGCACTGCTGGGAGGCTGGAATGCAAGGGGTTAGAGTGCAAAGATGAGGACTTAGTCGGTGAGAGCGAGGAGATAGCAGGAGAAGGTTCACCAGAGAAGGGTTTCGGGTTAGGGGACGAGATAGCATGCAAAGGCGTTCCCGAAGCAGACTTTAGAGTCGAGGCGTTTGGCCCACAGGGTACACGGCATATTGGAGAAGACGAGTATGCGAAGGGAGAGCTTAGAGGGGAAGAGTGTAGGGAGGCGTTGAGAGAGGTAGCGTTGGATCAAGAGGGTTGTAGCGAGGAGGATTCAGGAGGCGAACTGTATGCAGTAAATGCAGGTAGGGCTTTCCCTCCTGCTCTCCCTCCTGCTCTCCCTCCTGCTCCCCCTCCTGCTCTTCATCCTCCCCCTACCCCTCCTCCTCCTCCTCGTCCTCATGCTCCTCCTCCTGCTGCCGCTCTTTCTCCTGCAGCCCTTCCTGCCTCCTCTGGTGCGTCTCCTTCGCCTCCTCCCCTTCCCTCTCCTCCTCCTCTTCCTTCTCCTCCTCCTCTTCCTTCTCCTCCTCCTCTTCCTTCTCCTCCTCTTCCGTCTCCTGCCTCTGCCCTCCATGCGAGCATTTGCCCCGTTCCTCCGCCCACCAACGCGCCCGGATCCAGGTGGCTAGCTGCGAGAAAGAGTGGCGTTGGTGCAGCAGGGGCTGTGACAGCACCAGTATCAGCAGCAGGGGGGATGAGTATGAGTCTATCAGATGGCCCTGCAGTGAGCGACTCTGGTTTGCATTTGCACCACCAAGCAGCAGTGGTGCCGGCATCTGGACCTGCTATGGGCGACTCCGGTTTGCATTTGCACCACCAGGCAGCAGCGGTGCAAGCATCTCGGCCTGTAATCAAGGCGGAACGGGACCCTGTTATCTGTTCGTTTAGCTTTGCCTCTGATATATTCTGCGGCTCTATCAAAGACAGACATGGGCCAGGGCTTTCATCTGGAGGATTGACTTCGCCGTCTAGGGGACGGCCTACTTTGGCCACTCATGAGCCAGTGGTTGCTGGAGGTGGTTACCCAGTTACGCCTGCAGCGAGTGTTGCGCCTGTGGCACGATTTGCACCTGTGGTTGTGGCAGTAGGGACAGCAGTGGCTGTGGCAAGCCAGGATGACCTAGCTAGGCAACAGCAACTGATACTGCAGCAGCAGCAGCAGCAGCAGCATAAACAGCAGCTGCCACACACACCTCCACAGCTGCTACCTATCCCTGTCCCTGCTTTTGCCCATCCACCCACTTGCACTCGCTTGGTTCTCCCCCCTCTTGCGTGGAGACTTTCAAGTCCCAAGGTGCTTTCACCGCCAGTGCAGCAGATTCAGTCAAGTCCCAAGGTGCTTTCACCGCCAGTGCAGCAGCAGCAGCAGCAGCAGCAGGTGTCGTGTGAGCTCACTCCAAAGGGGCACCAGGTACTACCCCTGCCTATGCCCGACACGCCGTTTCCACAGCCCATGCAGCCGATGGCAACTCCTGAGACTTTTTCACAGTCCTCACAGCAGCAGCAACATCAGCAGCAGCAGCAGCAGCAGGCACATCCACACGAGAAGCAGCAGCAGTTATTCCGGGAGCCAGCCTTCGATCAGAGACATTTATCACTAGCGCCACGGCAAGTGGTGGGCGCTATCTCAGACTGCATACATCAACAACAGGAATTGCAGTGGCAGCAGCTGCAGCTACAGCACCAGCAGCACCAGCAGCAACATCCGCTGCAGCAACAACAGCAACAGCTGCAAGAACAACCGCAACAACAGCAGCAGCAACAGCAGCAGCAGCAGCAGCATCAACAGCAGCAGCAGCAACAACAGCACCAGCAGCAGCAACAACAGCAGCAGCAACAGCAGCAGCAGCAGCAACAACAGCAGCAACAGCAACAACAGCAGCAGCAGCAACAGCAGCAGCAGCAGCAGCAGCAGCAGCAGCAGCAACAACAGCAGCACCAGCAACTTATGGCATCTCAAACCCAATCGCCTGGGAGGAGCAAAGCCGATAAGCCGGTTGAGGTCCCGATATTGTCACACACGGTACAGTCACCTCCTCCCCAGTCTATGCAGCTGCTCACCCGGTCAAGGAAAGCTGCTGCTGCTGCAGCAGCAGCAGCCACAGCAGCCACAGCAGCCACAGCAGCCACAGCAGCCACAGCAGCCACATCAGGTTTAGCTGCCCCAACAGCAGAAGGGGAAGCAGCAGCAGCAGCAGCAGCAGCAGGAGCAGCAGCAAGGGAAGCTGTAGCAGCCACAGCTCCTGTGGCAGCTGTAGGGGGGCTTGCAGCAGAGGTGAAGGAAGAGAGAGGAAGCAAACGACCCCTTGCCACCTATGTTCGAAGCCACTCGCGTGCCGCTGCTCTTGCTGACGTGTCACCACGTGCTGATGTGGCACCATCTGATGATGCCATGTCAGCACGTCCGAGAGCACGCTCTGCTGTCCCATTACCCCCGCGGGCCAAGCTGCCCCGGGCGGCAAAGTCGAACCGTGTCGGGACTGCTGAGCTCATCAGTGGAAGACTGTCCACGTCAGCTGCTCACTTGCCAGGTCAGACCTCCACTCTGCCAGCTCAGCCGTCGCCCTCGCCACCTCAACGGCGATTGGGACTGAAGCAGGTGAATCTGAAAGAGAGAGCGCGAGCGGATAGGGCAGCAGAGGCGAGGGTTCGGGAGGTTACGATAAAATATGCGGATGTTAGAGATGTGGGAGTGAGGAGCAGTAGAGCTGGGGAAAGTTGTGCTGCAGATGTGGGAGTGAGGAGCGGCGGAGTTGGAGAAAGCTGTGCTGCGGATCTGGGTGTAAGAAGTGGTGTTTTTGGGGGAGCTGGCGTTAGGGAGGCTGGTGTGACAAGCGGTGGTGGTGGTGGTGGCGGTGGTGGTGGTGGTGCTGCTGCTGCTGCTGCTGCTGCTGATGGTGCTGGTGGTGTTGGCGGTGTTGGTGCTGGTAGTGGTGTTGGTGGTTCTGGTGGTGCTGGTGCACATGGCACCAGCACTGCCCCGGCATGTTCGAATGACGTGCAAATTATGGGTGAAGATACTTGTGGTGCTAACGGTGCGAGGGGCTCTCTATACGCACACGCTGCTGATGGCAGCAGTGGGAAACTACATTCTAGTGATAGGGTCATGAACGGTGCAGATTCTTCTGGCGATAAGGGCGTGAACGGCCCAGATTCTTTTGGTGATAAGGGCATGAACGGCACGGATTCTCTGGACTGGACTGCTGCAGGTAGGTGGGCTGAGATGACGTGGAGTGCAGAGGAGGAGCGGTGCTTGCTGGCCGCTACTGAAGATTTAGAGGGAGAGTTTGGTATGGAGCTGGGTGGAGCGTTCGGTGGGGATTTTGAAGGGGATTTTGGCGGGGGTTTAGGAGGGTTTTTGGGCCAGGATTTAGGCGATTTTGGGTTTGGGGATGCGGATTTTCTTGACCTGCCTTGGACAGAGGTGACTGTTCCAGATGTGACTGTGCTGCATGGTCCTGCTACGGGTATGACTGCTGTACATGTGACTGTAGCAGGTGTGGGTGGGGCGCAGGGTGCTTCCACAGGTGCGGTGGCTGTGACTGTAACAGGTGCAACTGTAGCGGACTCGGGTCTGAGTTGTATGGAGGAACCGGGTGCAGGGGACGAGGTGTCAGCAGGGGTTGAAGTCCTTGCGGCAGAAGCGGAAGCATTAGGAGCAGGAACAGCAGGGGTAGAAGCATTAAGGGTAGAAGCATCAAGGGTTCAAGCAGTGGTAACAGCCGCAGGTGCAGAAACAGCAGAGGGAGCAGTAAAAGCAGAAGAGCCATCCACGGGAGCGGCACCAGTGCGAGCATCAGGAACGGAAGTATCAGCATCGCCAGGTCAAATCTTCATGGGGAAGGATGGTTTGGTCGCTTACCCAGGTAGCGTACGCCCACATGCTCAGGTTGCTGCTCAGGTTGCTGGTCAGGTTGCTGCTCAGGTTGCTGGTCAGGTTGTTGCTCAGGTTGCTGCTCAGGTTGCTGGTCAGGTTGCTGGTCAGGTTGTTGCTCAGGTTGCTGGTCAGGTCGTTGCACAGGTTGGTGGCGCGCAGTCATCGCCAGGTGATTTGGGAAACCAACCTGGAGCTTGTCTTGATGAGCGGGGCGCACCTGTTTCCTCTCTACCACTGCCAAGCTTTGTCTCGTCTGAACCACAGGCACCTGTTGTTGTCCCTTCTGCACCACAGGCACATGTTGTCCGTTCTGCACCGTTGGCACCTGTTGTCTCTTCTGTCTCACAGGTGCCAACTGATACTCCCGTGCTTGCAGCCTCCCCTCTCTCTCCTGCCTGCCCTGTCAATGCCGCCCCAAATTGTGGCCCCCAAAAAGTTGCAACCTTCCCCCCTACAGCTTCAACCTCCCCCCGTTCTCCCTCTCTGGTTGCCTCCCCCACTGCCGTCACTCTTCCCCTCACTTCCCCCGACCCCCTCTCTCCCCAAGTCCTTTCCCCCGCCCCCCCCTCCCGATTCTCCCCGCTCTCTAGCCCCCCTTGGGCGCTGGTTGACACTGCAGGGGCGCATGCGGGCGGGGATGCGGGGGGGAGTGGGGTAGGGCTTGGGGAAGCAACGGGGGGGAATGGGGGAGGGGAAGCGGGGGGGAATGAGGGAGGGGAAGTGGAATGGGATGGGGAAGGGCTTTGGGGCGGGGAAATAGGGGGAGACGGGGAAGGAGACGGGGGAAGGGAAACCGGTGTGGCTATTAGGTGTGAGTGGAGGCAGGAGGAGAGGGAAGAGCAGCAGGGGGAAGAGCAGCAGGGGGAAGCGGAGCACAAAGAAAGGGAGCTGGAAGAAGGGGAAAGGGAGGAGACGCAGGATGAGGAAAGGGGAGGAAAGGGAAGGGAAAGGGAAGTGGAGGAATCGGGGCAACAGGGGGAGGGGAGCAGGGAGAAGGAGACAGGATTTGAGGAGCACGAGAGAAGGGAAGGAGAGAGAGAGGAGGAAGGAGCGGGTGAGGGGGAAGTGGGAGAGGAAGGAGGAGAGGAGGGAGGGGAAGAGGAAGGAGAGAAAGAAGGAGAAAGAAGGAGAAAGAAGGACTCAAATGATGACGTGGTAGATGATGACAGCGATGATGACGTGGAAGCTGTTGAGAGTGATGATGACGTGGTGGAGATCCCAACGAATCAGGATCAAGTGAAATGGCTTGCTGGTCGTGCTGGCAACGAATCTGGTACTGGGGAGGATTCTGCTGGTAGGGGTAGCAGCAATGCTGCTGCTGCTACTGAGAATGATAGTCCTGCTGCTGCTGCTACTGATGCAGCTGCTGCTGCATGCAGGGCTGACTGCGTTGCCGACGTGGCAACAAATTGTCCAGAGCAGAACAGACCAGAGGGGCTACAGGCAGCAAAAGAAGCAGGTTCACAAAAAGCAGCAGGCCGAGGGGGGGCAGAGGCACAAGCAGGAGAACGAGCAGACGCAACAGAGGCAACAGAAGGGGCAGCGGCGGCAGAGGGAGCAGAGGCAATAGAGGCAACAGAGGGGGCAGGGGCAGTAGATACAACAGTGGGAGTGATGGCCATTGAGGCGAGAGATGCGGCAGGGGCAATAGAGGCAACAGAGGGGGCAGGGGCAGCAGAGGTAACAGAGGGGGCAGGGGCAGCAGAGCGGGCAGAGGCAGCAGAGCGGGCAGAGGCAGCAGAGCGGGCAGAGGCAGCAGAGCGGGCAGAGGCAGCAGAGCGGGCAGAGGCAGCAGAGCGGGCAGAGGCAGCAGAGCGGGCAGAGGCAGCAGAGGCGGGAGTAGTAGCGCAAGGGACAGGCACCAGGGGTTGTGCCAAGGCGGAGGTAGCCTTGCCCCTGCAAACACCAGAATCAACGCAAGAGGTTGAGGGGCCTGGTTCGATGAAGCAGGTGTCTCCTGAGCCGATGATTCTGAGGCAGGTTACTGATGTTTCAGGTGCTTCTGAGCCCGAGCAGAGAGTTTTTGTAGTCTCCCACAAGTCACCTGTAGCTTTTCCCGATACCCAGCAGCAATGGGCAGCCATTGAGCCGACTCAGAAGCAGGTTCTTTTGGTGCCTCACAAGCCACTTGTGACTTCTCTTGAGTCGATTCAAAAGCTACCTGCGTTTTCTGAGCACCACCAGCGGCAGCAGGGAGTCCTAGCCACGGCAGCTCCTGTAACTGGTTTCGATCCAAGTTACGGTGTTACCAACCAAATAGCATACCTTCAAAGTTTGGTGCCAGATACGGGTCGTGAGCTGAAGCCGGCCAGTATGGCACTCTGTGGGGCTGATGTTAGCAGCAGAGCGGCTGATGTGGCGGTGTGTGAGGCTGACGTGGTTGGCAGAGCAGCTGATGTGGCAGATGGGGGTTTTGCAGCAGGAGGGGCAGCAGGAGGCGCAGGAGGCGCAGGAGGGGCAGCAGAGGACGGAGACATGTCCCCCTCTCTCTCCTCCTTCCCATCCCCCTTTGCCTGTTTCTCTGCCTCCCCCTTTTCCTCCCACTCCCTTCCCTGCCCCCCCCTGCCCTCCCCTTCCTTCCCTTCTCCCAGCGCTTGTCTAGACATGTGGTCTGCTGAAGGGTCGTCCTTCCCCTCTTCCGTCCCTTCCTCCCTTCCCTCCTCCCTTCCCTCCTCTCTTCCCTTCTCTCTTCCCTCCTCTCTTCCCTCCTCTCTTCCCTCCTCTCTTCCCGCCTCCCTTTCCTCCTCCCTTCCGTCCTCCTTCCCGTCCGCCCTCCCCTCCTCCCTGCCCTCTTCCGTCCCTTCCTCCATCCCCTCATCCCTCCCCTCCTCATTCCCCTCCTCCTCCTCCACCGCCTCCCCTCCCTTCTCCCCACCTCCCATGTCTCACGCTCAATTCCCTGTGGACGCCCTCTCATTTTACAAGGCATGGGCCCAGCGTAACGACACTGGTACTTACATAAGTGCACGTGCCACTAAGGGGGATATGAAACACGAGGAGAAGGGAGAAGTGGGAAACGAAGTGGGGGCGAGGCCGGAAAGAGAGAGAGGGCAGCAGGGAGAGCAGCAGGAGAAGAAGGAGCAGCAAGTGGAGGAAGTAGGAGGGGAGAGAGGCCAGGAGGAGCAGCCGAGGGAGGTACCAACGGAACAGGAGCAACAGGAGGAGGTAGAGAAACAGCAGCAAGCGGAGCAAGAGGAGCGACAGGTGGAGGAGGCAGAGGAGAAACTGCAAGAGAGGCAAGAGGAACCGAAACAGCAGCAGCAGGGGCAGGGGCAGCAGCAGGAGGAGCGACGGAAACTGCAGGTGGAACAGGAAGGGCAGCACAGGCAGGAGCAGGAGCATGAGGAGCAGGGGGAAGGGAAACAGCAGCAGCAGCAGCAGCAGCAGCAGCAGGAGAAACAGGGGGGGCAGCACGGACAGGAGCAGCAGCAGTCGGAAGAGGTTCAGCGGCAGGAGCAGGAGCCGCAGGGGCAGGGGCAGCAGCAGCAGCAGCAGCAGCAGCAGCAGCAGCAGGCAGACGAGCAGCAGCAGGGAGAGGGGCAAGAGGAATTGGCACAGCAACGGGGGGAGGAGAGGGAGCAGGCGGAGGAAGGCGAGGAGATGGGGGAGGAAGAGGAAGAAGAGGAGGAGGAGGAAGCTGAAGTGCTGGATGTAGATTGGGTGGGGTATGACGAGGTGTGGGCGGGGAGGGGTGGCCGGGTCGCAAGCGTCAAGCAAGGCGGGGAGAGAGAGGAGGAGAGTGAGGGGGGGGATCTGGACGAGGAGGGGGATGGCGGAGAGGGGGAGGGGGAGGAGGAGGAGGAAGAGGACGTGGCGAGTGATGTGACGGAGGCTGCTGCGTCGGACGAGGTGGAGTGGGAGTCGTGCCTTAAGGTGCTGCATGCATCTGTGGAAGACTATGAGGAGGGGCCTCAAGATGCATCTATGGCCCATGGCAATGCTGCATGTCTTCCTGTTACTGCTGCTGCTGCTGCTGCAGTAACTGCTGCTCCTGCTGGTGCTGGTGGTGGTGCCGCTGTCGCGGCTGCAGCTGGCGTTACTGGTCTAGTTGCTGCTGTGGTGGTTGAAGGGCTTATGGACGGCAGAGCGGTTATGCAGGAGCTGGGGGCGGGTGCGTTTGAAGCCCCCAAGACGCCTCAGGCGGATGGTGAGACCTGTGAGATGAGGGAGTGGAAGAGAGGAGGACACGGGGAGGAGGAGGAGGATGAGGAGGACGGGGAGGAGGGGGAGAAAGCGGAGGAGGAGGAGGAGCAAGAGGAGAAACGGGATGAGGCAGAGGAAGAAAAGAAGGAAGGAGGCAGCTGGCCCAGTGACGGCGATTTCGTGCCTGAGAATGGGCTTGGGGAGGAAGTGCAGGTGGCAGCAGAGGAGGAAGGGGCAGCTGAGGTGGCAGCAGACGTGGCAGCTGATGCAACAGCCGAGCTTGACGCAGAGGTAGAAGTGGAAACAGAAGGAGAAGGTGAAGCTGTAGTAGCAGCAGGAGCAGCAGACTCAGAAGCAGGAGCAGAATATGAGATGGAACCAGCAGGAGGAGCTGAGGCTGAGGCAGAAATGGAAAGGGAGGGAGGAGAGGGCGACCCAGAAGCAGAAGCAGTAGAAACTGAAGTAGCTGCAGAAGTAGCAACAGAGGCAGAGGCAGAGGCAGAGGCAGAATCAATAGAAGCAAAAGCAGCAGCATACGAGGAGCCAGAGGCAGAGGAAGAGGCAAACGCAATAGGGGAAGACGCAATAGAAGCAGAAGCTGTTGAGGAAGTAGCAGCAGGTGTTGCCGCAGAAGTAGAGGCAGGTGTAGCAGCAAACGAAGCAGCCATAATGAAGGGAGGGAGAAGGGTAGAGGCAGAGGCAGAGCCAGAGGCACGGGCAAGGGTCAAGGGAGAAAACGAGATTGCAGCAGCAGCAGGGGCAGTGGCAGAGGTAGGATCAGTGATGGGAGCAGGAGAAGCAGCAGAGGCAGAGGCGGAGGAGGAGGAAGGGGGAGGCGGAGAGAGGGAAGGAGAGGGAGCGATGGTTGTCTGTGGGGAAGCAGGGGAGCGAGCAGGAGATGCCGCAGAGGCAGAGGCGGAGGGAGAGGAAGGGGGAGAGGGAGAGGGAGAGGGAGAGGGAGATACAGAGGGAGAGACTGTTGTATGCTTGAAGGCGAGAGAAGGAGCTGGGATGGAGGCTGAAGGTGCAGAAGTGGTGGGAGGAGGAGCAGATGGGGTAAAGGGAGGAGCAGAGGAGGTAAAGGGAGGAGCAGAGGAGGTAAAGGGAGGAGCAGAGGAGGTAAAGGGAGGAGCAGAGGAGGTAAAGGGAGGAGCAGAGGAGGCGGGAGGAGGAGAGGAGGCGGGAGGAGGAGAGGAGGCGGGAGGAGGAGAGTGGGTAGAAGGAGGAGCAGACGAGCTAGAGAGAGGGGCAGGGGAGGTAGTGGGAGCAGAGGAGGTAGAGGGAAGAGCAGGGGAGGTAGAGGGAAGAGCAGGGGAGGCTGTAGGGATTTGTCCCATGGGAATTGCAGAGGCAGAGGCGGAGGCAGACGCAGTTTTAACAGCAGGGACGGCACCAGCAGCAGCAGCGGAGGGAGAGGAACAAGCAGGGGAGGAAGGAGCAGGGGAAGGGGAGGAAGGAGGAGGGAGAGCTGGCGGGATGGATGCAGAGGGAGAAGCAGATGGGAAGGATGGGGATCGGGAGGAAGAAGCAGGGGAAGGAGTGGAGGCATTTGAAGAAGCAGATGAGCGAGTAGGGGAAGCTGGTGGGATGGGGGCAGAAGGTGGAGAAAGCATGAAGGGTGTGAACGGGGGTGAAAGCGCAGGGGGGGCTGATGCTGCTTCTGCTGCTGCTAATGCTGCTGATGCTGCCGATGCTTCTGATGCTGCGGATGCTGCCGATGCAGGAGAAGGAGAAAGAGAAAACGAGGAAGAAGCGAGAGGAGCTGAGGAGGAACAAGCAAGGGAAGGTGGCGAGATGGAGCTGGAAGGAGCTGCAGTAGACATAGAGCAGATGGAAGGGGACAGAGGAGGAGCAGACGAACAGGCAGAGCAAGGTGGAGCGATGGGGGCAGAGGGAGAGAGGGGGAGAGCCTTAAAGGAGGTGGACGGAGATGAGGGAGCAGGAAGGGCGGAGAGAGAGGCTGGGGAAGCAGAGGAAGATGAAGAAGAAGCAGATGAAGAAGCAGCAGGGGACGCAGGGAGAATTGCTGGGGTGGGAGAGGGGGCAGCAGGAGGGGTAGACATGGATGGGGTGGAACGGGATGAGCATGAGGGTCGTTCCGACGTGGAAGCTGGGGCACAGGCTGGTTCTATTGGGGAGACAGGGTCCGAAGCTGGTTCTCAGCCCAGGGCCAAGGCTGATGTGCAGGCTTGGGCCGAAGCTGCTGTGCAAACAGGGGATGTGCTTGTGGGACGGGCACCAACAGCCGTCGATGCAGCAGTGGTTGATGCAGCAGCCGTCGATGCAGCAGTGGTTGATGCCAGAGATGCCACTGACGGGGAGACGGAAGGAAATGGGGAGAAGGATGGTTCAAGGGGTGGGGAGATGGAGGAGGGTGAGGGGAATCTATTTTTGAGGCGCCTCAAAATTAGGCTCCTCACAAATGGGGAGAAGGATGATTCAGGGGGTGGGGAGAGGGAGGAGGGCGACGGGAATAAGCAGGTAGAGGGTGAAGACGATGCAGGAGGACCCGGCATTTCACAGGCTGTAGCAGCCCCAGCTGTAGCGGCACCAGCTGTAGCAGCGGCTACTGCCCTTTCCCCCACCCCTGCTCCTGCCTCTACCCTGGCTCCTGCCCCGGCCACTGCTCCAACTACCAGTGCTAGTCACTCACCCCAAAGCGGACCCATCCTTCCCACCCCCTCCCTCCCTCTCCTCTCCATCGCTCCTCCCGCCCCTCCCCTCGTGCCACTGGCGCCTGCACCACCTGCCCCCTTCTCACCAGTAGCAACAGCTCCATCTGTAGCAACAGCTCCATCTGTAGCAACAGCTCCATCTGTAGCAACAGCTCCATCTGTAGCAACAGCTCCATCTGTAGCAACAGCTCCATCTGTAGCAGCAGCAGCACCATCTGTAGCAACAGCTCCATCTGTAGCAGCAGCAGCACCATCTGTAGCAACAGCTCCATCTGTAGCAGCAGCAGCACCATCTGTTGCAACAGCAGCACCATCTGTAGCAACAGCAGCACCCACAGTGTCTGTGGCATGTGTAGCAGCAGCCACAGGCCTTGACACGGCTCATGCGCTCGTGGTGTCTCTTGCTCTGCATCGAGCCAAGGCCCGAGCTGTAGCCGCTGCTGCTGTTCCTGCAGCTGTTTCTGCTGCTGGTGGTAATTCTGCCGCCCTTGCTGCTGCTGCTGCTGCTGTTGCCGCTGCTCTTGGGAAGCCAGCACATGCCACGTCATCTGCAACTGCAACTATTTTTGAGGCGCCTAAAAAACCTACGGCACTTTCACTGCCATTCCCACCAGCGCTACCAGCAGCACCGCCACCATCTCTATCCCTTTCGCCATGGGGGGATGAGGAACTTCCTCCGGGTGTAGACAGGCCATCACATGTCGGGTCCTTTCCATCACATGTTGGGTCCTTTCCATCACATGTTGGGTCCTTGTCGTCACATGTTGGGTCCTTGTCGTCACATGTTGGGTCCTTGTCGTCACATGTTGGGTCCTTGTCGTCATCGCATGTAGAGGATCCGCTGCCACATGGTGAAGCACCTTCTGTGGTAACATGGAGCCGCGAATTCTCGTCAGCAGCAGCCGCAACAGACAGAGCAGCAGCAGCCACAACAGACAGAGCAGCAGCAGCAGCAGCAGCAGCAGCGGCACCAGAGCCGCTCATGGGATGGGGCGGATCACCTTCCTTGTCAGCAGCTGCCGCCTGTACTGCTGCTTGGTATGCGTGGACTCGTAGCATGGGCGGCCGAGCCACTCCTGCTCTTGCCCCCCTGCCCCCACCAGCTAATGCGTCTCCCCCAAGCCTTGCTGCAGCTGCTGCTAGCACTGGCAAGAGGAAAGCAGCAGCAGCAGCAGCTGCAACCACTGAAGCTGCTGCGGCTGCTGCTGCTGCTGCTGCTGCTGCTGCTGCTGGTTCGTCGTGGCCTTCACCTGTCAAAGTGGCGGAAAGCAACGATGCTTTTCCAAGGGTCACTGCTTCATCCGCTGCTGGCCTTGGCGGAGGTAAGCCTGCTGCAGCAGCAGCAGCAGCGGCAGCAGCGGCATCAGGGCTGGTTTCAGCAGCAGCAGCAGCAGCAGCGGCATCAGGGCTGGTTTCAGCAGCAGCAGCAGCAGCAGCGGCATCAGGGCTGGTTTCAGCAGCTGCAGCACCGGCTGCAGCTGTTAAGTGGCCGGTCACAGTTGCAGAAGGGGGGGGCAATAAGAAAGCCAGGATTTCCTCTCCCCCTGCTGCTGCTCCTGCTGCTCCTGCTGCTGCTGTGCCCGCTGCCGCTGCTCCCGCTGCTGCTGCTCCTTCTGCTGTTGTGTGGGCGGCTGCCAGCGCATTCAGACCTGTTCATAGTGCCGATCCCAACTTTGCTCCTAAGGCCCTTGCTGCTGCAAAGGCTCCTTCGCCTCTGAAGCCTCGCTCGATTGCAAAGGCCGGGCTCTCACTTGCGGGTAACACTGCAAGGATCGTTGCTGCTGTTGCTGCTGTCACTTCTCCCGCTGCTGCTGCTGCGGTCAGAGCGAGGATGAGCAACGCCAAGGCAGTCATTTCCGAGGACGAAGGGAGGTTTTCAGAAGTGGAGGCGGAGGGTTTGCTGTACCAGCAGCCGGTAAAGGCGGTACTTCCTGTGCAAGAGGAGAAGTCCTTAGAGTTGGAGGCTGAGGCAAAGGGTTTGCCATATCAGCTGGTGAAGGTAGTAACTCCTGGAGACACTACCATTGCGCAGGCTGATTTGGGGGAGGTTGACGTGGTGGAGGTTGGTGCGGGGGAGGTTGGTGTGGGGGAGTCTGGTGCATCACATGCAGAGATGAGTTTTTACCTGCCATACTCTGACAGCTCGCCTGAACCTTCTGACAACTCACCTGAGCACCCTGGCATGTCACCTGAGCACCCTGGCATGTCACCTGAGCATATGTCACCTGAGCACCTGTCACCTGAGCACCTGTCACCTGAGCACCTGTCACCTGAGCACCTGTCACCTGAGCACCCTGACGTATCGTCTGATCATAAAGGCTTGACACCTGTCAGGGCTGTCAGCGAACCATCTGGACTCCCACCTGGAGAACCACCTGAGCTATCTGCTGGCAAAGCACTCGAGGCAGGTCAGGTTGCCCATTCACCTGAGACTCAGATTGCCCATTCACCTGAAGCTTTACCTGAACGTTCACCTGAGGGTCCACACGAACGTTCTCCTGAAGGTTCGCCCCTTGGAGAAACAAAGGAGCTTGCTCCTGCTGTTGCTGCTTCTCCTGCGTCTCCTGTGTCTCCTTCTCCTGCTCCGTCTGCTACCTCTGCTGGAGCTGCCGATTTTGTTGCTGATGCTGGTGGTGATGGCGGTTCTGCTACCTCCACTGCTGCTGCCATTGGTGACCCTACTGCCTCCGCCACTCCTGCTGCTGCCACTGATGCCGCTGGTATTGCTGCTGCTACTGCTGATGCGGCAACTGCTATTACTAATGCTGCTGCTGTTGATGCTGATGCTGCTGAGACAGCTGCTGATGCTGCTGCTGCTACTGCTATTGGTGCTGATGCTGCTGCTGCTGCTGATGCTGATGCTGCTGCTGATGCTGACAATTTCAGAGCCGTTGCAACAAGCAGTGCTGATGCTGCCACAGATTCTGCTGCTGACAACGCTACTGCCACTCACACAACTGCTGCTGCAGACAACGATACAGCCACTCACACAACTGCTGCTGCTGACAACGATACAGCCACTCACACAACTGCTGCTGCTGACAACGCTACAGCCACTCACACATCTGCTGCTGCTGACAATGATCCTGCTACTTCTCCACCAGATGCCCCCCCCCACCTGCCTCCTATCGGTGCTATACCATCTTTCCATCCCCCATCTATTCTCCCCCCTATAGGAGCAGTTTCCCGTCTCCCCCCCATAGGTGCTGCAGCATCGCTTCCCCCTATAGGCGCAGCAGCATCCTTCCCCCCCATTGGCGCAGCAGCATCTCTTCCCCCCATCGGCATGCCCCACTCTTTCCCCTTCCCGCCCTTCCTTCCCTTTCCCCTCGGCCCCTTTCCCGCCCTTGGGTACAATTCGGGTTACCAGCTCTCTGCTGCTCAGATGCTCTTTCTCAGCCGAATTGCTGGCTTTGGAAACGCACCTTCCGGTTTTGGAAACGTTTCTAATTTTGGAAATGTTTCCAATCGCGGAAATGCTGGCCGTGGGGCAACTGGTGAGGCTAAGCGCGTTCCTGGTTCTGCTGGTGCTGGTTCTGCTGTTACCAATACTGCTAGTGCTGCTGTTTCTGGGTTGAGTGCTGGCTCTGCTGCTGCGTCCATTCCTGCTGGTGCCACTGCTGCTGCTGCCACCGCTGCTGCTGCTGCCGTTACTGCAGGTAGTGCAGCCGCTGGGACTCCTTCCGCTGCTGCTGAATCTGAAGCAGCTGGTTCTCCAGCAGCAGTAGCCGCTGCTGCTGCAGCAACCGGCGAATGTGGCCGGTACAGTGGGGGTGCACCACGTGCCAGCACGCGTATGAGCAGGGCGGTTGCGTGTGAGGAGCAAGGGAATGAGTGGCAGGAGGCAGCAGCAGCAGTGCCTAGCAGCGAATGGCAGGATGCACCACTTGTGTTTGGGCTGAACGCCGTCCCACCTGGTGCTGTTCTCAATGAGACCGCTGTTGCAGAGGAGACAGAGGACGCAGAGGAGGGAGGAGAGGAAGAGGAGGGAGAGGAGGGAGAGGAGGGAGAGGAGGGAAAGGAGGGACAGGAGGCAAGGGACGTAGGCGGGGTTTTGGGCGCGTCTCTGACTGAGGGGGAAACTGGAGAGGAGGAAGACGCGGATGCGGGGGAAGCGGGCGCAGTGGTGACTTTTGACGAGGTGACTCAAAAGTCACCTCGTCACAATGTCGCACACGTCGGTGTGGTGAGATCGGTTTTGAGGCGCCTCAAAACTGGATCGCTGCTTGGCTACGATACGCCTCTTGAGGCGCAGATACACGAGCCTTTAACTGCGCCTCTTGAGGAACCTTTTGAGGGGCCTCAGGTTGTCGGCGCAGCCGAAGGGGAAGCTGGACAGAACGTGCTGAAGTCGCTGCTTGGCTATGAGACGGATGGAGAGGAGGAGGAAGAGGAGGGGGAGGAGGAGGAGGAGGAAGTGGGGGGAGAAGGTACCGGAGGGATAGGAAAGGAGGGAGCAGGAAAGAATGGGAAAGCCGCAGCAGCAACAGCAGCAGGAGGGATAGGAAAGGCTGGGGCATCGGCAGGAGCATCGGCAACTGAGTGCAAAGCCACAGTGACAGCAGCTGCTGCTGCTGCTGGAGGAGCAGCAGGGAGTGGGGCAGCAGGGAGTGGGGCAGAGAGAAGGGCAGCATCCAGAGCATTGGCAGAAGCGCGTAGGGCAAGAGAGAGCAAAGCTGCAGTGGCAGCAGGTGGAGAGGGGGGTATGAACAAAGCAAGAGGCCCCTCTGCTGAAGGGGCTTTGAATGGGAAGGCAGATAGAGGTGGTGGACTGCTGACGGGAAGTGGCAAGAGCAGGGAGGGGGGGAGAGGTATGGTATCAGGAGCAGCGGCAGGAGGAGGGGCTGTGGTTAAAGCTAGAGGCCCCTCTGCTGAAGGGCATTTGAATGCGAAGGCAGATAGAGGTAGTGAACTGGTGAAGGAGAGTGGAAGCGGCGTGGGGGGGACACATGGAGGAACAGCATTGGCTGCAGTGGATGCTGGTAACTGCAGCCGTGGGAGGGAGAAGGGGCGTGAGGTGGATGTGAGAACGGAAAGGGACAGTGGGAAGGTGGGAGGAGAAAGAGCGGTGGTAGCACGTGTGGCAACAGCAGTGGCTGCGGTGGGTGGTGGAGGCAGCCGTGGGAGGGAGATAGGGCGTGAGGTGGATGTGAGAACGGTAAGGGACAGTGGGGGGGCGAAGGGGAGTGAGGTGGCTGCTAGAAGGGAAAGGGGCAGTGGGAAAGAGAAGAGGGGTGAGGATGTGAGAAAGGAAGATAGTAGGAGGGAGAAGGTGAGTGAGGTGGATGTGAGAAAGGAAGATAGTAGGAGGGAGAAGGTGAGTGAGGTGGATGTGAGAAAGGAAGATAGTAGGAGGGAGAAGGTGAGTGAGGTGGATGTGAGAAAGGAAGATAGTAGGAGGGAGAAGGTGAGTGAGGTGGATGTGAGAAAGGAAGATAGTAGGAGGGAGAAGGTGAGTGAGGTGGATGTGAGAAAGGAAGATAGTAGGAGGGAGAAGGTGAGTGAGGTGGATGTGAGAAAGGAAGATAGTAGGAGGGAGAAGGTGAGTGAGGTGGATGTGAGAAAGGAAGATAGTAGGAGGGAGAAGGTGAGTGAGGTGGATGTGAGAAAGGAAGATAGTAGGAGGGAGAAGGTGAGTGAGGTGGATGTGAGAAAGGAAGATAGTAGGAGGGAGAAGGTGAGTGAGGTGGATGTGAGAAAGGAAGATAGTAGGAGGGAGAAGGTGAGTGAGGTGGATGTGAGAAAGGAAGATAGTAGGAGGGAGAAGGTGAGTGAGGTGGATGTGAGAAAGGAAGATAGTAGGAGGGAGAAGGTGAGTGAGGTGGATGTGAGAAAGGAAGATAGTAGGAGGGAGAAGGTGAGTGAGGTGGATGTGAGAAAGGAAGATAGTAGGAGGGAGAAGGTGAGTGAGGTGGATGTGAGAAAGGAAGATAGTAGGAGGGAGAAGGTGAGTGAGGTGGATGTGAGAAAGGAAGATAGTAGGAGGGAGAAGGTGAGTGAGGTGGATGTGAGAAAGGAAGATAGTAGGAGGGAGAAGGTGAGTGAGGTGGATGTGAGAAAGGAAGATAGTAGGAGGGAGAAGGTGAGTGAGGTGGATGTGAGAAAGGAAGATAGTAGGAGGGAGAAGGTGAGTGAGGTGGATGTGAGAAGATCGAGGGACAGCAGTGAAGTTAGAGAAGAAAAGGACATTGGGAGGGAAGCCGGGAGGGGGAGTGAGATGGATGGGAGAGGAGCGAAGGACAGCAGTAGAGTGGGAGGAGAGAAAGACGCTGGGAGGGAAACAGGGAGGAGGGATGAGGTGGATGCGAGAAGATCGAAGGACAGCAGTAAAGTTAGAGAAGAAAAGGACAAGGGGAAGACAGCAGAGAGGAGGAGTGAGGTGGATGCGAGAAGGGCGAAGGACAGCAGTAGAGTGGGAGGAGAGAAGGATACTGGGAGGGAAGCTGGGAGGGGGAGTGAGGTGGATGTGAGAGGAGCAAGAGACAGCAGTAGAGTGGGAGGAGAAAATGACACTGGAAGGGAGGGAAGAGACAGAGACACTCGAAAAGCGGGAGGAGAAAAGGACAAGGGGAAGACAGCAGAAAGGAGGAGTGAGGTGGATGCGAGAAGGGCGAAGGACAGCAGTAGAGTGGGAGGAGGAAGGGAGAGAAGGGAGGGAGACCGAAAGCGGGAGGAAGAGGGAAGAGGGAGAGGCAGGGAGCGCTGTGAATCGGCTCAAAAGACCGGGAGGGAGGGGGGAGGGAGTGCTGAGAGGAGGGAGGGAGGAGGGAGTGCTGAGAGGAAAGTGAGTGGAGCAGGAGGAGGAGGGGATCGGGGTGGGGCAAGTGGGGGAGGGGAGAGGCACAGTAAGGGTGGTGGTGATGATAAAACTGGTAGGAAAAACAGTGGTAAGAATAGTGGTGGTGGGGCGGATGGGAGTGGTGGTGGCACGGGGGAGAAAGCGGGAGAACAAGTGAAAGCAACTAAGGTTGGAGGTGAAGGTGGGAGGGGGAGTGGTGGGGGTGGTGGGGGTGGTGGGGGTGATGATGGTGATGACAATGCAAGGGAGTGGGACCGGAAACGTGCTCTGGGGAGCTACAGGGGCAAGGGCGGGAGGAGGAAAGGGGAGGAAGAGGAGGAGGAAGGAAGGGAGAGCAAGCGTAGGAAGGAGGGGGAGAAGCAGAGACATGGGGAGGGAGGAGGAGAGAGGGGAGCGGAGAAGGGAGGAGAGAGACGAGGTGAGGGGAGCAAAGAGGGGAGCAAAGAGGGGAGCAAAGAGGGGAGAGGGGGTGAGCATGGGAATCGGGACACAGAGAGGAGCAAAGAGAGGAGTGGGAAGGGGGGTGGCAACAAGGCTGGTGTGAATGTGGGTGATAGGAGGGATGAGAGGAGAGAGGAGAGGAGTGATGGTAGGAACGATGAGAGGAGGGATGAGAGGAGAGAGGAGAGGAGTGATGGTAGGAAGGATGAGAGGAAGGATGAGAGGAAGGATGAGAGGAAGGATGAGAGGAAGGATGAGAGGAAGGATGAGAGGAAGGATGAGCATAGTAATGTGAATGAAGAGGAAAAGGGAAGGGGAGATAGGGGAAAGGAGGCGGATATGAGGAGGGATGAAAAAGGGAGGGATGAGGGAAGGCGACGGGAGGAGCAAAAGGAAAGGGAGGAGGATAAGGGAAGGAAGGAGGTAAGGGATAGGGAGGGGGGGAGGAGAACAGAGGAGGATAGGAGAAGAGAGGGTGATAAAAAAAGGGTGGAGGATAAGCAAAAAGGGGTGGAAAGGGGAAGGGAGGACGAAAGTAGGAGAGAGGGGAAAAGTGATGAAGAAGAAAGGAAGGAGGAGAAGGAAAGGGAGGAGGAGAAGGAAAGGAAGGAGGAGAAGGAAAGGAAGGAGGAGAAGGAAAGGAGGAGGGAGGAAGGAAAGGGAAAGGAGGGTGAAAATAGAAGGGAGGAGGTTAGAAAGCACAGCCATGGGGGAAGGAATGTTGATTTGCCAAAAGTTAATGTGGGTGAAAAGAAGGATGAGAAGAGGGAGGGTAAGATGGATGAGAGGAAGGAGGAGATTGGAGGGGACGGGAAATTGGAGAGGACGGATGAGAGGAAGGTTGAAAGGAAAGAGGAGAGGGGGGGTCATAGGGAGGATGAGAGGAAAGAGGGGAGTAGAGAGGAGAGGAAAGAGGAGAGGAGGGATGTTAAGAAGGATGAAAGGAAGGGTGTGAGGAGGGATGAGAGGAAGGAAGAAAGGAAAGAAGAGAGGAAGGAGAACTTGAAAGAGGAGAGGAAAGATGAAAGGAGAAGTGGGGAGGAAAGGAAGAGGGAAGAAGAAAGGAGAAAGGAGGAGGAGCGGAGAAGAGAGGAGGTCAGGAGGAGTGAGGTGGGGAGGAGGGAGGAGGAAAAAGGAGAGGCGGAAAGGAAGAGGGATGAGGAAAGGAGAGGGAAGGGAAGGGGGAGGAGTGACGAAGCGATCAAGGGGACAGGCAGAACGGAAGGGACGGGAGCAAATAAGGAGAGAGAGGATGATAAGATGCGAAGCCAGGCGAGTATGGGAAGGGGTAGGGAGAAGAGCAGGGAGAAGGACAGGGAGAAGGACAGGGGAGAAATGGATAGGGATAGGGGCAAGGAGAAAGGTGGAGAAAGGGACAGGGATAGGGGCACGGAGAGGGGCGGAGAAAAGGAAAGGGAGAGGAGCAGGGAGGACAGCAGAGATGTCTTGAAGCACAGAGGAAGGGAGACAGATAAGGAGGGAGAGAGTAGAAATGGGGCGAGAAAAGAGAAAGAAGAGGAGAGGGAGGGGAAGAAGAGAGGGGAAAGGGAGCAGGAGCAGAAGAGGGAGAGGGGAGGGGAAAAGGAGCAGGAGCAGAAGAGGGAGAGGGGAGGGGAAAAGGAGCAGAAGGGGGAGAGGGGAGGTGTGAATCATGGCTTCGACGAGGAGAGGAAAAGGAGGAAGGTGGAGCAGGAGGAGCATGTGCAGGAGAGGAGAGAAAGAGAGAGGAGGGAAAGGGATAGGGGAGAGAAGGAGAGGGGAGAGGAGGGTACGGAAAGGGAGAGGAGGGAGAAGGAGAGGAGAGAAAAGGAGGACAAGGGGGGCAAAGAGGAGAGGCGAGGGACGGAGGAGAAAATACCTAGGAACGAAAGGAGGGAGGAGGGGGCGAGGAGACATGGGGAGAGGAGGGAAGAGGAGACGAAGGAGACAGGTAAGGTGCGTGAAGAGAAGAAGCACACGGAGGGGGCGCTGGACAGGACTGCAGTTGAGGCGCGTCAAAAAAATGTAGAGAAGAGACACGATACAGTGGTGGGTGAGAGAGAAACCGCCGGAAGAGAGGAAACGGGGGGGAGGGGGGGTGACAAGAGGACGTATGAGGAGAAGAGACACAGTGAGTGGGCGCACGATGGGAGAGGGAGTGTTGGAATAGAGGGAGCGAAGGGGAGTGATAAGAGGGAGCATGAAGAGAAGAGACACGATGCAGTGGGTGTGGGAGGTGGTGCCTTAGGAGGGGGAATGAAAGAAGGGGGTGAGACGAATGGAAGGGAGGGGAAAGGTGGGAGGGATGGGAAGGATGGGAGGGGTAGGAAGGATGAGAAGGTTTCTGAAGCGCCTCAACAGAAGGTGTGGAAAGGTGGGAGGGTGGGGAATGACGAAAAGGCTTCTCGGGCGCGTAAACAAGAGGACGGGAAGGATGGGAGGGAGGGGGATGGAGGACGAAGGAAGAGACGGAAAGAGAGAGAATCAAGCGAGAAGGAAACGTCCAGTGGTAGTGATTCTAGTGACAGTGAATCTAGTGAGAGTGATTCTAGCGATGGCTGTTCTAGGGAGGAAGGGTTGAGGAAGCGAAGGAGAGGGGGCGGTAAGGAGGAAGAGAGCAAAACGCAGAAGGGGAAGAAGAGAAAGGAGAGGAGAAAGAAGGAGACGAAGGGGAGGAAGAAAAAGGAGCAGGGGGCGAAGGAGGAGGAGCATGCAGAACCAACTGAGCATGGAGCAGGGGTGGGTGAGAAGGGAGGAGACGACGAAGAGGGATTGAGTGTGGAAATGCTGACCGAGAAGAGGAAGAAGTGGCGGCAGGACTGGCGCCAGATGAAGGTGGACGCACGGGAGAGCGAGAAGGAGAGGGCGGAGGAACAGGCCAAGGAACCCAGTGGCTCCGTTCCTGTATCTGCTGCTGTGACTGCTGCTGCCACTCCTTCCCTGCCCTTCACACTCCCTGCAAGTCCCGCCCTTCCCCCATCCGTGCTTCATTCCCTCATCTCGCCCCAAGGACTCCAGCTCTCAGGCCTGCAGTCCGCCGCACAACCGCCTTTCCCCACCAACTGTGCTCTGCTGCAAACTCCAGGCACTCCAAGCACGCCAGGCGCTGTTGCCAACCCTCTATTGGCGCACCATGCGCTGTTGCACGCCCTGCGTTCCGGTGTCCGCCCGCTGCTCCCCGGCCCTCCTCACTGGTCCTATGCTGTTCCAAACGCCACTCTTGGAGGGCCGCTTGGCCTGAATATAGGCATGAGCAACATGGGTGCTAGTGGTATGGGCATGGGAGGTATGGGTGCTGGTGGTATGGGCACGGGAGGTATGGATGCTGGTGGTATGGGCATGGGAGGTATGGGTGCTGGTGGTATGGGCACGGGTGGTATCGGCACAGGTGCTCCTATGGCCCATTTTGCTGCTGCGGCTGCTGCTGCTAGAGCAATAGTGAACGCTAAGGCAATTGCAGCTAGGGCCAATGCTACTGCTGGTGGTGTTGGTGCTGGTGCCAGTGCTGGTGCTGCTGCTAATGGTGATGCTGGAGCAGCCGCTGCTTCTGTTGCTGCTGCTTTAGCTTCTGGTGCTGGTGCTGGTGGTGCTATCACTGCTCCTGCTGCTGCTCCTGTCTCTACTCCCTCTGCTGCTGCTATGGCAACTGCTGCTATGGCTGCTGCTTCAGCCGCTGCTCATGCTGTGGAGCGTAGGCTCGGCCTGCCCTCTAACGCTGCAGAAGCAGCACCTTCCCAAGCCTCCGCCGGAGGTTCATCCGAGCCTGGTCCTGGGCTTGGTGCGGTAGATGGCACGGACAAGGGAAGGAGTGAGGGAAGAATAGAGGATGGGGGACTTGGGGGAGAGGAGGGGGAAGGCGTGGGAGAGGGGGAAGGGGAAGGGGAGGATGGGGGAAAGGAGGGGAGGAGGAGGGTGCAATTTGCCGACGAGGTTGAGGGGCAAGGGGGAGAAGGGGGAGGGGAGGGAGAGGAGGAGTGGGAGGAGACGGAAGGGGGGGAGGAGGAGGGAGAGGGGGAGGAGGGGGAGCGGAGGAGGGGCAAGAGGAAGAAGGGGGTGGTGATAGACGATCGATACGTGGTGGACGTGCAAGACGTGAAGAACAGGTGAGGAGGTGGTCTGGTTGTACCTGTTGAGGTCTGGTTGCTTCTTACTTACTCAAAGAGAGTGGTGATAGACGATCGATACCTCGTGGACATGCTAGACGTGAAGAACAGGTGAGGTTTGGTTGGGTGTGGTAGGCTCGAATACCTTCGTGTTGGCTCTAGAAAGGGAGTGGTAAGGTGATAAACGATCGGTACCTGGTGGACGTGCAAGACGTGAAGAACAAGTGAGAGACCGGTTGCTTGCTTTCAGGGCAGTCTCTTGCAGGGCAGTATCTTGCAGGGCAGTCTCTTGCTGCTCTCTGACATGCGTTTCTGTCTTGGGCCATTAACCTGGTGCGTCTTCTTATGCGTGTTTCATTCACTCGTGGTGCGGTGCGGTGGCCGACACATTCAAAGGATAAGGATGAGAGGTCAAGAGGGACGAGCTGATGCAGGTCATCGCACCGGGTGAGTAGCCGTTGATGTTGTGACCAGACTGCTATCAGCTCCCTCGAGGTGGCTTTTGCCTGGCAACACGCGATTCTGTCTCTGCTCTCCCTGTCTCGCTCATCCACATCCCCTCCCTATCTTCTACTCTCAGTGGGAAGGAGGCCATCAAGGCCATGCGCAGCAAGTGCAGCATCAACCGACACGTCACGTCTTTCAGCACCCGGGGCGTGTCTCCGCTCACCCTCCAGCAAGAGCAGCAGAAACCGCCGCGTTGTGTCTCTGCTCACCCTGTTTCTGTCTCTCCTCTCCCCCTTCCCTGCTTTGCAGTGTGAAGGAGGCCATCAAGGCCATGCGCAGGAAGGACAACTAGATGGCGTTTTTGAGAATTCTCACTCAAAACGCATGCCCTGCAAAATAAAGGCGATGCGCAGCCAGGACAACAATAGTGGCTTTCTCACTCCCTGTTTCTCCCCCTTTTCTGCTCTCTCCATTGCCCATCCTCAGTGTGAAGGAAGCGCTCTAGGCGATGCGCAGCAAGAGCAGCATCAGCTGCTGCATCTCTCTCACCTCACGACTCCACACCACTTATCCTCACTGTCTTTTTTCCTCCTCTCCCTACTTTCAGTGCGAAAGAGGCCATCAAGGCAATGCGCAGCAAGAGCAGCATCAACCGCCGCATCGCGTCTTCCGCCACCCTTGGGGTATCGGGGCCAGCTGCTTCTTTCACTTCTCACCCTGTTTTGCCTCTGCCTTCCGTCTCGCTCACCCACATCGCCTCCCCATCCCCGATTCTCAGTGTGAAGGAAGCCATCAAGGCAATGCGCAGCAAGAGCAGCATCAACCGCCGTGTCGCATCTTTCACCACCCTGGGCGTGTCAGGGCCAGCGGCCAAGGCAGCAGAACAGTCGGCGCTGGCTGCCAAGCGGGACAAGGAGAAGGCCCAGCTGGAGCTGAGGAGGAAATACTATGGGCTGCCTTGAGGAATGCATGGTGCACATGGGACCCAGAATGGGGGGCGTGTTGGGGGCGGCGGCCAAGGCAGCAGATACTCCTGTGTTGTTTTGAGCAGCATTCGTTTACAGCCCATCCCTTGTACGGTAGCTCACCCCATTTCCACCCTAACTGTTCAATTTTCGAGTAGTGTTGTAGTAGAATGTATGTATGTTGCAAGATAAACCCACATGTTACAAGCCTGCTTTTGAGTAGACTCACGAACCGAATCAACACTGCTGTCTGCCATGCAATAGGAAACATCTCAAGGTTAAGCAGATGCTCTACAACACAAGATCCAGCAGCAGCAGCTGCTGCTCGCTCTCCTCGTCCTCCTCGTCCATCTGCCTCAGCTCGGCAATCCTCGCCTTCCACATGCCCTCCACCACGCGCCACGTCTCGTCACACCTAACACTGTCCAGCACGCACTTATCCCCTGCAGAACACACAACTACACACCCCATCTAGAGCACCAGATCCAGGATAAACAGCTGCTGCTCGCTCTCCTCCTCGTCCTCTTCGTCCATCTGCTTCAACTCCGCAATCCGCTCCCTCCACATCCCCTCCACCACGCCTCACCCCCTACCAACCGCACCCTTCTAGAGCACTAAATCACGGGTAAGCAGCTGCTGCTGGCTCTCTTCGTTGTCCTCCTCATCCTCTTCGTCCAACTGCCGCAGCTCTGCAGCCGCCCCCACCCCATCCCCTCCACCACGCCTCACCCCCTACCAACTGCACCCTTCTAGAGCACCAGATCCGGGATGAACAGCTGCTGCTCGCTCTCCTCCTCGTCCTCCTCGCCTCAGCTCGCAATCCTCTGCCGCCAGATCCCCTCCACCACGCGCCACGTTCAACAGCACTCTCCTCATATAGCACCAGTTCCGGGATAAACAGCTGCTGCTCGCTCTCCTCCTCGTCCTCTTCATCCATCTGCCACAGCTCGGCAATCCTCTTCCGCCACATCCCCTCGACCACGCCTCACCCCCTACCAACTTCACCCATCTAGAGCACCAGATCCGGGATAAACAGCTGCTGCTCGCTCTCCTCCTCATCTTCTTCGTCCATCTGCTTCAGTTCCGCAATCCTCTCCCGCCACATGCCCTCCACCACGCGCCACGTCTCGTCGCTCACCGCCTGCACCTGCTGCGGCCGCGGCGCTCCAAAGGTGGCATAGCCCGAGTTGCCGGGGTGGAAGGTGGCTCTGCCGGGGAGGGAGGCACCGTAGATGCCCCACCTGCCCACGTGCACGAGGGCTCCGTATTCATCTATAGCGCGCACTGGGGGCTGGTGGGGGGACAAAAGTGGGTAAGAAACGGAGAAAAAGAAATGAGCTCCAAAGGTGGCATCGCCTGGGTTACCCTGCTGGGGAGGGGAGGGATGCTCCGTAAATGCCCCACCTGCCCACGTGTACCTATGATGCGAACTCGTCTACAGGGCGCACTGGGGGCTGTTGAATCTGGGAGCAGCTTGAGAATTATAAAAAATGACTCCACTACAGGGCGCACTGGGGGCTGTTGAATCCGGGAGCAGCTGTGGAGATGCTTTGAGGATGGCACACAAACACACAACCACAGCTCCAGACACCCCCTCTCCCCCCTCCCCCCCCCTCCCCCACTCCCTCCCCCCTCACGCACACACACGCACAGACCTGATCGAATCTAGGAGCAGCAGCAAAGATCTTGTGGATAGCATCTCCTGTCACCTCGCCCTCGTCCAATAGGCGCTCTGGGATTGTTTGGGGAAGGAAAGGGAGGGGGAGGGGGAAGGGAAGGGGGAGGAGGGGGGAGGGGAAGGGAAGAGGGAGGAGGGGGGAGGGGAAGGGTTGAAACTTGAAAGGAATAATGGATAACAGAGCTATAAGATCTGCAATAGTAGGCTACAAGAACAATACAAGCCGGAATCGCATAAAAGAAAAAGGCTTCTCACCTGCAATGGTATCCACAGCCGATCTGTACTCTTTAAGAACAGCCTCGCATTTGGCCCTCGAGTATCGCATGTACTCCTCCCTTAGCGCAATGACCTTGGGAATTAGCTGCATATATTGAGAGGATAGAGAGAAAAACACTCTTAAGAGGATGAGTGGATTGTAACCTGTAACCTGTAACCCCTGTAACGCGCTACATGTCTCATGTGATACGAAACACACAGATCCCACCCTATAACTTGTAACAAGCAACCAGTTACAAGCAAGTTGTACCATCTAACCGTCCCCAGAACCATCATCCTCTAACGAATGCTCTATTCCAAAGCACCAAACCTCAATGTAATCACCTGCGGCATCAGGCCCACTGCGAGAGGAGTCTATTTTTGAGGCGCCTCAAAAATAGACTCCCCACTGTGGCATCAGGCCCACTGCGGCATCAGGCCACTGAGTCTCACACACCACCTTCCCAGCGCGCTCATACCTCCCACCTTTTGATGGTCTTACAACATAGTTTTGAGGCGCCCAAAACTAGACTTGTATCACGTGGTTTTGAGGCGCCTCAAAACACCACCTTCCCAGCGCGCTCATACCTCCCACCTTTTGATGGTCTTACAATATGCACATTCGGCCCGCACTCACATGCGCCATCAGGTCCTTCTGCATCTCATACACCACCTTCCCCAGTGCGCTCATCCCCTCACCACTCTTTCCATACACCACTGCCACTAAAATATATATAAACATTATATTATATATATACACGTCTATCTTTACCCCGTGTACAATCACATATGGTCTTTCACCATACTCACATGCGGCATGAGGTCCTTCTGCGTCTCGTACACCATCTTCCGCAGCGCACTCATCCCCTCACAAGCCTAATCCACAGTCCTCTCTACAAGCACACTCAATCAGTACCAACCACGCCCTTCACAGTCACAGTCTACGTCCAACTCACATGCGGCATCAGGTCCTTCTGCATCTCATACATACACCACCTTCCCCAGCGCATCCGTTCCCTCACGGGTGCCTCCACAGCCACCACTGCCCTTCTCAACCGCTTGCACTCCCCACCCTCTTATGGTCTTCCAGCATACTCACATGCGGCATCAGGTCCTTCTGCGTCTCATACACCACCTTCCCCAGCGCGCTCATCCCGCTCCTTAGAATCACATAGTCCGCCAGCTGAACCGCCTCTCTGTAAGCCACCCCCGCCTGCCAGCTGGCATTCGCCGCTCCAAACACCATCCTCTCCATAATGGCGGCTGCTAGGTATAAGGGCCGGAGGGGGGAGTGGGGAGAGAGGGTGACGAGGGAACCACATAGTCAGCCAGCTGCACAGCCTCTCTGTACGCCATTGGCTGCTCCGAACACCATCCGCTCCATGATAGCGGCTGGGAGAAGGGCGAAAGGTTGTGGGGGGGGGGGGAGGGAGACAAGGGAGGAGTGGGGGAGGAAGGAGGGATTCAGTTCGAAAGGCAGCAAGGAAAAACACATAGTCTGCCAGGTGCACCGTTTCTCTACAGGCAACCCCCGCCTGCCAGCTCGCATTTGCCGAGCCAATCACCATCCTCTCCATGATAGCGGCTGTTCGAGGGAAGAAAGTGTGAGGAGTCTATTTTAATAGACTCCTCACGCCGAGCCAATCACCATCCTCTCCATGATAGCGGCTGTTCGAGGGAAGAAAGTGTGAGGAGTCTATTTTAATAGACTCCTCACGCCGAGCCAATCACCATCCTCTCCATGATAGCGGCTGTTCGAGGGAAGAAAGTGGGTCAAAGGAAAACGATAGAGGGAAGATCACGCCGTCCGCCAGCTGCACCGCCTCTCTGTACGCCATCGCCGCCTGCCAGCTCGCATTGGTTGCTCCAAACACAACCCGCTCCATGATGGCGTCTATTTTTTAGGCGCTTCAAAAATAGACTCCTCACGCATGATGGCGTGACCTTTGAGTCGACTCAAAGGTCACCATCGGCTGCTCCAAGCACCAGACGCTCTATGAAGCGGCTTGGAGAAGGGCAAAAGGGCGGGAAGGGGGGGGGAGGGAAGAAGGAGGAGGGGGGGGGGGGGTTGGAGGGGGAGGAGGGATAGGACAGTTCAGAAGGCAGCAAGGAAAAACACGTAGTCTGCCTGCCAGCTGCACCGCCTCGCTATGAGCAACCCCTGCCAGCTGGCGTAAGCCGCCCCAAACATCATCTTTTCCATGATGACAGCTGTTGTGGGGTGGGGGACGGCAAACAGAAACGGCAGAAACGGCAGCAAGGGACAGTTCATCTTTTACCATAGTCCGCCAGCTGCAAATCCTTGGACATCTTCCAATGAGCGCGGCGTCAAGAGACGGGTTAGCAAGTAGGAAAAACAGTAGAAAAAACGATGCTTATGTAAACGTGAGTTTGGAGTAGTCGGAGAAACGGCAGCAAGGGACAGTTCATCTTTTCATGGTCCGCCAGCTGCACCGCACCGCCTCCCAGTGAGCCACACTCAAACCCCCCTGTGAGGCGTCAAACAGAAACGGCAGCAAGGGACAGTTCATCTTTCCATAGTCACACTCCCTGTGAGCTGCACCGCACCGCCTCCCTGTGAGCCACACTCAAACCCCCGCAGTCGGTGCACAGACTCACAGTGCATTCGAAAACACACGCTGATGTCTTTCTTACATGCGAATGCGCACACAATAGCATGCAGCATGTCCCCCTTTACTGCGAGGCAGTGGTGGCATCAGCAGCGGTGGCATCAGCAGCGGTGGCATCAGCAGCGGTGGCATCAGCAGTGGTGGCATCACCCTCTTGCCTCTGTGAAATGCCCCAAACCACACTGAAATGCCCCAAACCACACTGAAACCCTATCCCTCACTAAAACCCTATCCCTCACTAAAACCCTATCCCTCACACGCGAATGCGCGCACAACAGCGTCCAGCATGTCCTGCTTTACAGCGAAGCAGCGGTGGCATGCGCATGTCTGAACCTACCATAAGACGCGCACACAATCCCATTACTCACGTGCAAAGGCGCGCACAATCGCGTCCAGCATGTCCTGCTTTGCAGCGAAGCAGCGGTGGCATGCGCATGTCTGGACCTACCATAAGACGCGCACACAATCCCATTACTCACGTGCAAAGGCGCGCACAATCGCGTCCAGCATGTCCTGCTTTACAGCAAAGCAGCGGTGGCGCACTCTCTCGTGCTCCATGTTGGGTAGCGGGTCCACGTTGTCAAGAGAGGTCTGGGGACGAACAGGGGGTGTTGGAGGGGAGAGGGGTGAGGGGAAGGGAAGCATCAAAGGCACACACTGCAGCAGCGGAGGCGCACTCTCTCGTGCTCCATGTTGGGTAGAGTGGGTCCACGTTGTCAAGCGAGGTCTGGGGAAGGGGCGGAGAAGGGAAGAACAGGGCGCATAGGAGGGGGAAAAAGAGGGTAAGGGAGGCTCATTGCAGCAGCGGTGGCGCACTCGCTCGTGCTGCGTGTTGGGAAGAGGGTCCGCTTTGTCAAGAGGAGGCCTGGGAAAGAGCAGGGGGTGTTGGAGGGGAGAGGGGTGAGGAGGGGAAGGGGAGGATCAAAGGCACACACTGCAGCAGCGGGCATACTCTCTTGTGCTCCGTGTTGATTTTTGAGTTGACTCAAAAATCACTCACGGAAGGGAAGGATCAAAGGCACACAATGCAGCAGCGGGCACACTCTCTCGTGCTCCGTGTTGGGTGGTGGTGGGACCACGTTGTGAAGAGAGGTCTGGGAAAGAGCAGGGGTTGTTGGAGGTAGAGAGTGGGGAGAGGGATGAGGGGAAAAAAGGGGCAGACGCTGGTGATTGTGTGTCGTGATGAGTTCACTTCGCAGTTCAAATACCCCTGGAAGAGGCAAAAGACCCCTAAGACCCACGAGTTGGACCACCTCTATGATCACACAGCCACTCACGAGGTGCCGTTTCAAAACGTCAAGGTAAGAGCTCTGCTTATTTGGCTTTGTGCAAGGCCAAACAAGCAGAGCTCTTACCTTGACATCTCGAGACACCACTTCCTGAGAGGGTGTGTGGTCATAGATGTGGTCCAACTCGCAGGCCTTAGGGGTCATTTGCACTGTGAGTTCGACCACATCTATCACCACACACCTTTTGCCACCTTTTCAACCACCACCTTTTCAACCACCACCTTTTCAACCACCACCTTTTCAGCCACCACCTTTTCAACCACCACCTTTTCAACCACCACCTTTTCAACCACCACCTTTTCAACCACCACCTTTTCAACCACCACCTTTTCAACCACCACCTTTTCAACCACCACCTTTTCAACCACCACCTTTTCAACCACCACCTCTTCCAGGGGTACTGAACTGTAAACTCGTCAAGACACACAACCACCACCTTTTGCCCCTTTTTCTGCCCTGAAATATCCGGCAGGGTTCATCTGAGCTCAGCGATGGGAGCCTCGCTGTAAGGAACTCGCATGCGGGCACACAAACGTGCATGTATATGATGTCTCCACACCACACATGAAGACATAAACACGCACACATGCCACTCACCCTCAGAATCGGCCCTGAGCTATCCGGCAGGGTGCACTGGAGCACTGTGATGGCAGCCTCGCGGTAAGCAGCTCGCATGCGGAGACATGCACACACACACACGGCATGCATGCACACATGAAGACATAAACACGCACACATGCACAGCCCCACGTGACACACTCTGCCAGTCACCCTCACGATCAGGCCTGAGCTATCCGGCAGCGCGCACTCGAGCACCGCGATGGCAGCGTCACGGTAAGCACCTCGCATGCGCACTCACACACACTGCATGCACACACACATGAAGACATCAAGACGAGCACATGCACCGCCCCACACAACACACTCTGCCCTTGCCACCCACCCTCAGAATTGGGCCTGAAGAATCCGGCAGGGCGCACTCGAGCACCGCGATGGCAGCCTCACGGTAAGCTGCCCGCATGCGCACCTCCCTGCTATCTAGCACGTCCTCCTCGCCTGTTTTGAACTCCCCGGCTTGCTGTACATATGGAAGTATGGGGCACAACAAAAGGAACACAGAGGAAACACAAGGCAGACAGGGGGGTTGAGCCCCGCGGTAAGCTGTCCACATGCGCGCCTCTCTGCTATCTAGCATGTCCTCCTCGCCTGTCTTGAACTCCCCGGCTTGCTGCACGCATTGAAGCGCGAGGAGCAACAAAGGAAACATAGGAGGGCAAATGCTCCTCCCTCACTTGATGCTTTAGACACTTCAGGAGCAGGTGTGTTCTGAGGGTTCTCAAAAAACATGACTTTTGAGTCGGCTCAAAAGTCATCTTCAGACACATCGGGAGCAGAGCAGGTGTACTCTGCGAGTTCTCGACAAGCACCTACAGCAACTGGGAACCTTATTGTCTAATTGTCTAGACTCACCCAGTCAATAGCTTGAAGCAGCTTTTGAGGCGCCTATAGAAAACACCCACAGCAACTGGGATGGGAACCTTTTTGTCTAACTGTCTAGACTCACCCAGTCAATAGCTTGAAGCAGCTCCTCCCTCTCAATCTCATCCTTACCCTTCCGGATGGCTAAGAGTGTCTTTCAAGCTACCTCTCGCCATTGACTTGGTTTGACCTGGTCACCCGGTCGATGGCCTGCAGCAGCTCCTCCCTCTCGATCTCATCCTTGTCCTTCCGAATCGCCAAGACATCTGAAGAACCTAGTTTTGACCTGGTCAATGCCCCAAAGACTCACCCGGTCGATGGCCTGCAGCAGCTCCTCCCTCTCGATGTCGTCCTTGTCCTTCCGGATGGCTAGAATGGCTGCCTCGTTGCTGAGGGCGGTGAGAAGGGGTGCGAAGGGGTCAGAAGGGGTGAGAAGGAACGCAAGGATAGGGTGGACTGAGGCAAGGCAGGGTGGCGAGGATGGGTATAAGAATGGCCACTCCGTTGCTGAGAGCGGTGGGAAGGGGTGGGAATGGATGGGAAGGGGCGGGAAGGGGTGACCGTGAAAGGGGGTTGGAAGGGTGAGAGAGGGTGGACTGGAAATGGGGTAAACTAGGGTGGCGTGAGAAGGGGAATCGAATAGGTATGGCAGGTATGGCAGGTATGGCAGGTATGGCAGGTATGGCAGGTATGGCAGGTATGGCAGGTATGGCATCACACATGTAATACGCACATATTGTAGTTTATTTATGAAGCACATATTGGAACACTTACAGGATATTCATAAGCTCTGCTCCACTGTAGTCGGGTGTAGCTGCTGCTATCTCCCTTAAGAGCTTCAGCTTCTCCTCTTCGGACTTGAAGGCCTTGTTGCGCGCGTGCACCTAAACGGAGCAGACAATAAGGGGGATAAAGCAGAGACATTAATCGGGTGTAGCTGCTGCTATCTCCCTTGACAGCTTCAGCTTCTCCTTTTTGGGTTTGAAGGCCTTGTTGGGCGCATGCACCTTACGGAGCAGACAATAAGGGGGATAAAGCAGAGACATTAGTCGGGTGTAGCTGCTGCTATCTCCCTTGACAGCTTCAGCTTCTCCTTTTTGGGTTTGAAGGCCTTGTTGGGCGCATGCACCTTAACGGAGCAGATACAAAGGGGGATGCAGAAGAAAGATTTCAAAACAGGTCGGCCTTTCATAGCTCATCATGCACCGGCTTCGGCTGCATAGCTCACTCATACCAAATGAGCTCACTTATACCTACACTGCATAGCTCACTCATGACTCCCAGCCAGCCCAACCAAATGAGCCCTACTGATTAGAATGTGCACTTCCAGATTACCACACAACATCGATTTCTTTCTCCGGAACGCACCTTGAGCTCTGAGAACCGCCCCTCCTCGAACATCGATCACAACATCGAACGCACCTTGAGCACTGAGAACCGCCCCTCCTCTGTAGGCAGCCCCACTCTGACGACCTTGTCGAACCGGCCCTTGCGCAGCAGAGCCGGGTCCAGCATGTCCAGCCGGTTGGTGGCTCCGATCACCAGCACCTGAAGCAGGTGGGGGCAGGTGGGGGCAGGCAGGTGGGGGCAGGTGGGGGCAGGTGGGGGCAGGTGGGGTGGGTTAGTAGGTTGGCACTACATAAAGCCCTTCCCTTGCGCAGCAGAGCCGGGTCCAGCATGTCAAGCCAATTGGTGGCTCCGATCACCAGCACCTGAAGGGCCCGGCACAAAGGAGGAGAGGGGGGGGGGGGGGGGGGGGAGGGGGGGGGGAGCAGTGAAGAGTAAGCAGCATGTAAAGGCGACGCCTCTGTAGGCAGCCCCACTCTGACCACCTTGTCAAACCGCCCCTTGCGCAGCCGCGCCGGGTCCAGTATGTCCAGTCGGTTGGTGGCTCCGATCACCAACCGACCAGCCCTGTGAGGATCAGAATCTTGGCCAACCGACCAGCCACCCACCCACCTTGGCCTGGTTCTCTGGAATCCGTCCAGCCCTGTGAGGGTCAGAATCTTGGCCAACCCACCACCCACCCCCACCTTGGCCTGGCTCTCCTGGAACCCGTGCAGTGAATCAGCTCTGCTCTGTGAGGATCTGAATCCGCCCCTGCTGAACCCGTCCAGCCCTGTGAGGATCTGAATCCGCCCCCGCTCTGCTGCTTACCACCACCTTCCCTGCCCAGCCCTCCCACCTCACTTCTGCCACAACCCTTGCAGGCACCTTCCCTACTGTCACCTCGTTCTTGCATCACCCCTCCCTACTGTCACCTCGTTCTTGCATCACCCTTCCCTACTGTCACCTCGTTCTTGCATCACCCTTCCCTACTGTCACCTCGTTCTTGCATCACCCTTCCTTCTACCCTCACACACCTTATTGTCCCCTCCCTTTTCCATCACCCACCTTGGCGTGGCTCTCCTTCATCCGTCCAGCCCTGTGAGGATCGGAATGAGCCCCTGCTCTGCCACCTGCCTGCCTGCTTGCCTGCCTGCATAACGCCACCTATCCTGCGCTCACCATTCTGGGTGCCCACTTCCCACGGGTGCAATCTCCCCTGCTGTCACCTTCCCCTAGTATCACTTCCTGCTCTCATCACCCACCTTGGCTTGGTTCTCTTGAAATCCGTCCAGCTCTGTGAGGATCTGAATGAGCCCCTGCTCGCGCTCGATGTTGCCCTGCGTGGTGTAGATGGTGTAGATGTGCAGGAGGGGAGACGGAGAGGAGAAGAGGGAGGGAGTCTTGCTGTGCCTGCATTAGAGGATCAGAATCAATCAGCCCCTGCCCGCGCTCTGTGTTGCCCTACAAGCAGTTACAGCATATGTGCTCAAGGGGGTGAATAAAAACCACAAATGTGTATCAGGTGATCTCAATGAGCCCCTGCTCGCGCTCGATGTTGCCCTGCATGTGGATAGCATATGTGCACAAGGGGTGAAAATGGTAAATCATAGATTCACAACAATAGTCAACATGCCATTCCGTCTCACTCACTCCCTCTCCACCTCCCTCCCTCACCCGCCCCCTCCCTCCCTCCTCACTCCCTCCACTCGCTCACTCGCTCCTTCACTCACTCGCTCGCTCCCTCACTCACCCCCCCCTGGTCGCTGGCCGTGCCTCTCTTGGACCCGATCGCATCGATCTCGTCGATGAAGATGATGGCCGGGGCAAACTGCCGCGCCCCCAACCACACACTCCCTACCACTCCCTCACGCGCTCCCTCCCTCACTCCCTCACTCCCTCCATCACTCTTTCCCACACTCGCTCGCTCCCTCACTCAATCCCTCCCTCCCTCCCTCGCTGACTCACCCCCCCCTGGTCGCTGGCCGTGCCTCTCTTGGACCCGATCGCATCGATCTCGTCGATGAAGATGATGGCCGGGGCGAACTGGCGAGCGCGGAAGAAGAGGTCTTTGACTCGTGAGGCCGCCACGCCTGCAAACATCTGGCGGGTGGGGAAAACGGAGGGAAAGGCATGGGAGCAGCAGCGGCATGAGATGAAGATGATGGCCGGGGCGAACTGCCGCGCTCGGAAGAACAGATCCTTCACCCTAGAAGCGGCTACTCCCGCAAACATCCGGTGGGTGGGTGGGGGGTCAGAAAGAGATAGGGGGGTTGGGAGACACACACGGAGGTGGAGAGGCAGGCATGGGATGACGATAACGGCCGGCGATGATGTGACTTTTGAGTCGACTCAAAAGTCACCTTGATTGGGAGACACACACGGAGGTGGAGAGGCATGCATGGGATGAAGATAATGGCCGGCGATTTTTGAGGCGCCTCAAAATTTGAAGATAATGGCCGGCGATTTTTGAGGCGCCTCAAAATTTGAAGATAATGGCCGGCGATTTTGAAGGCGCCTCAAAATTTGAAGATAATGGCCGGCGATTTTTGAGGCGCCTAAAAAATTGAAGATAATGGCCGGCGATGATGGCGAACTGCCGCGCTCGGAAGAATAGATCCTTAACCCTAAAAAGCCGCTAAACCAGGCTGTGATAGTTTTTTTAGAATTCTAAATAACCCACCACAGCCTAGCTTAAAACTCGCTCGGAAGGATAGATCCTTCAGCTTGGAAGCGGCTACTCCAGGCTGTGATAGTTTTTTAGAATTCTAAATAACCCACCACAGCCTAGCTTAAAACTCGCTTGGAAGGATAGATCCTTCATCCTGGAAGCGGCTACGGCAGCGAACATCTGGTGGTTGGGGGGACGCAGTGAGAAGCATGGGAAGAGTGGGGTGCGATGACGATGATGGCCGAGGCGAACTGCAGCGCTCGGAAGAATAGATCCTTCACCCTGAAAGAGCCTACGGCGGGGGGGAGTGCAGGGACAAGACAGAGGGCGAGAGAGAAGGGATAGAGAAGGGATGATGAGGATGATGAGAGAGAAGGGTTGGTGGTCAGAAAGAGAGAGGGATTGTGACACACACACATACAGAGAGGGCACGGCACAGGATGAAGACAAAGGCTGGGGCAAACTGCCGCGCTCGGAAAAGTCAAGGACCTTGGCTCTCAATGCGGCTACTCCCACAAGAATCTGGTGGTGGTAGGTCGGGGATGCAGGGATAGGACATAGGGATAGCAAAACGAGCCCCAACATACATCTGATCCGACCCCCCAAACTCACCTCGACGAACTCAGCACCCGAAACCGAGAAGAACGGCACTCCAGCCCAGCCTCACGAACGGCACGAAACCCAGCAATGGCGTTTGCCAGAAGCGCCGCTCTGGTCCCTTCCCTGTTCTCCACGCACCCCCACCCATCCCCCCACTCCCATCCCGTCTCACCTCGACAAACTCAGCACCAGAAACCGAGAAGAATGGAACCCCAGCCTCCCCAGCAATGGCCGTCGCCAGAATCGTTTTCCCAAGCCTCCCCTTCCCCACCAATCTATCTCCCCATCTCACCTCGACACCCCAATTCAGCACCAGAAACAGAGAAAAACGGCACCCCAGCCTCCCCAGCGATGGCCTTCGGCCCAACCCTTCCTCCTCTCCCCCTCTTCTCCTCAACCCCCGCATTCCTCCAACCCCCCCGTCTCACCTCAACAAACTCAGCACCAGAAACCGAGAAGAACGGAACCCCAGCCTCCCCAGCAATAGCTTTCGCCAGAAGCGTCTTCCCCGTTCCGGGTGGCCCAAAAAGAAGCACTCCTTTCGGGCAGTACACGCCCAGGTCCTCGAATTCTTTCGCTGCCCGCAGAATCCGCACCACCTCCTGCAGCTCTCGCTTGACGTAGTCCTGCCCGGCGAAATCGTCAAATGTGATTCCCGTCCGTTCCTCTGCAGAAATATAGCGGGCTCTGGCAAGAGAAAAATGTGGAAGATAAGGGGTAGGGTAGGTTGGAATGCGGTGAGGTCGGGTGCGGTGAGGTAGGGTGCGGTGGGGTGGGGTGTGGTGGGGAATCCGCACCACCTCCTGCAGCTCTCTCTTTACGTAGTCCAGCCCGGCGAACTTGTCAAACGTGATTCCCGTCCGCTCCTCTGCTGAGATGTAGCGAGCACTGGCAAGAGAGAAAGGTGGAAGATAAGGGGTAGGGTAGGGTGGAATGAAGAGAGGTGGGGTGCGGTGGGGTAGGGTGGGGTGGGGTGGGGTGTGGTGGGGAATCCACACCACCTCCTGCAGCTCTCTCTTTACGTAATCCTGCCCAACGAATCGTCAAACGTGATTCCCGTCCGCTCCTCTGCAGAAATATAGCGGGCCCTGGGGGTTGGTTGTTCAGAGGGGAGAGGCAGCAGGGGGGAGGGGGGAGAGAGAGGGGCTTTGAGGTTTCTTCTGACCGTCAAAGGGGCTCTGAGATTTGAGATTCCCATCCGCTCCTCTGTTGATTTGTAGCATGCTCTGGGGCGGTTGGCTTTTGAGGCGCCTCACAAGATTCCCATCCGCTCCTCTGTTGATTTGTAGCATGCTCTGGGGGGCGGTTGGGGTGGGTGCGGTGGGGGTGGAGATCCCGTGGTCTGTCCTCCAGCTTGGTGGGCTGGTACAGCAGAAACAGCACCCAATCCACCCACACTTACAGCCCAACCCCAACACGCCAAACAGGGTCTCTCTCTCCCTCTTACCTCCTCGGCCGATCCTCCAGCTTGGTGGGCTGGTACAGCGGAAACAGCACCCGATCCACCCACACATACAGCCCACACGCCAACACCAGCCGCAACCCCCACGTTGCTGCTAGCTGCACCGTCCCTTCCGTGCCATGCTTCCCAGGAGGCAACATGGCATATAGGAGTATAGCCTGTGTGCTGCGCAAAGCTCACCTGCTCTGCCCCATGGTGCCCAGGTCGGGGTTCAGCACCGCCGTCAGCTTCCTGTGGCTGCTCCTTGGCCTGTCCTCCAGCTTCGTCGGCTGGTACAGCGGAAACAGCACCCGATCCACCCACACATACAGCCCACACGCCAGCGCCAGCCGCAACCCCCACGTTGCTGCGAGCTGCACCGTCCCTAGCGTGCTTCCCAGGAGGCCGGATGAGGACGCCGGGAGGAGGGACGGGAGGAGGGAGGCGGGAGGGGAGGGGAGGGCGGTGGTGGCAGGGGCGGTGGAGGTGGTGAGTGTGGTGAAAGGGGCGGGGGGGAAGGCGGAGGGGCGGTTGATGAGCGTGATGTGGGCGAGCTGCTGGCGCAGTAGGGACCAGACCTCGGAATGCACGTCTGCTGGCATGTGACGGACTTTATGCTTGAGCCACACGACCTGACAGACAAGGGGCGGGAATGGAGCAGAGGCACCACACCCAGCGGGAGACAGACGGAGGGGCGGTTGGCGAGGGCGATGTGGGCGAGCTGCTGGAGCAGTAAGGACCAGACCTCTGAGTGGACGTCTGCTGGCATGTGCTGCCTCTCCTGCTGTTCCTCCTCCGCCCCCCCATCCCCCCAGTAGCAAATTGAGTGTACATACGTGCCATTAAGCAGCAATCCAGTGTACAACGTTACCTGCTCTGGGAGGCCCATAAGCCCAACGGCTTCTCACTCCTTAGCCGCCCCACCTTCTGGCCCTTCTGCTGCCACTAGTGCTGCTTCTTGCCCCGCCTGCTTGCCCGCCTGCTTCCCCTTCCACATATGAGCCATCAAGCAAGCATCCAATGGGAAACGTTACCTGCTCTGGTAGGCCCATGAGCCCAACGGCTTCTGCCTCCGTAGCCGCCTCCCCAGCCGCCTCTTCTGCTCCCTCCAGCGCTGCTTGTTGCCCCGCCTGCTTTCCCTTCATTCTCCCCCCGTCTCCCCGCTTCACCTCCAACCCCAGGTCCTTGGCGGGGTGGGGGAGAATCACTGGGAAGAGACAAGGACGGAAGAGGAAGGACGGAAGAGGAAGGACGGAAGAGGAAGGAGGGAAGAGGAAGGAGGGAAGAGGAAGGACGGAAGAGGAAGGAGGGAAGAGGAAGGACGGAAGAGGAAGGACGGAAGAGGAAGGAGGGAAGAGGAAGGAGGGAAGAGGAAGGAGGGAAGGGGAGGAGTTTCAGGAAATAGTGATGGGGACTCAGGGTATCTATCAGGCGGCTTAAAACACGCGTTCTAATTGGCCTTCTAATTAGCATCGTTCACCTTCCTTCCAGGAGTCGGCCGTTATCCCCATAAATGACGAATTTCAGTTATCCCCATCAATGACGAATTTCAGTTATCCCCATAAATGACGAATTTCAGCTATCCCCATAAATGACGAATTTCAGTTATCCCCATAAATGACAAATTTCACCCTCGCCATCTGAAGCAGCGCCCAAATTTCAGCCAATCCCCTCCCGCGTTACCTTTTGAGGCGCCTCAAAACTAGACTCCCGCGTCACCACAACCCCTCCCCCCCCCCCCCCCCCTCCCCCCCACCTACCCCTGCCTTCCCCTCCCAAACCAACTACCTTTCACCTTCCAGTAGGCTGTAGCACCTTCCAGTAGGCTGTAGCACCTTCCAATAGGCTGTAGATCCTTCCAGTAGGCTGTAGCACCTTCCAGTAGGCTGTAGCACCTTCCAGTAGGCTGTAGCACCTTCCAGTAGGCTGTAGCACCTTCCAGTAGGCTGTAGCACCTTCTATTGTCCCCATAGTTGACAAACTTCACCCTCCCCATCTGCAGCAGCTGCGCCCAGAGGTCAGCAGAGTCACGCCTCTCCGCTCCTGAGCGCCCTTCACCCACTATGCAGCTATGCAACACCTCACCTTGTATGAGCCTGCTGCTCCCCTTGCACCCGCCTCTCACCTTGTATGAGCCTGCTGTTCCCCTTCTACCCGCCTCTCACCTTGTATGAGCCTGCTGCTCTCCTTCTACCCGCCTCTCACCTTGTATGAGCCTGCTGCTCCCCTTGCACCCGCCTCTCACCTTGTATGAGCCTGCTGCTCCCCTTGCACCCGCCTCTCACCATCTATGAGCCGCCGCTCCCCTTCTATCTACCCGGCTCGCACCTTCTATGAGCCGGCCATTATCGCCGTAATTGACAAACTTCACTCGCCCCATCTGCAGCAGCGCCCAGAAATCCGCAAAGTCCACGTCAGCACCGGGCAGCGGGTCCCACTGGCTGCCCCGGAGCCTTCCCAGAAGCTTCTTCGCCGTCCGCTTCCAACCAATCCGAGCCACCTCGTCCCGCTCAGCTTGGATCCGAAGCTGCCTCACAACTTCCTCGTCCTGATTGAAGATTTCTGTTTGACGTTTTCTTATGGCCTGGGGGTAAGGAGGGGAAAGGGAGGGGAAGGAGGGGAAGGAGTAGGGGAAGGAGGGGAAGGAGGGGAAGAAGGATGAGAAGGAGCGGCAGGAGGGGCAGGAGGGGCAGGCGGGGCAGGAGGGAATGCGGGAAATGACCAGCACACAAGGACTCCGCCGCTGCTCGTCTCACGACCGCCTACTCCTCATACGAAGCTCAAACCCTCTCTAAACCCCCTCGTGCATAAAAGCCGTAACAGGCCTTCCAACAACGTCCCCTGCTGCCTCTCTTGCAATGTATTCGAATCTCCTACGCAGCCCCTCCCTCTCTCTCTCTCTCTCTCTCTCTCTGTCCTCCTCTTCCCTCTGCTGTTGAGTCGACTCAAAAGCATTCCAAGCCGCAACAAGTCTACCAGTAGCTTCCCTGCGGAATCCCCTGCATCGCATTTACCTCTCCTGCTCAAGATCTCTCTCCCCCTCTTTCCTCACCTCGAAAAACGCCATCTGCTTATCGTCCTCCACCCCAGCCTTTCCCTTCGCCTCGGCGGCTCCCGAACCTAGAACTGGCTCGGCTCCTGCTGCTGAACTTGAATCTGCCGAGCCTGAGCCCGAGCCTGCATCGGCACGTGCGGCGAGCCTGAAGCGAGGGAGTTTCTGGGATTGACGTTTATGCAGGGCTGGTAGAGTGAACTGCCTCTGGCGAGTGACTGAACGCGGAGTGCTTGTGACGAAGGTTGAACGGCTCGATCCGACATTGCAGGGGGTTGTACGCGCTACAGCAGCGACTGGAGGAGATCCAGCAGCTGTTGAACTCGATATAAGCAAGTGTCTACAAGGACGTGAACTGTTCAGCTTCATCGTGGACGGAGTCGGAAAACGACAAGACGTCGCTGGCGTTGCGATCATAGGCGATCGGACGACAATGTGCGACACTAACGATGATCGCGAGGCCGCCATGAGGATCTACTTTTGCGACCCTATACAGAAGCGAGGGAAATGATCCCTGAAAATTAGATTCCGGATTTCAGCTATCCTGCGGCGCACTCGCGCTCAGCCGTGTGTCGCAAAGAACCGTTTCGGAGGAACGGTTTCTCGGGGTGGTCCTCGATAAACGGCTGGTCACCGCCGGACGCGGCGATAAGGAGCAGGTTTTCCCGCCGAAACGGACACTGGAACGCATGAGAGGATAGTGAGTGGATTTTGAGTGGATTAGGTTGACAGCTCGTGTGCCACTAAGGAGACGCACTGTTCTTTATAGGGAAGGCATATATATACAGTTGTTCAGAAAAAATATCTAGAACTTCCAAAAGAACTTCAAAAGAAGAGAGTGATGGCAAACTGAGTTTCAACTAAAGTCCTTTGCATGATCTTCTTTTAGCGAGCTTTCAAAACACAAGGAATTCTCACAAAAATACCACCAGTTGTACACTCTTAAGACCACGAGTTCAGAAGTTCCTCACCTGATTTGCTAAGTAATCAGGGCCTCAGAAGTCAGGCCAAAAAGGCCTGAAAGCCTGTATATCAGGGTGTTTTCTAGGGCATACCCTGATTTTTCAGATTTTGATTTTTATCAAACCTGAAATTTATGTGTTCCCATTTTCTAAGGCCTGAAACATAGTATGTTCTAACAAACAGTGAAATTGATAATAGAGAGGAAGAGAGTACACAAACATATACCTAACAGTTGTACTCTCTAGAAGATGACCCTATACAGTCTATACAAGCATGATAACTAAACATGTTTGACACACCCCCTGGACTGCATAGGGGAATGTTCTAGACAAGCAGCTCAGGGTGGCACTACTAGTCCAGCCTCTGAGACAAGGGTCTAAAAGACCAGTCAGAAGGAGTACAGGCAAGGCAAGAACTAGTACAGGGCGGCACTACTAGTCCAACCACTGTAAGAGGACACAAGTCCAGTCTGAGTGTACACACAGATATATATAGGACAGTACAAAGTCAAGGCCCGAGTAAGTGAGAGACTACAGGAACCAGACCAAGCTGTACACAGTGCCGCTGATGATCTTTAGGCGCAAGCGCCTTCGTAAAGATATCAGCTGTGTTGGCACCGGAGGCTAAGTGTACTACGCGAGCCTGGCGACGCTGCTTTAGCTCACGCAGGAGGAAGTACCGCAGCTGGATGTGCTTCGCTCTGCCCTCGAGTCGAGGCTCCTGACACAGGAGGATCATGGCCCTGTTGTCAGCGTACAGGACCGGGGCAGAGCTAGGCCGCTCACCTAAGTCAGTGAGCAAGAAGGTCAGCCAGCGGAGCTCCTGTGCCGCCATGGCACCGGCGTAGATCTCGGCCTCACAGCTGGACTGGGCAACAGACGAAGAGCGGGTAGCTCTCCACGAGACAGCACCTGAGCCAAGGCTAAAGCAGTAGCCCTGGGAAGACCTGAGCGTCTCCGCGTCGTCTGCCCAAGAAGCGTCTGTGTGTCCAGTAAGGACCACTGGCCTGCGTCCGCCTAGCACTAACCCCATGCCCGATGTACTTGCAAGATAACGCAAAACCCTCTTAGCAGCAGACCAGTGCTGAGGTCGGTGTCTGCCTGTGGCCACGAAGCGAGCCAGGATGCTGAGAGGGTATGCGAGATCTGGGCGAGTGCAAGTCATAAGGTACATGAGGCAACCCACTAGCTCAGCGTAAGGACCACTGGGATCTACCGACTCCTCAGGAACTGGAGCGGAGAGTCTGTGGTCCAGAGGAAGAGGGGTGGGCTGTGCGGAGGAGAACTGAAGGCCGAACCTCTGAAGAACCTGGCGCACCAAGTGTGACTGAGTCAGGGTGATGGTGCGCGCGGCTCTGTCCCTGGAGATCTGCAAGCCAAGGTAACGGCGCAGCTCTCCAAGGTCAGTGCAGGTGTGTCTCTTCAGCAGCTCTGCCTTCACGGAGGCCAGTGCGTCCCTGTCAGCAGTGGCAAAGACCAGGTCGTCTACGTAGACAAGGATGTAGAACGGAGTCGAGCCAGCACGAACGAAGAGCGAGGGGTCTGCAGAGGACGGAAAGAACTGCAGGTCAGCAAGGGTAGCACGCAAAGTGTCGTGCCACTCACGAGGCGCCTGGCGCAGGCCGTAGACTGGGCGCCGCAGAAGCCACTGGGTCCCAGGGGGGAAGGTGCCAGTAAAGCCCTGAGGGCGACGCAGGTAGACCTGCTCGTGAAGGCTGCCCTGAAGAAAGGCAGTGGAGAAGTCGAGGGAGTGAAGCTCGTAGTCACGCTGAGCTGCTACGTGTAGCAGAACCCGAAGAGTAGTCATCTTCGGGGTAGGAGCGAAAGTCTGAAAGAAGTCCACCCCCTCGCGCTGACTGAAGCCTCTAGCCACGTAGCGCGCCTTGAACACAGGCGGCTCTCCAGGAGGGCGCTTCACCTTGAAGAGCCAGCGGCCATCGACCACGTTCACCCCAGGTGGGGGAACTGCGTCGACGAAGGTGCCGGTGGATCTCCAAGATGCCATCTCCTGCTCCATGGCAGCTATCCACTGAGAGGCCCAGGGTCCCGAAACCGCCTCAGCGTAAGTACGAGGGGTCGGGATGTCGAAAGCGTCTGGGTCACCCTCAGGGACTAGCAGCATGGAACAGAGATGGGGAGCAGCCTCGGACAAGAAAGCAAGCTCAAACTGGCGGTCCTCTAGGACGTCACTGCCGAGGGCAGGAGCACCCCCGACAGACGGAGGACAGGCAGGGTCAGAGACCAGAGCGGTGGCGTAGTCAAGGCGGCGGGTAGAGGCGAAGTCATCGACCGCAGCGACGAGGGCGTCAAGACTCGACACTGGAACAGACGGGTCGGTAACAAGAGAGGCAAGGACCCGAGGAACAAGAGGACGAGCGGCACGAAAGTAGTCGGACAGAGGAGGAGACGCAACGACAAGAGAAGACGGAGGAGGAGACGGGAGGAGGGGAGGACGAGACGGGTGGGAACGGAGCAACATAGGGTGAGAGCGCGGGACAGGGGAGACAGGACGAGCACGAGCGGGGCGGCGAGACCAGACGTGGGAGGGCGGCGTCGGGTCAGGAGACAGAGGAGGGGACACAGGAGGGGAACGAGGGGGAAGACGAGCCGGGGACGAGTCTGGCAGAGGGAACACGGGGCCGTAGACGGGAAGAGGGGGAGACGGCAGGAGAGGAACAGGCGCAGTGTCAGGAGACGGGAGGCCGAGCAGACGGAGGGCGGTCACAGGCGGGGACTGCTGCTGCGGCGACACAACACCAACACCAGGGCCACAAGCGGCGCGACGGCTACCTCCCGAACCCTCCAAACCTGCACCCCCAGAAGGGACACCCCCAGAGTCCACAAACGGCGGCAGGGACGACAGCGGTGGCGGCGGCGGCGGCTGCAGCGACGGCTGCAACAGCGGCGGCGGTGGAGACGACGGCTGCAGCAGGTGCGGCGACGGCGGCTGCGGAGGCGGGGGAGGAGGAGACACCGGGGGAGGGACAGACGGCGAGGACTGCGCCGGAGGACTACCAGAGTCAGAAGACTCGTCGACCGGGACGACCGACGGGAGGGGGGTGACGTGAGACACACCAGAGGGGGCCGGACGGGGGGGCGGGGGGGGGGGGGAGGGGCAGGGACCACCGGGGAAGGAGGGACCAGGAACAGGGGGGGAGTAACCGGGGGACCACGGTGAGGGAAGCGGCGGTAGAAGGAGACGGACTCGTCAAAGGTGACGTCGCGAGAGTGAAAGAAGCGGTGGGACGGCGGGTGGTAGAAGTGCCAGTCGGACGCGTCAAGGGGGACACCGAGGAAGACGCAGGGGAGGGTGCGGGCAGTGAGCTTGTCCGTGCCAGAGGCACGGACGTGGGCAAGGCAGCCCCAGACGTGGAACGCAGACGCGTCACCAGGGGACCCGGTCCACAGAAGGGTCGGCGAAACCTGCGGCCGCTGGGGGTGCGGCCACAGGTTAAGCTGGTGAGCGGCGTAGCGCACGGCGAACGGCCACAGAAAATGGGGTGCACCGGCGTGGATCATGGAGGTGCGAGCCACCTCCATGACCAAACCGATGCGTCGCTCAGCGACCCCATTCTGCTGCGGGGAGTCCGGCAGGGTAAACGTCTGGGTGATGCCCTCCGCACGACAGAAGCAACCAAGGACACCTGAGGCAAACTCGCCACCCCGGTCGGAGTGGAGGCGCAAGGCAGGGAGACCGCGGTGGACACGAGCAGAGACAAGCCAGGGGATGAGAACGTCAGGCACGTCGGCCTTCCGCTCCAGGGGAAAGACGGTGGTGTAGCGCGTGAAGTCGTCGACAAGCACTAGGAAGAAGCGCTCGCGACGCGGCCCATGGACCGGGGCTGGGCCCCAGACGTCCATGTGCAGAGTCTGCAGTGGTGCGGTGGTAGGGGGAAAAGAGGAGGAGTGAGGGGCACGGCGGAGCCGGCCCTCGACACAAGGCGTGCACGGGGGGGCGGGGGAGGAGGGAAACTCGGGGAACGAACCGGGGAGACCAAGGACGAGACCGTGCTGGGACATGTGACGCAGACGTGGGAGTGCAGGGTGACCAAGGCGGTGGTGCCAAAGGAGAGTCGGGTGAGTGAGGGACCGACAGGAGCACGCCGCAGCAACCTGGGTGGACGCAGCTACCGGGGGGGAAGACCCAGCCGGGGACGTCGCGGTGTCAAGAGTGAACAGGCCGGACACCGGGTCCCGGGGGAACGTGGACAGGGGGGCACCAGTGGCGGCCTCGGTACAGACAGCATACCGCTCGTGACCAGGGAACGTAGTGGTGACGCCAAGGTCCTGGAGGCAGCCGACACCAACTAGGTTCCTGGAGAACGAGGGGATATGCAGACCGGTGAGCGAACCTGAAGGAACCGCCGGACAGGGAAGGGAGGTGGAACTGCGGGCAACGACAGGACCACCGGAGGGGTCAGCAAGAGTAACGGCAGCGGGAACAGGCAGCGGCGTCAGCGTCGTGGAGTCGCGGAAGAAACACCGGGAGGCGCCAGAGTCCAAGGTGAAGGAAAGCGCAGCAGTCGCGTGAGGCGGCAGTGAAGCGGTGGAAGCACCAAGGCTAAGCAAAGCAAGAGATCCTACGCCTGACGCAGCAGGGGAGTCTACGCTGGGCACCGCTACACTAGGCAACACGGGGTAATAAGAGGGAAGCACACTAGAGTCATCAGCATACATCACATGCAAGGCTGCTACAATGGCATCCATGTCCAAGTCAAAAATCCTAATGCTACGCCTAAGCAAGCTGTGCCAGTCCGGGAGGTCGGGCGCCGGGCCAAAGCGCTGGCGGAACAGGTCGTCCAGACGACGAAAACAGCGAGGAGTAGAATGACCGATCTTACCGCAAACGAAGCCGCGGCGAGGACCGGTCTGGATCTGGTACTGACAGGGCCCGCCTCCAGAACCACCACCCGGTGCACCACCACGCGCACGACCACCACCAGCTCCAGGCCACCCAGGCGGGAGAGCACTCGCCGGCCTCGTCTGCGGCGGCTGCTGCGGCTGCTGCGGCTGCGGCGACTGCTGCTGCTGCAACGGTGGAGGCAGCGGGGCAGCTGGACCGGGCAGGGTCCCCACGTCCGCACCGGCACCGGACGACCCGCCTCCACCACTACCCCCACCCGCACCCCCGCCGCCTCCGCCGCTCCCAACCTTGGGGCGGCGGCCCTTCGCCGAGCGGGACTGCACTGCAGCAGCAGTCTCAGCCACAGCGACAGAGCCGTCGGAGAAGGTACACTGAGCGGGGGCACAACCCTGAAAGATAGGGACCGGTACTGTACCGCTCGCCTGGGCTATGGAGCGGTGACGAGTCTCTATGGCAGTCAGGGTGTCAACAAAGTCGGTGAGGGTGAGAGCAGCAGGATGGATGCTAAGAAACTGGTCGCGGGCGGCGGCAAGGCGGTCAGGGAGGCGGGTGGCAAGGAGGTAGAGGGTGGAGGTCATGGGAGGCTGGTGGACTCTAAGCTGTGCATCAGTGCAGGCAGCGCGCCAGGCCTCATCTATCGAGCGCAGGTGGGCAGCGAGGTCAGAGACAGTGGGGAAAGACGCCAGGTCAGGAAAGAGCAGGGGGAGGATCAGGCGACCCACTGAGGCAGCAGGAGGGGTAGAATAGCGCTTGATGACAGCATCAAGGTAGGCCTGGGCGGTAGTAATGGTTCTAAAGCGAGGGCGCTCAGGGGGGGGGAGGGCATTGCTAATGGCGAGCTGAGCAAGGGCATCGCGGGAAAGCCAGACAGAGCGGGCAAGGGCAGCAGCGGCAGCGGACTCGCGCTCAGCGGGCGTGGGATCAGCGGGCAGCACAGCAGGGGGGTCAGGGCAGGGGAGCATACCGTCTAGGTGTGCAGAAAGCGGGTGGCCGTCCTGCCGCTGGCCAGTGAGGTGGCGGCGAAGGTCAGCCAACCACGCCTCGAACTCCAGAGGCTGACCCTCAGCATCAAAACGAAGCTCAGCAGCCATGAGGGGCAGTGGAGGACAGTGCAGTGCAATGCAGTGCGGTGCAGTGCGATGCAGTGCGGTGCAGTACGGTCCAGTGCGATGCAGTGCGGGCGGTGCGGTCCAGTGAGGTGCAATGCGGTGCAAGGCGGGGCAGGAAAGTGAAGGAGGGTGCAAAGTGGTGCGGGGAACGGGGGACAGTACCAGGAAGTATGGAGGGCCGGGGCAGGCGCGTCAGGGCCGGGCAGGCACGACAAGGCCGGGCGGCTGCGACGGGGCCGGGCGGCTGCGACGGGGCCGGGCGGCGGCAACAGGGCCGGGCGGCAGCGACAAGGCCGGGCGGCTGCGACGTGGCCGGGCGGCGGCGACGGGGCCGGGCGGCTGCGACGTGGCCGGGCGGCTGCGACGGGGCCGGGCGGCGGCGACGGGGCCGGGCGGCAGCGACAAGGCCGGGCGGCTGCGACGTGGCCGGGCGGCTGCGACGGGGCCGGGCGGCTGCGACGGGGCCGGGCGGCAGGGACGGGGCCGGGGAGGACACAGCAGGGCCGGGCAGGGGCGACGGGGCCGAGCGGCTGCGACGGGGCCGGGCGGCAGCGACAAGGTCGGGCGGCAGGGACGGGGCCCGGGCAGGACACAGCAGGGCCGGGCAGGGGCGATGGGGCCGGGCGGGCGAGCAGGGGCCGGGCAGGGCGACAGGGGCCGGGCAGCCGCGACAGGGGCCGGGCGGGCGCCACGTGGCCGAGAGGCCGCGACGGGGCCGAGCAGGGGCGACGGGGCCGAGCAGGGGCGACGGGGCCGAGCAGGGGCGACAGGGCCCAGGAGGGGCTCGACGGGGCCCAGGAGGGTAGCTACGGGCCCAGGAGGGGCGCTACGGGCCCAGGAGGGGCGCTACGAGCCCAGGAGGGGCGCTACGGGCCCTGGTAGGGGCGCGAGGGGGGGCCTGGGAGGGGCGCGACGGGGCGTGGCGGGGCGCTACAAAGCCCAGGTAGGGGCGCGACGGGGCCTGGGGGGAGCGCAATGGGGCCCAGGAGGGGCGCTACCGGGGCCTGGGAGGAGCGCGACTGGGCTAGGGAGGGGCGCGACGGGGCCTGGGAGGAGCGCAATGGGGCCCAGGAGGGGCGCTACGGGGCCTGGGAGGAGCGCGACGGGGCCCTGGAGGGGCGCTACCAGGCCCTGGAAGGGGCGCGACGGGGCCTGGAGGGGCGCTACGAAGCCCTGGAAGGGGCGCGACGGGGCCTGGAGGGGCGCTACGAAGCCCTGGAAGGGGCGCGACGGGGCCTGGGAGGAGCGCAATTGGGCCCAGGAGGGGCGCTACGAGGCCTGGGAGGAGCGCGACGGGGCCCTGGAGGGGCGCTACGGGGCCCAGAAAGGGGCGCAACGGGGCCCAGGAAGGGGCGCGACGGGGCTAGGGAGGGTCGCGACGGGGCGAGGGAGGGTCGCGACGGGGCTAGGAGCACGACGGGGCCCAGCTAGGGGGGCGAGCGGAAGCGTGAGGGGGGGGGGGGATCCTACCTACGCGTGATACCATAACAAACAGTGAAATTGATAATAGAGAGGAAGAGAGTACACAAACATATACCTAACTGTTGTACTCTCTAGAAGATGACCCTATACAGTCTATACAAGCATGATAACTAAACATGTTTGACATGTTCTTGCTTTACCGAGCCTGACGAATCAGCCTTACTCGAAATTCGCCTTGAATCTGAGTCTTATCTGCCAAGGCGAGCTAGAGCACGTGTGAGGGGCATGGCTGGTCCTTGACCAGAATCACGCAAGTTCGAGGCGAGGTGGGGCAGGTGTGAGGGGCGTGATTGGTCCTTGACAAAAAATGACGCAAGTTCCAGGCGAGCTAGAGCAGGTGTGAGGGGCGTGATTGGTCCTTGACCACAATCACGGAACTTCAAGGCGAGCTACAACAGGTGTGGGGGGCGTGATTGGTCCTTGACCAGAATCACACAAGTTCCAGGCGAGCTGGAGGAGGTGTGAGGGGGTTGATTGGTCCTTAGTTAAAATCAGGCAGGAATCTGACGAGAAGAATTGTACGCAGTGAAGTCTGATCCGGCCTAAGAATCAGAAACTACAAAAATGTAGGCCTGATAAGTCAGACTAAAAAAAACAACTGGCCTGAAAAAACATGCCACGCCCAAAACCCGACCCTGAAAAACATGGGCTCTCACATGGGCGACCCTGAGCAATCAGCCTCCCTAAAACCAATCTGAGGGCCTGTAAGTAATACAGAAGTGCAAGTAGGGGCAGAATTTCGGACCGTATGGCTGTTTGAATATGGAAACATAAAAAAATGCAAATTAACCCTGTATTTATAACCAAAAGTATGCTTCTTTAAAAAGATGCAATGAGATCCAAGAATATTTTGTAAAAGTGTTACATCTCTGAGATGGCTTCCCTCTTTCCGAAGCCACACCTTAGCAAACCCTAGCCAGCCCCCTCCAAAATAAGAGGCTTCTTACTCCTGGGTTCGAGTCGGTAGGCATTCGTCAGATCAGATCCCGCTTCTTTACTTTCTTAGCTTGAGCGTAGTTTCTGTGGCTTGCTAAGAACCGTTCTACTGACGTTAGTGCCCGTCACACGCCCTTAGGGGCCCGATCTTTGTATCTGGGAGCGCATATCGGAGTTTCGTCACGATGCCTTCTGTGGTGAATATCGCGGAGGCGGCAGAAGCGGCGAAGCGAGTCGCCGCTGCGTTTATGGCGGCGCGCGCTTCGGGTCAGACCGAGGAGCAAGCCGCCGCTGCCGCGACCTCTGTGGCCAATCCGGAGCCGATTAAGACGCCGTCGTTCGTAATCCCCAAGAACAAGATCTCGATTCCGGGCCAATCCCTCGCGATAGTGCCTGTCGGGGGGAGTGTAACGAAAGCGGGCGAAGAGGCGGAGGACGACAAGCCGAGGCGGCCTCGGAAGTATCGATGGGGCCCAGATCCGTTGCTTGATCCGGCCACGCGGAGGGGTCGAGCTCTTGCCCTTCAGGTATGTCCCTGTGTGGTTCTCGAGGCTCGACTTTTTAGTCGACTCAAAACTCTCTGTAGTTCTCGAGGCTCGACTTTTTAGTCGACTCAAAACTCTCTGTGGTTCTCGAGGCTCGACTTTTGAGTCGACTCAAAACCCTGTGTGTTTCTCGAGGCTCGTAACTTCGTAATTTAAGCCCTTGAGGTTTCCCTGTATGTGAGCTTAGAAGAATATTTATCTCTCGCTTGGTGTTATTTAGACTCGCGGACTTGAAGCTGTAGACCTTAGTGAGGCTTTTCTTTTTGCTGGACGCTGATCTATGGGGTGTACGTGTCTCTTTTTTCGGCGCGTTTTCTTTGTTCTTTTTCCCTTTCGTTCTTTCGTGCAGACGCGCATCGAGCAGATCTCGTCGCAGCTGGAGCTGAACACGCTGGAGATCGACGAGAACGAGGCCACTCGCTCGCCATCCCCGCCGCCTATCTACGATAACATGGGGCAGCGACTCAACACGCGCGACGTACGCTACCTGACGATTATGCTTTTTTTTTTTTTTTTTGGCTTGCAGAAGAGTGCTTTTCTTTTTATCGCATTCGCCGTCGATCTACGACAACATTGGGGCTTTTCTCTCTCTCTCTCTCTCTCTCGCTTTCGTGTTTGGCTCTCCTTTGCAGTTGTCATAGATCGCTTTTCTCTCACACTCTCGCTAGTCTTCGTCAGCCATTAACTTGTACTGTTCGTCCTGTTGTGCTTTCCTTCGTTCCGCGAACTGACGTCTGAGTCATGCTTTTTGTTTTCTTGTCTTTCTTTCTTTCCTTCTTGCAGCAAAGGAAGCGGGATCAGCTCGACATCGAAAAGCGCAAAGCCATAGGTATCACTCGCTTAGACTTGCACCGCTCCAACTTTCCCGTTCTTCCGCCGGCTTCCCTCAAATATTCTCGCTTAATTGTTCGTATAGTTCATGTAGCAAGCAACGTGCTGCTCAAACGTTACGTTACGCTTCGTTGGCTGTTGTGTCGCGTGATCCGTTTTTTCTCCGACGGCCCATTGTTTCCCCCGTTTGTGTGTCCCGGCAGCCGAGTCCGTCATTCTTAATCCTCACTTTTTTTTTTGTCGATGCGCCTGGAAAAATGCCTGATCCTTTTGACTTTTGAGTCGACTCAAAAGATGCCTGATCCTTTTTCCCCGATGTTGTGTGCGTGTTTTCCCCGTTTGTGGTTCCCCCGTTTGTGCTTTTCCCGCAGCCGAGTCCATCGCTCTGAATCCGCACTTCAAGCCGCCTGCGGGGTACAAGCCTGTTCTCGAGGAGGCCAAGCTTTTCGTGCCGGTAAGTCACAGTAAGGAAGCCGTGGAATGGAAGCAAGTAATTTTGACGTCTTCGTCTTGTTACGCAGCTCTACAAATCTTCGCGAGTCAGATGTCGTTCTTGCGTTTTTCGTGAGTTTTATTGGTGAAGTTTTTATCGAGTACGGTTTCCGCGGTGCACTAGCGTTTATTGCTGTCGGCCTAGTCGCTCTTCTGCCTGTACAGCCGAAATTTTTCCGGGGCAAAGTAAACAGGTTCGCAATTGGTTTGTACACGTTGATTTTGGAACTCGCTAGTAGTGAGAGTTTAGACCGCCAAGTTTGGGCTAGATAAAACTTAATCTATTAATCTCCAACAATCCTTTTGTACGTCCCCATGTAAGCCTGCTTTGCTTCGCAAGTGCATTGCCAGTGGCGGTTGATGACATCCTTAAAACGCGTACAATTGTCCATAAAGGCGTGGTAATTTCCCTTGCCTAATACACTCATATGTTGTTGATTTGTCTGGCTTCCGCGCTGCAATATATTTCTCGAACGCCTCTCTGACGTGCTGGTTTTGTTTGTCTGCTGTGTTTTCTCGCCTCCCCTCTTTCCCTCTTCGCCTGCCCTCTTTCCCTCCCCTCTCCCTGTTCCCTCCTCCTGTCCGTGCCTTTTTTTCCTCCCTCGATTTCTCGCCCTCCTTCCTCCGCCCGCCATTCTTCCCCCTCCGCTTCCCCCTCCGCTCCCCTGGCATCTGTGCGTTCTCTCGTTTCTATCATACACGTGTGTGCGCACTACCGCCGCCCTCCACACAATCACGAGCAGGTCAAGCAATACCCGGGGTACAACTTCATCGGCCTCATTATAGGCCCACGCGGCAACACGCAGAAGCGCATGGAACAGGTGAGCGGCTTATTTTGTATTTTCTACACTGAGCTGATTTGTGTTTTTTCTACTTCTTACGGGTTTGTTGTTTATTGTTTTCTTTTTTGCGTCCTACTTCTGTCGCTTACCCTGCAAACGAACTGAAACTTAGCGCTGTGTTCCCTCCGCCTGTCTGTCTGTCCTGGTGTCAGGAAACCGGTGCGCGTATCGTGATTCGAGGGAAGGGCGCAACCAAGGAAGGCAAGGTAAGGCTGCTCGTTGCCTCAACGTGTTGTCTCATGCCCTTGAACGTTGTTGGAACTATGTTTCCGGTGCTCTGTCCGTTCGTCTGGGCTCTGCTCCGTTTTCGCTTGCGTGCGTATCGCGATTCGAGGGAAGGGTGCAACCAAGGAAGGCAAGGTAGGTAGGGCTGCTCGTTGCCCTAACGCGCCCTCTTTTTTCCTCCGCCACGCTCTTTCAATTCTTCTTCAGCCTGCCGGTTGGACTGAGCTCTGCTTCTTGTTCACTTGCGCCGTGATGCTCTCAACCGCCATTCGCTCTCCTCGTTGTCCGCATCGTCCGCTTGCCCGCCCTTCGTTTCTTCCTCGTCTCCCTCTTTTTAAGAGGATCTACATCTGTGCGGCTACATCTGTCTGTTGCTACATCTGCACGGCTGCATCTGTCTGTTGCTACATCTGTTTGTTGCTACATCTGTTTGTTGCTACATCTGTCTGTTGCTACATCTGTGCAGCCACAGCTGTATTTTCTCCTCAACTATTTGCTGGTTTATGTCTGCATTCCCACAGCAGGACAAGTACCAGGAGGCTAGCGAGGACCTGCACGTGGACATCTGTCTGTGCTGCGCATCCCGGTCTCCCCTTCTCCCTTCCTGCCACACTCACTCACTTCCCTTGCTGGCCTGGTCCACCCCCCTCGCAGAAGGACAAGTACCAGGAGGGAGCCAGCGAGGACCTCCACGTGTACATCTGTGCGGACAAGCTGGAGAAGGTGGACGCTGCTGTCGACATGATCGAGCCTCTGCTTACCCCTATTGATGTGAGTAACCTTGCCCAGTTGGGGCAACAGCCGTTTACTCCATCGACTTCGGTAACATCTGGTCACTGGGTCCACGTGTACATCTGCGCGGACAAGCTGGAGAAGGTGGGCGCCTACTTGTTTCCGTGTTGTTCCCGTGTTGCTCCCGTGTTGTTCCCGTGTTGTTTCCGTGTTGTTCCCGTGTTGTTTCCGTGTTGTGCCGGTGACCGGGAGTGGCGCACCGTGCACCGGCGCAAGCAGCTAAGGGAGCTCGCGCTGATGAACGGCACGATGAAGGGGTGCAGCAGCAGCTGGCTGTAACGCCTTGTTGTAACACCTTGTTGTAACACCTTGTTGTAACACCTTGTTGTAACACCTTGTTGTAACACCTTGTTGTAACACCTTGTTGTAACACCTTGTTGTAACACCTTGTTGTAACACCTTGTTGTAACACCTTGTTGTAACACCTTGTTGTAACACCTTGTTGTAACACCTTGTTGTAACACCCGTTTTCTTCTTCTTCTGCGTTCTTTTTCGAGCAGGAGTGGCGCAACATCCACCGGCGCAAGCAGCTGCGGGAGCTGGCGCTGATGAACGGCACGATGAAGGAGGTGCAGCAGGTGTGCTTCCTGTGCGGCGAGGCGGGCCACAAGGACTTCCAGTGCCCCAAGGAGAAGCTGCAGACTTTCAATGCTAAGGTCAGTCAGTGCTGGTAACCAGACGGGTGGTAACCAGACAGGTGGTAATCAGAGGAGGTAACCCTATGCGCTGGGCGCTATGGAGGAGGTACAGCAGGTGTGCTTTTAGATTCGATCATCAGGGCGGAAGACGGTGGTGGCAACCAGAGCGGGTACCTGGAGTGGGTAGCCAGCATGGCTAACTAGAACGGGTAACCAGATGCGGTAACCCAGAGTTAGGGCTATCTGTGGGTATGGACTGTTGATTGGTCAAGTTATCATCACCAAGTGACTAAAGCAGTCTCGTGTCGTGTGCCTGTGTGTGTCGTTTTTTCCCATGCCTCTCCTGCGTATCCCTGCAGGTTACGTGTGCCATCTGCGGAGATGGGGGCCATCCGACCGTTGATTGCCCCAGGAGGAGGGCGGGAGGACCCCAGGTACGTTCTGCTATTTCTGCTGTCTGTAGCCTGATACCCCAGGTACCTCTCAGTCTGCTGTCGCCTGGTTCTGTTCGCCTGTCTAGCTGCAGCTTGCCTCGCCTTACCTCTGTTGCTTTGTGTCATAGTGCAACAGGGCTAGCTGCAGCTAGGCTCCATGGATCAGGAGCACCAGTCAGTTTCTGCCTCCCGATTTTCTTCCAAACCCCTTCCCCCCTCCCCCCACCCCCCATCCCATCCCTGCCACTTGCACAGGGCAAGGGGATGGATGGACCAGGCGTACCAGTCATTCTCCTTCTCCTGATCTACCTTCCCTCTCCCCCCCCCCCTCCAACACCTTTTTGCCACTTGCACAGGGCAAGGGGATGGATCAGGAGTACCAGTCATTCTCCTTCTCCTGATTTCCCTACCCCTCCCCCCTCCCCCCCCCCCCCCCAACACCTTTTTGCCACGTGCACAGGGCAAGGGGATGGACCAGGAGTACCAGTCATTCTTGGACGAAATCAACGCCGGGACAGGAGGGCCTGACGGCAGGGGGGACGGCAGGGGGGACGGCAGGGGGGATGGAAGGGGTGATGGTAGGGGCGGTGCTTATAACGATCGCAGGGGTGGGGATGGGTACAGAGGTGGAGATGGTTACAGGGGAGGAGATGGTTACAGGGGTGGGGATGGTTACAGGGGAGGCGATAGTTACAATCGTGGCGGTTACAGTGATAGTGGTTACGGTGGTAACCGCAGCGGACCAGGGGGAGGGGGAGGTTCTTATCCCCCTGGGCGCGGCCCCCCTCCAGGAGCTCCCTCCCCTGGGTCCTACCCCCCTGGGGGACCTCCCCCCGGCCGCCCGGGCCCCCCTTCTTTCCCCCGCCCGTTCGCTCCGGGGCAGGGCCCGCCGGGGATGCCAGGGCAGCAACCAGGTCAGCAGGGAGGCAGCTCGTACAGCCACGTGGGCATGCCAGGTCAGCAGCCCATGCGCCCGAGTCTGACCCCCGGTCCCCCCATGGTCCCCAGGGGGCAGGGTCCCCCACCCGCAGGGCCTCCCCCAGCAGGGGGGCCTGTGGGGCCGGGGGGAGCACCTCCCCCAGGGGGCATGGGCGGAAGGCCACCTGCCCCTGCCCCTGGGGGATATGGGCAGGGACCTGCCCCCCCCCCCAGCAGCAGCAGCAGCAGCAGCAGCAGCAGCAGTCTCAGTATCCGCCGCAGCAGTACCCTCCGCCCCAGCAGCAGCAGGGTTATCAGCAGCAGCAGGGCTATCAGCAACAGCCGCAGCAGCAGCCGCAGCAGCAGCAGCAGGGTCCGCCCTCTGCTTACCCGGGCCCAAACCAGCAGCAGCAGGCATATCCCCCACCACATCAGCAGCAGCCCAGCCAGCAGGGTCAACCGGGTCAACCCAGTCAAGCGCCGCCCAGCCACCCTCCCCCGGCGTGGGGGGATGACCGCGCCAGCAAGCTGCCAAGAATGGACGGTGGGCCCTCCGACGCCCCCTCCTCCACCTACCCCCCGCCCCAGCAGCAGCAGACGGGACAGGGAATGCCGCCCCGGCAGAGGGGAGGGATTGGGTACCAGGCGCCTCCTCCCTCTGGTCCGGGATACGGCCCTCCTCGCCCCACAGGATATGGTCCTCCCTCCGGACCTCCTTCCGGACCTCCGTCCGGACCTCCCGGTCCTTCTGGCCCATCTGGATATGGCCCACCATCTGGACCGTCTGGTCCTGGTGCAGGATACGGCCCTCCCTCCGGACCTCCCTCCGGACCTCCTCCCGGTCCTTCTGGTGCGGGGTACGGTCCCCCTTCTGGTCCTGGTCAGCAGTACGGGGCCCCACCTGCGCCCTCAGGGCAGGGGCAGGGGCAGGGGCAGGGGCAGGGGCAGGGGCAGGGGTATGCGCCTCCTCAGGGGCAGGGGCAGGGGTATGGGCCTGCTCAGGGGCAGGGGTATGCTCCTGGGCCTCCCCCAGCGTCAGGAGGCTCTTACTCCCCTGCGCCCTCTGGTCAGCAGTACCCCCAGCAGCAGCAGCAGCAGCAGTATGGGGCGGCACCAGGAGGGCCTGGGGCGCCTGCTCCCCCCGCCTTCCCCCCTCCGCCCCAGCCTAGCTCCCCCCGCCCCCGCCTCCCCCTCCGCCTAGCAGCGGGGACTCCCCTCCCCCTCCCCCGCCCACTGACCAGCCCGCTCCCCCGCCTATGCCCCTTGCTGCTGGCGCTGGTGCTTCTGGCCCTGCCTTCGGCGCTCCTTCCTGGCAGCAGCAGCAGCCGCAGCAGCAGCAGCAGGGAGGGGGGTACTACCAGCCCCAGCAGCCGCCGTTCCCCCAGGCAAGCGGATTCGGCCAAGCAGGAGCAGCAGGAGCAGCAGGAGGAGGAGGAGGAGGGCCTGGAGGACCAGGGGGACCCGGGGCTGCAGGACCTGGGCCAGGAGGGGCAGGAGCAGGAGCAGCAGGAGCAGGAGCAGGAGCAGCAGGAATGGGTGGAGGGATGGGTGGGCCAATGGGCGGACCAATGGGCTTTGCGCCCCCCAGGGGCCCTCCTACCGGTTTCTCCCCCTTCTCCCCTGCAACTGGCGCTCCTCCCCCTTACATGCCCGGCCGTCCCCCAATGGGACCGGGCGGCGGTTTCGCTGGTAACCAGTTCGCACCTCCTGGCCCCCAGGGCTTTGGGACAGGGCCAGGGCTAGGGGGAGCCCCCCCCCAGGGAATGGGGGGGGCTCGCCCTGGGTTCTGGGGGCCTGGCGGACCTGGGGGGCCTGGGGGCGTTCCGCCTCCCCCTTTTGGCCCTGGGGCTCAGGGGTTTGGCCAGGGGGGTCCTCTGCCTCCCTTCCCCGGTGGTATGGGTGCCCGACCCCCTGCCCCAGGTGGTTACCACCCCGGGGGACCGGGTTTCGGGGGTGCGAGGCCCCCTGCGCCCCCTGCGGGGGGGCAGGGGGAGGCTGAGGATGCGGAGTATGAGAAGCTGATGGCGTCAATTGGCGTGCAGTAATAAGGGGCAGGCAGGAGCTTTCAGAGGGGGTCTGCAGCAGCCGGCAACAGGGCAGAGTCCAAGGATTCGGAGTATGAAAAGCTGATGGCATCGATTGGCGTTTAGTAGACAGGCGCTGGTGGTGGGGTGTGAGGGGATGTGGGCTGTGAGGACAGCCCTTGGTTTCTGGTGAGTAGGAAGGGGGAGGCTGAGGATGCGGGGCGTATGAGAAGCTGTTGGCGTCCATTGGCGTGCAGTAGTAAGGGGAGGCAGATGCAGTCAGCACCAATCAGAAGGGGTCTCTGCAGCAGCAGCAGCCAGCAGCAAGGGGGAGGCCGAGAATGTTTGTGAAAATATGATGGGTCAACTGGCATGAAGAAGAGAGTGAGGGGACAGGCACTGACTATAGAAGGGTGCGCAGCCCATGCTTGTGTTTCCAGCGCCACCTGTATTTTTTGGCGTGTAGTGCCTGTGGGTGGGTGGGTGGCTGGCTGGGTGGCTGGGTGGCTGGGTGGGTGGCTGGGTGGGTGGCTGGGTGCTTGGGTAGGGGGAGGGTGATGATGTGGAGAAAGAGAAGGATTGTGGGTATGCTGGGATGGTGAGAGGACGCGCCCTGAGAGGGCTGTCAATGCAGGTGTGATGTGTGCTGTTTCTGGGATGCAAGGGGATAAAGATTGGACTAGATAGGCTTCCCTCTGCATTTGATTGTTTTAATTCGAATTGTGCGGTGCTTCGTGGGATTAAAGCGAGTGATTTAAATAGTGAGGGCGGGCCCAGATGTCCGTTTTCTGGGTCGTTTCTAGTTAAAGCTTGAGTAATTAAGTCAAGGTTTACAGGCAAGGCCTGTTTCTCTGAAAATCAGGGCCATTTTGTAAACTACTCTAGGAGCCCTGAGTAAAAAAAAGAACCTATTTTTTACTCTGATTTAATCCGAGTAAACCAGGCCCCTAGATTGCAGGAAAATTTTCCTGATTCAGGAAAAAAACAGACCCCGTTGGCGGGCCGGTCCTGATTGCGTAGGGTTTTTTTTGTTCGGCATCCTGTTTTTTCAGCGGTTTTTTTTTAGTGAACTCTGATCACTCCGCATGGTTTATGTAACGCGTCCTGAAATTTATGACACTCTAATGCGTACGCGTCCTGATTTTGTCAATACCGGGATTTGCGCTCCCCGCTCCCCCCCCCCCCCCCCCCCCCCCCCCCCCCCTCCCCCCACGTGTTTCCCGCAAATCATGTCAAGGTCCCTGAAATTTCGCCCAAGTTACCGACCAGCAGAGTCATATGCTGCCCAGCTCACTGCACGGTGACAACTGATTGGCTTAGGGCGGAACCCACAGCACAGCTGTATACTAAAGGCATCGATGTTGCACGATCTGATTGGTGCTAAGGCAAATGTGGTATAGTCAGCCAGTAACAAAGCCTACCGTTGCGCCAGCACACTGGTGCTGTCATGCAGAGTGGGTGACAATGAAGCAACAGGTGCATGCATTGCGCTGGCCTCTCGAATGAAGGCCAGATGCAGCCCCATTGTCGTCTGTCCATTCCAGTCGAATCGCGCCCCCCTTTCTTGTCGAGGTCATTCTTACGGTGGGGCAAAATTGCCCCTCTCACTGACTCGTTGCCTAGCTTTCTTCTCAGTCTCACCTGTCGTGCAAAAAGCCCTCCATCATCTCTCTCACGTTGATCGCTCTACTGCCCCCCACGTCGCCATGGCTGACGCCGGCGACGAGGCTCCTGAGGACAATGCTGACGGCCATGTCGCAGCTATGGCCGATGCTCGATTAGGGCTAGACATGCTACTATCTAGCCTGTCTTCGCTACGCAGCAATCCTAGGGCAGTAGAGGCCCGTGTAGCACCCACCACCGTCAATGGAAGAGTGGGCATCCTTACGATGCCCGCGGTCAAAAATACCCCACCCGCAGTAGCGCGACTGCCGCCGATCCACCCAGCGAACGCTTCCTCCCCAGAGGCTGTGCAAGCAATGCCACCTGGCTGCTGGAGTTTTCCCGTTCCGGTTCATGCTGCCGAAATTTCGGTACCTGGTCCGTCGACGTTCCAACCCGCAGACAGCGCCTCTCCAGCGGCTGTCCCGCCAAAGTCTGCCGCGCGTGTGAGTCGAGACAGCACAGTCCCTGCTGCCGAATCCCCGCCCCTAGCTGTACCCGAGCCGTCGTCTACTCAGCCCGCTTATGACTCCTCTCCTGCGTCTGTCCCTCAGCGGCCTTGTGGGCGCTACCGGCAGGCTGTTCTGCCATTTGGTCAGCCCAAAGTGAAACAGCCCTCACCGCCCGATGAAGAAGCTGCCGACGCCGACGATGTTGACGACACCCCAAACAGGTCGTCGACCAAGACAACGAGTTCTGAGGAGCAGTATGCGGAGGCTCACAGCAGGTTTAAGACCCGTTGGTCGACGCGATTCCCGTGGCTTGTCATTTTAAAGACTGACTCTGGCTTGCCTGCCTTTAAGTGCACCCTATGCTTGGAGCACGCAGGTCTTTCTGGGAAGGCTGGCAAGCATGGCCCATGCCTATGCGATGCTCAGACTCAGGCGTTCACACGACATGCGGGGTCCGGCAAGCACCAACTCGCTCTGCAGAAGCAGAACGATCTGCTGCAACAGGCGACCAGACAACAACGCATCGATCAACATCCCCTTGCCGGGGACCTTAAGAGGGAGCGCATCACTGCCCTGCTGGACGCCTTGTGGTTCTGCTGCAAGACTAACGAGCCGGCCGAGACATGGATCCGGCTTGTTCAGTACCTGGCGTCGCGGAAGGTGACGGGTTTCCCGCAGCAGGCCTACGACACGTACTACAACACGTGAGTATATAATCATCACCGCTTAGCTACGGACTTCATTCTGTTAATGCCTCTATGTTCTCTAATTATTTAGACCATCTAGTTAGTGCGCGTCTTAGGTTGCACGTCGGACTTACAGTGTGTGTTAGTCCATGTGAACCGTGCAGGTACGGATTCGGTGAATTCACACTAGCAACGGCAACCTGGCTCCAAACAACGCAGCTTCACCACCTTCTGTCGAGTCCTTACATCGGCCTCATGCTGGACGAGAGCACCGACCGCTGCCGAGGGAAGCACTTGATTGTGTACGCCCACTTCATCCATGACAACCGGCTGGTGTGCGAGTACCTGGCCTTACTGACGGTGGACAAAGCCGATGCGTCTTCACTGCTCGCCCTACTGCTTACCCACCTGAACGCCATTGGGGTGGATCTCCAGTGAGTCTCCGGGATCAGCACTGATGGGGCGGCTGTCATGATGGGGTCGAAGAGTGGGCTTGTTACTCGACTGCGCCAGCAAGTGCCTCACCTTGTGTCGTATCACTGTATTGCGCATAGGTAAGATAAGTCATCCTGAGTACAAGAGTTAACGTCGTCTTCAACTTTGCTTGAACTACGCTAATGTATTGGTTTCACGCTTTGTCATGCAGGGAGGCTTTGGCAGCCAAGGCAGCATCAGAGGCGCTTCCGGTGTTTCAAATTGTGGATGACTTCATCAAGGAGCTGGCGGAGTACTTCGGAAGATCCGGCCCGTGGCACCAGCGCTTTCTCGACTTGCAAGACCTGTTCCTCTCGACAACCTTGGAGCTCCAGGGTATTCACAACATTCGATGGTTGTCGAGAGGTGAGGTAATCTCGAGGTTGCTGGCGGTGTTGCCTGCGCTTGTGGTTATGCTCAAAGAGTTCCCCGACAACAGGCTCTACAGAATTGCGACCAGTTACCGCTTCTGGTTCTTCGTCCACTTCCTTGCTGACGTCCTCGAGCAGCTCAACATCCTCAACAAGGGCTTTCAGGAGCGCGAGGTGAGATAACAATTGCATTAGCGTGGTGGTATACTTGCGGACGTCACTTTATATTGTTGTTCTACCTTGCTTGCCCCCGACCTTCCCCCATCCCCCCGTCAGCTGGACTACCTGACCGTCCACGCGTCCGTCCTTCGCATCACCAACCTGTTCCTGAGCCGCTACGTCGATTGCGGGGATGAGTTCGGGGGTGGCCCGAAGGACCGTCTCACCAACTTCCTCACCCTTCATGGTCCCGGCGGTTCTCGCGAGGTCACTGTTAGTGGCATGGACTCCGACGGGAGTCTCACGAGCTTCACATTTGAGCTTCACATTGACACGCTGCAAGGGTACCCTGGGGGAGGGAAGCATGACAACTGCGTGGTGGCTTGCATGGACCTGGCGGAAGGGATGGTGAATAACCTGAACGAGCGCCTCGGGGATCTTCGCAAGCTGGCAGGGGTAAAGTTGTTTTGCGTTTCTGCCTGGCTGAAGGACTGGGATCGGCAGGCGAGGAGGGTGCAGTGCTTGGAATGGTTCCACTCTTTGGTGGGGCTGTACAACGCGGAGCAGAGGAACGAGATCCTTCCAGGTGAACTCGTTACCATTAAATCCACCGACATGTACCATTGTACAACTGAGACTGTTGCACATGTGTTGTCTCTATTTCTCTCAGTTGACTGTCTCCACCATAATCTTACACCACTCCCCCGAGTCCCGACCTCTTTTCCCGTCTGTGGTAGGCATCGACAAGCGCCAAGCACTGCGGGAGTTGCCACACTTCACCCCAATCCTTGCTGCACTTCCGAAGAGCGAAAAAAGCTTCCACGCCGGATGCTGAAGACAGCAGACTGGCAAGATGCCTACCCCAACCTCATGAAGCTGTGGGTGGCCGTGGCCGTGCTTCCGCTGAGCACAGTGGAATGTGAGCGGGGATTCTCACGACAGAATGTCATCAAGTCGTGGCTGCGGGGCAGCCTGAAGGACACACGGCTGAGCGATCTCATGTGCATCATTCTGCTCGATTATGAGCCAAACTGGGACGAGGTGGTGGATGTGTGGCGGGCATACAAAAAGAGGAAGCCTTTCAGTACCGTGGCACAACCTAGGCTGCTCAGGAACAAGGGAAAGGAGGTGGTGGAGGAGGGACCTGTAGAAGTGTCGACCATGGATTCTTCCATGGATGAATGAGATGCTTATAAGTCGTAAATATGAATCATTGCTGGATCCGCTTTAACTATGTATTGCAAGCTTTGATGTGTGATGTGATGTGATGTGATGTGATGTGAGTGATCTTCCAATGCAAAAAGCACCACGGTCATGCAGGACCCTAAATGTAAGGAACCCTGAAAAAACAGGCATCTTTTCAAAAGCTGTCCTGACTCATAAGCTTGGTTTCCACTAGGCGTCCTGAAAATACAGGCAAATAAACGAGCGCCACCCTTGAGTCATCAGGAGGCCTCAAAACCAATCTAGGGGCCTGGAGTAAACCTTCGTAGTTTGTACCACTCTGATGGTCCGTGTATAGGGTGCACCAGGCCCCCAGAAGTCAAGAAAATTTTCCTGATTCAGGAAAAAAACAGGGTGTGGAGGGCAGGGCCCAAAATTGGTTTTAGGCCACTCTTAGGAATCAGAGTACAAAAAAACTTTCACCCTGACGTCTTGAGTAAAAGTTTTCCGAAGTCTGATTTGGCAGGGTAAAAAAAATTGAACTCTTAGCTGAAAGTGTAGATTTTTTGCCACCCTGTCTAACTCTTGGCATTCTTAGCAAGTTCAAATTTGAGTTCGAAGTGGAATGGGGTACAATACGGTGCTTCATGAAAGGGCACGCGAAATGCAGGTGAAATGTGAAACAAACGTGCAGCGAATTTGCGCGTGCGCGGGTTGGGGAAGGTAAGGGGGAGGGGGGGGGGGGGGTGTGGGGGGGAGGAGAGCGGGATGGGTACGGGGGAATCGAATTTGCAGGGGTGGGAGCAGGGCGGGAAGAAAATCAGCAGCATGTGATTGGGTGTGGGAGGGACATCGAATTTGCAGGGGC